ATCATTACGATCTTGGAATATTCCATCGTAATGAATCTGGAATGGCTGTCGGAATCTCGAAGCTGTCAAACGTCATGCGGGTGTCATTAAAGTTATATAATCACTAAGCCGCAACCAAATACTCAGAGCGGTCCAAGTGGAAATAATAAAGTAAACAGTAAGCAACAACATTGTCTTAGATGCGAAAAAATAGAATTTAGCTGAGACGTAACCCTGGAACCCTACCTTGCTAATCAAAGTCAAAACTGCCGCTCCCGAAGTTAACCGATCTATTTATAGGTGACCTAAGGCCTACATGAAGATGGAAAATACTTGGAAACTACACCACTCCTTAGTGGTATGTCATCCAAATAACACAACATGATGATGGCTTGTTTGTTGTTTAACGCCGCATCCAGCAATATTCCAGCTTCGTAATCGAGTCTGGACCAGACAATCCAGTGATCTACGCAATTGGGACACAATGTCATGCATCAACCAAGACAGCGAGCATGACTACCCAATCCCGTTAGTCGACTCTTACGACAAGCATAGTCGCCTCTTATGGCAAGCAAGGTTTGCTGAAGACCTACTCTACCCTGGATCTCTACGGGTGACATGATGCTGGTACTGTGGATGAAATCAGTGTGATGGCCTTGAGTTGTTCCAGTTGTACTGAAAGTACCTGTTAACCTTGATGAAACAGGAATATGGTCCATTTTTCATTGCGAGACGAATATGTCAACTTCAGTTCCATGGATCAAGTAGCAGCGACATTGTAGCTAAGTAGTGCTCCTCTTTAACTCCCCAACATCCTTAACTATCCACTATCTTTAACTATCCGCCATCTTTAACTATCCGCCATCTTTAACTATCCGTCATCCTTAACTATCCACTATCTTTAACTATCCGCCATCTTTAACTATCCGCCATCCTTAACTTTCCACTATCTTTGACTATCCGTCATCCTTAACTATCCACCATCTTTAACTATCCGCCATCTTTAACTATCCACTATCTTTTACTCTCCGTCAGTGCACTGTGTCTGAGCCGGGTACCCATGGTAACCTGCATGATAGTATCTCAGCGGTCTAGCACTTAGAAACCAGACCAGTACAAGCAGCCACACACGTGTACGTAGTGAAACGACCTCGAACGTGACATTAACCCCATTTCGCCTCTCCTCCCTAACCGTAATTGCTACACACTATAACACAGACGGGACAGGTGGTGGCAGAATTTTCTTTTACGTCCGCATCAATCACTCGTGCCTTCATATACTAAAGACTGGCACATGTATACGTGTTGGTATACTAAAGACTGACACATGAATACGTTGTGATATACTAAAGACTGACATATGAATACGTGTTGGTATACTAAAGACTGACACATGAATACGTGTTGGTATACTAAAGACTGGCAGATGAATACGTGTTGATATACTAAAGACTGACAGATGAATACGTTGTGATATACTAAAGACTGACAGATGAATACGTTGTGATAAACTAAAGACTGACACATGAATACGTTGTGATATACTAAAGACTGACAGATGAATACGTGTTGATATACTAAAGACTGGCAGATGTATACGTGTTGATATACTAAAGACTGACAGATGAATAAGTTGTGATACACTAAAGACTGACACATGTATACGTGTTGATATACTAAAGACTGGCACATGTATACGTGTTGATATACTAAAGACTGACACATGTATACGTGTTGATATACTAAAGACTGGCAGATGAATACGTGTTGGTATACTAAAGACTGACAGATGAATACGTTGTGATACACTAAAGACTGGCACATGGGTACGTGTTGATATACTAAAGACTGACACATGTATACGTGTTGATATACTAAAGACTGACACATGTATACGTGTTGATATACTAAAGACTGACAGATGAATACGTTGTGATACACTAAAGACTGGCACATGGATACGTGTTGATATACTAAAGACTGGCACATGGATACGTGTTGATAGACTAAAGACTGATACTTGCATACGTGTTGAAGACTAAGGACTGATACTTGCATACGTGTTGATTTACTATAGACTGGCACATGTATACGTGTTGATATACTAAAGACTGACACATGTATACGTGTTGATATACTAAAGACTGACAGATGAATACGTGTTGATATACTAAAGACTGGCACATGTATACGTGTTGAAGACTAAGGACTGATACTTGCATACGTGTTGATTTACTAAAGACTGACAGATGTATACGTGTTGATATACTAAAGACTGACACATGTATACGTGTTGATATACTAAAGACTGACACATGTATACGTGTTGATATACTAAAGACTGACAGATGAATACGTTGTGATATACTAAAGACTGACACATGAATACGTTGTGATATATTAAAGACTGGCACATGTATACGTGTTGATATACTAAAGACTGATACTTGTATACGTGTTGATATACTAAAGACTGGCGCGTGTATACGTGTTGATATACTAAAGACTGACTGATGAATACGTTGTGATATATTAAAGACTGGCACATGTATACGTGTTGATATACTAAAGACTGACAGATGAATACGTGTTGATATACTAAAGACTGGCACATGTATACATGTTGATATACTAAAGGCTGACTTATGAATACGTGTTGATATACTAAAGAATGATACTTGTATACGTGTTGATATACTAAAGGCTGACTTATGAATACGTGTTGATATACTAAAGAATGATACTTGTATACGTGTTGATATACTAAAGACTGATACTTGTATACGTGCTGACATACTAAAGACTGATACTTGTATACGTATTGATATACTAAAGACTGATACTTGTATACGTGTTGATATACTAAAGACTGATACTTGTATACGTGCTGATATACTAAAGATTGACATATGAATACGTATTGATATACTTAAGACCGCGCCGTTATACAGCTGTGTTACTTTTCGTTAGAGCGTCCATTAAACAATTAAACCACTTTCTTATCCGTATTGTGTTTTACTGGGTTTCTTCAATTTGTGTACATGAAAAGTGTCCGTTCGATAACAATACAAGGTGAGGTGAGGTGAAATGGGGTTTAACGTCGCGTCCAAGATGATTGCACTTATATAGCGATGTGCATGCACGCGTGTGTGTTTGTGTGGCTGGCTATCACTGAGATACCATGCCGCAGTTTAACATGAATACCCCACTCACACACAGTATACTGACCAGTCCTTGTTTTAGCCCCTTAATGCCGAGCGTCAGACAGGGTAACAACAAGTACTATCTTTAAACGTCTTTTGGTATGACGCGGCCGGGAATCGAACCCCGGATCTTCCGCTCCCCGGGCGGACGCTCTACCACTAGATAACGGAGGCGGTCGATGACAATACAAAATACAACTGACATGACATAATAACTCCCAGCATCCACATTTACACATTTACCTCTGACGTCTACACGTAAACACCACTCACTGGACATGACGTCTACACTTAAACACCACTCACTGGGCATGACGTCAACACGTTAATACCACTCACTGGACATGACGTCTACACTTAAACACGAGTCACTGGGCATGACGTCAACACGTTAAATACCACTCACTGGACATGACGTCTACACTTAAACACGAGTCACTGGACATGACGCCAACACGTTAATACCACTCACTGGACATGACGTCTACACTTAAACACGAGTCACTGGACATGACGTCTACACTTAAACACGAGTCACTGGACATGACGTCAACACGTAAATACCACTCACTGGGCATGACGTCAACACGTAAATACCACTAACTGGACTTGACGTCTACACTTAAACACGAGTCTCTACGCGTAAATACCACTTACAAGGCATGACGTCTACACTTAAACATGAGTCACTGGACATGACGTCTACAAGTTAATACCACTCACTGGACATGACGTCTACACTAAAACACGAGTCACTGGACATGACGTCAACACGTTAATACCACTCACTGGGCATGACGTCAACACGTAAATACCACTCACTGGGCATGACGTCTACACTTAAACACGAGTCTCTTCGCGTAAAAACCACTTACAAGGCATGACGTCTACACTTAAACATGAGTCACTGGACATGACGTCTACAAGTTAATACCACTCACTGGAAATGACGTCTACACTTAAACACGAGTCACTCGACGTGACGTCTACACGTAAAACACGAGTCACTGGACATGACGTCAACACGTAAATACCACTCACTGGGCATGACGTCTACACTTAAACACGAGTCACTCGATATGACGTCAACACGTAAATACCACTCACTGGAAATGACGTCAACACGTAAAAACCACTCACTGGACAAGACGTCAACACGTAAATATCACACACTGGGCATGACGTCTACACGTAAACACCACTCTCTGGGCGTGACGTCAACACGTAAATACTACTCACTGGACATGACGTCAACAAGTAAATACCATTCACTGGGCATGACGTCAACACGTTAATACCACTCACTGGACATGACGTCAACACATAAATACCACTCACTGGACATGACTTCTACACGTAAACACCAATCATTGGACATGACGTCAACACGTAAATACCACTCACTGGACATGACGTCAACAAGTAAATACCACTCACTGGGCATGACGTCTACACGTAAACACCACTCACAGGGCATGACGTCAACACGTAAATACCACTCACTGGGCATGACGTCTACACGTAAATACAACTCACTGGACATGACGTGTACACGTAAATACCACTCACTGGGCATGACATCAACACTTAAACACCACTCACTGGACATGACGTCAACGCGTAAATACCACTCACTGGCCATGACGTCTACACGTAAATACCACTCACTGGACATGACGTCAACACGTAAATACCACTCACTAGACATGACGTCAACACGTAAATACCACTCACTAGACATGACGTCTACACGTAAATACAATTCACTGGACATGACGTCAGCACTTAAATACCACTCACTCGACATGACGTCTACACGTAAACACCACTCACTGGGCATGACGTCTACACGTTAACACCACTCACTGGACATGACGTCTACACGTAAACACCACTCACTGGACATGACGTCTACACGTAAACACCACTGACTGGACATGACGTCTACACTTAAACACCACTCACTGGCTATGACGTCTACACGTAAACACCACTCACTGGACATAACGTCTACACTTAAACACCACTCACGGGACATGACGTCTACACTTAAACACGATTCACTGGACATGACGTCAAAACGTTAATACCACTCACTGGACATGACGTCAACACCTTAATACCACTCACTGGACATGACGTCTACACTTAAACACGAGTCACTGGACATGACGTCAACACGTTAATACCACTCACTGGACATGACGTCTACACCTAAACACAAGTCACTGGACTACACTTAAACACCACTCTTTTTTGTAAAGACATGTTGCCTGAGTTTCACGAGGTCCTGGTTACTATAGAAATATAACTAATGGTATTAAACTTGAATGTTTACTATTCATAACGCAGGTATATTTGTATTAAAATAACATATAATGTAACATTCATATACTTGTATTTGCATACCTGAGGACTAACTATATCCCATGTGAACTTGTGCATGTGCAGCATATGAACATCAACATTTATCACAAATAATATACGCAGTATCAGATGTAAAACACACACATGCACAATGTTATCAATCGCACAGGTTGATGTCATTATATGCACTTTGACACACACGACACATTGCAAACGTCGCAAATGGAAATAAAGTCATATGCACCATGGTATGCATGTGACATGTAGTGTGACCAAAATACATGTATCCAGTGTGATATTAACAAATAGACCTGAGAGTTAACATTAAATATTATCTAGTCCTTATGGGGTTGGTACGAGTCCATTTCATACCCGGCATTATATGTGGCCTTGTCTATGGACGAGTTGCTATACTGCCCGGAGTCCATGTAGTGGTTGGCCTTGTCACTGTGAGAGCGAGGCCAACCACGCTTCGTCAGGATCAACACACAAAGACCCACCCCTGCCACAGCGGCCACACACCCGCACACGATGGACGCTATGATGGCCGGCTTCATGGTGGGAAGCCCTTCGGATGTAGAGGCTGTAGACCCCAGATATTTAGACGTGGAGGTTGTAGACCCCAGATATTTAGACGTGGAGGTTGTAGACCCCAGATATTTAGGCGTGAAGGCTGTAGAACCCGAAAGCTCTTTAGACGTGGAGGTTGTAGAACCCGTAAGCTCTTTAGACGTGGAGGTTGTAGAACCCGTAAGCTCTTTAGACGTGGAGGTTGTAGAACCCGGCAGCTCTTTAGCCGTGGAGGTCGTAGAACCCGTAAGCTCTTTAGACGTGGAGGTTGTAGAACCCGAAAGCCCTTTAGACGTGGAGGTTGTAGAACCCGTAAGCTCTTTAGACGTGGAGGTTGTAGAACCCGGAAGCTCTTTAGACGTGGAGGTTGTAGAACCCGTAAGCTCTTTAGACGTGGAGATTGTAGAACCCGGAAGCTCTTTGGACGTAGAGGTCGTAGAACCCGGAAGCCCTTTAGACGTGGAGGTCGTAGAACCGGGCAACTCTTTAGCCGTGGAGGTCGTAGAACCAGGAAGCCCTTTAGGCGTGGAGGTCGTAGAACCCAGAAGCCCTTTAGCCGTATTGGCGGTAGAACCAGACAGTCCGTCAGACGTGGTGGTGGTAGGCCCCAGGGCCTCTGTAGACATGGAGTCGGTGAACCCGGCAATCCCTCCAGATGTTGTGGCTTTGGACTCAGGAACTCTGCTGGGTTCTGTGGATCGAGGACGTTGACTCGACATCGAAGCTGTGGTTGGGTGAAGTCCACTGGATATAGAGGCCATCGATCCGAGCGTTGTACTGGACAAGGGGGATGTGTAACCGGGAAGTTGGGTGGACGCTGTTCTTCCTGTGGATGCAGCTAATGTGGATGCTGATGGACCTTTTGTGACAGAGGAGGGTGTTCTGCTTCCGAGCATCGACCCCTCTTTGGTCACTACAGAGACGGCAGCTGCTGTAGGTGGCGTTGTCTCACTGCTGGTGGACGTCATCCTGGTGGATACTGCGCTTGCAGTTGGTCTTGAATATATGATGACAGGTGTGGTGACGTAGTCGGAGACCCCCGATGGTGCCGTCACAGTCAGCACGACGTCCCTGGAACAACGTGGTATAGGAGGTGCAGAGGAAAACGATGTATGACACAACACAAGACTATTGCACTTATATAGCGACATGCATGCACGTATGTGTGTGGCTGCTTGTACTAGTCAGGAATGATGCCGATTTACAGAGCTATGACACTGAGATACCATGCCGAAGGTTAACACGAATACCCTACTCAGACACAGTATACTGACTCTGTGGCGACCAGTCCTTGTCTTAGCCCCTTAAAGCCGAGCACCAGACATGGTAACAACTAGTACCATCTTTTAACGTCTTTTGGTAAGACGCGGCCGGGGATCAAACCCCGGACCTTCCGCTCTCCGGGCGGACGCTCTACCACTAGACCATGGAGGCGGTCTCGAGAATTGTAAGCAGGGACGAGGAAGGAATCAATCTTACGTTCTGTTCGGGTAAACGTTAGGGACGAAATTGCTCAACGGAATCGTGGTGAATGTTCTCACTCTAACACACACTCTCACTCTCTCACTCACATTCTCACTCTCTCACTCTCACACACACACACACACACACACACACGCGCACTCTCTCTCTCTCTCTCTCTCTCTCTCTCTCTCTTCTTGGCGTCAGCCAGATGTAGGTGATGTTACTTACCCTGCAGTAGATGGCGCTGTGATATTGGCTGTTACAGTCACAGTACCTGTGTAGGAGTGGCCTTTCATTACGGTGAAGGAGTTGGGGCTGACAACAGGCTTCAGAACCTTCAAGCAATGGTAAATGTGTTGAAGTGCAAAATCCGAGAATATAGTTTAGATCAAAAACCCGTGCTGCAACTGGAGAAACGACCACCGTCATTTGTTTGGTGAATATACGTCTAATCCATTGGCAAAATGACGACACCTTGTGTACCATGTCTGCATTCAGTGATGAGAAGGTGGTTATTCTGTTATTTATGTTCATGGAGTAATTAAGGCGTGTGTACTTATGGTTGGAAATAATGGACAGAACGCTAAATTGTCTACTCGAACTGGTGACGACGAGCCATTAGACGATGAATAGGAAAAACTATTTGGAAGTATCTCTACCGCGTGGTGATGTTCTATACACACCGTGTTTGTTGATGTAACTTGAACACTGAACGACCCAGGAACGCCATAATTGGTAACAACAAAGGGAAGATGTACACCGCCCGTGCCCGATGTTGAAGACTCCCCTGTAGAAATGCAACAAAGAACTTTATCAGCGCAATAATAACTGTGAGTGAGTGAGTTGGATTTAACGCCGCTTTTAACAGTATTCCAGTTATATCACGGCGTGTCAGCTTAATGTGGGAGGAAAGCCCGAAGTGATGCAGGTCTCAGACGTTTACCACTTCGATGAACCCCACGAGCACGGGTATGGTGCTGACAAACCTAGAAACATAATCGGGGCGAACCAGGTTTCGAACACACAATCATACGTTCCTGGCGTGCCAAAGGGACGCAACTCTGCACAGCGAATCGCGGCGCCTTAGACAAATTGCTAATTTTAAGTGACATCCTTCAATAACGGCAACATAGCCCTTCAACTAATTTACCCAGCTAAACTGGAAATAGAAGATACCAGTATAACGGCTTCATTTGTTTCATATTTAGGTCTTTGCATAAAGATAAAGTGACTGGAAACTCTCCTCAACTCTCTACACTTCGCAACTGTTGTGGTACAATCTAGCATACTCTTTCTTCGAAGTGTTCAAAGAGCGTCATACGACTCATGCTCAAAAGTTGTTTGATCATGGTTACAACATATTACGCCTCAGAAAAGCCTTCAAAACGTTTTGTGGCAGACATCGGAGGACATTTTCAAATTGGACGCATCAGTGACAAGAATGATGTCCGATGCAATTCTCTATTTTGACTTGTACCAGATGGTCCCGTGTTTTTTGTCGGGGGAATAATAGACTTGCCTTTGCATGTGTTTGTGACGGGTGCCACCGGTGGCAGCGGTGGCAGCTTTTCGCGAACACCTGGTATCATCACTATGTGATAGTGATTCTTAAACACATGCTCATGCTCTAGCCGGAATCGAACGATGTACTCTGCTGTTAGCAGTGATTTCTTATGATTATGAAAAGGGTTTCTTGTCTCTTTTATTTATTATAATTGTTTTTATTATTTAAATTATTTATGAGCTAAATTGACTTGTTACAGAGGATAGGTTAAGAGCATTGTTTTTATGGAGATCAGGTTAACAGCATGGCTGACAGTATATGTGACTCGATCGCGAGAGTGACGGTGCCGCCTGATGTTATCCTCAACACTCCTGCCTACCCGCCGTGATGTTGAAGGTGACCTTGAACTCTGATTCCGGAGATACAGCCGTCTCCGACATCCGTGTGAAGCTGTTGCCATGGTTATCTATCCCTGATATTCCAAGTCGCAAGTCCTGTAGATTGCACGGTAAACATAATCATAAAATTGACAGAATACACATGTATTTGCATACATATTGAGGTTAAACATGTATGTGTCTACGTATCTGAACGTACTTCTGATGTCGTGAGTGACTTTGTAGTACCGTAGCAGCGTCTGTTAATACGTAATCAAGAGGAATTAAATAATCATATACTTCATTAACATGATGGGTGAGATGGGTTCATCCATGCTTTATTAAGTAACTCAATTTATCCCGGCGTACCAGCATTATTGAAACATTAATGTCTGTAAACATTCCCACTTTCGTTAAACCTGGGCCCAGGTGTGTGGAGTGTGACAAATCAAGAATCATCATAACGGTGAATCTGGTTTCGAACCCACGACAATTTGATTGCGGTACACGTAAGGTGTGCAACTCTGCACTGGGCCACCGATGATCCCACTAAGTACAGATACTCAACAGTGAGTACCTAGTCTCGGACAATGTACATCAGTGCTACAAGAAACAAAGACCTCAGTGGTCTTACCTTCGCAGGAAGATTTATTGCTGCTTTATAGCGGGCGCCCGTACGTCCCACAGGTGTCAGAACTGCAGATTTGATGACGTCACCATTCAGTGCGTACAACGTCACAGCTGTGATATTCTGTGTTTTGTCGACACCATTAATTTCTATGGCCAGAGTTAGATTTATTCCTGAAGGCAGAGAAATGTAAAGAAGTTGATCACCGACACCATCTTTATATGAGGAAATATAATTAGATTCTTCCACATCCAACAGTTTAGTTGACAGAAATGTTACAAATACAGAACAATGACGAGGACGCACCTGCTGGGGGATCTCCTGGCACAGAAATGGCGTAGCCTGTGTCTGGATTCAGCATCATGAACTGGGCCTGAAAACTGACGTCACTGTCCCCTTTGACGATGACGTCATAGTGCAGCATGTCGCTGAAGTGAAGCTTCCAAGAACCTGAGCGAGAGAGAGTAGTGAGTGAATGAGTATGGTTTCATGCCGCTTTTAGCAATATTCCAACAATATCACGGCGGGGGACACCAGAAATTGGCTTCAAACATTGTACCCATGTCGGGAATCGAACCCGGGTCTTCGACGTGACGAGCGAACGCTTTAACCACTAGGCTTCCCAAGATATGCAAATATGTCTGTGTCCTACCTGGGCTTGGCTTGACTATCTTGTACACAAGTGCCCCAGCACTATCCACAGCCAGCGTCACCTTGCCTACAGCCGCTCCTGCAACGACAAACAACGTCATCTTTAAGCCTCGCCCGAGTAACGTTACAGAAACACCACCGTAAGCATAAATGTTGATCGTGGCCAACCAGCGTCCGTTTTTCCCGTTTCACTGGATGCACACGGTCGTGTGTGACAGAATATTGACATCAGTATGGCCTTGACCTTCGAATGTGCAATACAGCTGACCGGAAGACTAGGATGCTGCAAGTTCTTGATATGTTGTTGATTAACCTTCGTCATGAAACTGGTTGGTGCTTTATCAATCATCAGTGGTAACCTCGTTCTGTCTCTACAAGATGCAGCCAAACTACTGACCTTTAGGATCTGAGAGTTGGATGGCAGACTTGGTGATGTGACCTGTGACCTCCACCAGAATCAAAGTCAGGGCAGAGTCGACGTTGAAAGTCACGTCACGTGGTGGTGTAGCGTTGACACGAGTCACCATGACTACCACAGGCGACGCCTGAATGGTCAAATAACGAATATTAATGTTATAAGTTGTGGTGTCTTTAGTTGCCGTATACGGTGTCATATTATGTTAGCAAGAAAATATTGGGCGAGGCGTGAACCGAGCCCAATATTTTCCTGCTAACCTAATATGACACCGTATACGGCAACTAAAGACGCCATAACGAATTTATTATGACGAAAAAGTTACATTTTTTGGTATCTTTGTCGCACAACAGGTATGAACGACAGGACCAGTACATATGTTTCCGATACAACGCTTAAATGTAAACATAAACGTTAACAATGGAATATATGATGCACTAAATGTGAACGTTTAAAGTACTATAGCTAAAATGGACAGAATTCCAGACATCTGCGGGCCACTGTAACTTGATAGCAGTCCGCTTTCCCCCTACGACGGGCTGCTATCTATTCTATTGCTATGTGACGTCATTGGCGTCACGTTTCTTGTTTGTGACGTCATCCCCTTGTATGTTATATGACGATGCTATTTGTAACTCAATGACCTTCGTTGTAAGCTTTTTTTCTCTATAATTATTATAAATAAAGTCACAAACGTGGTTTCTTTAATAAAAAATGTCTTTGTTCATCACAATTAATGATATTAAAACATATAACGTTTGTCGAATAACGATTTTCTGTTCCAGAAATTTCATGTGAAATATGTGAGATGGGTGTTGGAAAATTCAAAATGACTGTTACTGACGGTATACGGTCTCATATTAGGTCAAGCTCCTCACAGCGATAATCCGTTCGCGGAGCTCTCTATGTACTATCGCTGCCACCAGTCAAAACTCCCCACTGTGAGAGGTGACCCCAACCATGCTTGGAGTTGAACTCGCAACCGAATGACCATTATGCTTACAAACAAGTGACGACAGTCGTGACGCCGAATACACTTACCGCTGATAAATTACTTTCTTTCTTTGTCAATTTGAATTTCTATTTCATTAAAAGTATCATCTTTAATTGATATAGTAAGAATGTAAGGGAGAAGTTGGTTGATTTTCCGTTAGTCTGCAATCTCGAACCAATCTGATTATTAGAACAACAAAGTAAATTCATCTGGAAAACATGGTCAGTCGTAAACCTTTTCAAAATGAAATATGATGGCATTTCCAAAGACATAAACAAAAGTATAATCGTTACTAAATATGGGGTTAGAGGGCAAATCTCAAGATTCTTGTAATGGCCGCGCCCACACTGGTGGCAGCGATGTTACCGAGAGTGTAACAAAGTAGTCACGCGCTGGGAAGGAGCTTGATATTAGGTCTGTAACAACCATCTTGGATTTTTACTGACGGTATACGGGCTCATGTGGGGTCAGTACTCCTGCTCTCTGATTGGTCAATCTCACTTTGAGGCATAATAATTGTAGATATGTGCCCACGGATCGCCAAGCATTGGCATTCCAAAGCATACAACACACTATAACTATTTTCTTCCTCATCCTTCCATGCCTAAAACACCCAACGGAACTCCATCATTAACGATTTTGAATTTCCCTCTCTCTCCTCTTCCCCTTTCATATCTGCACACCCGCCAGAGCTGTTTCAGCCACTGTGGTACTGGAGGCGTGGTCTATAGTTGTCACGTTACTGTCAGTCTTAAATCTCCTCCCCTCTCATTCATATCTGCACACCCACCAGAGCTGCTTCAGCCACTTTAATGCTGGAGGCGTGGTCTACATCTGTCATGTTACCGTCAGTCTTAAATCTCCTCCCCTCTCATTCATATCTACACACCCACCAGAGCTGCTTCAGCCACTGTGATGCTGGAGGCGTGTTCCACGTCTGTCTTGTTACTGCCAATCACAGATCCACCACTCAGGGCTGCTAGGTGGGAATATATGTCAAGACCTGAAAACAAAATTAACAATATCGCAATTAATGACAAGCGAAAATAGGCATATTCTCTGGAAAGAATACAATGTTCAATTCTTGATTCAAAGTGCAAACGCTCATCTTTCTTGAGACGAACGTTGGCAATGGTCATAACTCTGCTTCCAGAAGACAGGATCTAAACTCGAGTGTGCGCATGACAACAACTGCGCAAACGTTATGTATTATGAGTGAGTGACTATGGTTTTACACAGCGTTCAGCATTCTAGCAACATCGCGGCGGATAACACCAGAAACTGACAGTGTACTCCTGTGGGGAATCGAGCCCGGGCCTTCGGCGTAACAAAAGGACCCTCTACTTGGCTTCACAACCGCCCCTGCATTAGGACCAACCGTTGACTTCCTTGGTCATTGGTTGGCACACTTATGAAATATTGTTGAAGTCGTTTACCTGAACTCCTATGAAACCTTCTTGTTCCTGGATTAGTGTTTGATCGCCCAAACACATCGTATATACCCTCCGTTCTCGGCGGACTGTTTGATCGCCCAAACACATCGTATATACCCTCCGTTCTCGGCGGACTGTTTGATCGCCCAAACACATCGTATATACCCTCCGTTCTCGGCGGACTGTTTGATCGCCCAAACACATCGTATATACCCTCCGTTCTCGGCGGGCTGCCTGGCGCCAACTTCTTCGTGTTGCTCTCTAAGATGGAAACGGGGAGGTGAGAAAGTCGCGCTTGGAGGATCAATATAAGCAAAAGTATAACCTTGTTAATCCGAACGAAACCAATCCCGATACAAATCGCCAGGATTAAACAAATTTCGGAGACCAAATCATGGTACCTGGGTATGTGCTTTCATGTTTAACTTTCTCCATCTCACGTGATTTCACTGTATTACGAATGTTAGGGAACTTTCAAGTTTAGTTCATAATATACGTCTCGATTTTACTTGCGAAAGGTTTGATTATTATAAATTGAGAATGTATACAGGTTGGTCGTGTGTCTCTCAAAGGAATTCAACCAAATGTTTTTTTCTGACACTGTTTGGTGTTTATTTGATCTTAAAGGTTTGAATATATATGGATATTAGAAAACGATTGAACGATTGGTTTTTGCCTGAAGGTATTAAAGAATTACCTTTGTTATAAAATAAAACAGTATTCAGTTAACTTTAAACCCCAAAATTAACTTTTAAAACCGATTTCAATATGTTAGGATATAAATACACATCGTTGTTCTCACCTTTATTGACATCATGTCGTTTATTTCCTAACGCCCGACTGTGTGAGGTGTCAACAGGCAGACCACAACTCAGCACAACACAACACAAGAACAACACACCCGTAATTCTCGCCGCCATATTGGTTCTGACAGTATGCGCGGGGATCGTGCGCGGGAATCAACGTCATGCATTCCAGAACTCCGGAAAAGTCCTCATATTTGCGCAGCAACCGTCATTCTGTACACTGACGTTCTACATTCCCCAGTCGTATAAACAAATGCATTACTGTCATCGATTTGAAGGTGTGACGCCGATTAGACGGCGGGTGTGCACCCAGGAACTGTTGACCTAGGGACAAAGGTGAGAGATAGGGATAGCTAGGTGCTATATATAGCTCTCATGACAACTGGACACATTGCATGGCTTCACTGTGCGATATCGCAGTGTACTTATTGTAGAGTTGTCTCTTGTGCGACACACTCACACACTCTTGTGCGACCGTAGATTGGTTAAATGAGATACAGAGGCTGATGTCGGTCATTCTCATTAGGACTGACCCACTGTGGCAAAAGATGAAGTCGCAGTCAGTTGTCATTCTGGCCATTAGGTTCATGTTTGTCTGACTGTTGGGGCGGACCATGGATGACGTACTGTTTATCTCATGTCGTCATGGTGACGCGTGCGTCACACTCAGTTGAGACAATGCCTGTGGTGGAATTTGAAACATAAACATACTTGATAGCAGCCACAACTGCCGTCATAGTTCTCATGTATATATCGCCTTTCGAAACGTTTTATTAAAGTTGAAAGGTTAATTTGGAACTGCAAGTCAGGGCGATACCCTGCATGATCAATCAAGTTTGAGTTTAACGTGGATTCAAGCAATATGTCCCCTGAGGCCGAGACGTGTGGGAGGAATAATGGCTTTGGTGAAATCTACGGACGTGGTGCTGACAGACCCAAGATTCTTTATTGAGGAGAATCAAAGGTTCGAACCCACGACCACTGAGCCACCCTACCCAAGGGCAATGCGTGTTACAACGTACGTGAGCACCCAGTCACATACGTGGGAACCCCACATAGACTAACACACACAGGTTTAGCTAGGGAACATGTTGAACATGTACATGTTTCTTTTTGTGATCTTAAAAGCTAAAGCTACAAAGTCTTTAGTATTTTTACAGACTTTTCCCTCTTTCTATCCGTGTCTGTTACAGATGTTTACCTTAAAGCGTGTGCTGTGCAATTGAGGAAGAGAAGCTCGACATACACGATATATCCGAAAACAAGGTGAAGGTGAGGTGAAATGGGGTTCAACGTCTTCGTTCAAGATTATTGCACTTAGCCTGCAACCTCGGGGTATCGCGGTACTTGTCATGTACGCTAAACGGAACAAAATGCACTCACTAACCTTTATGTTTATTCGTGTTCTCTGTATCAGATATCATTCATGTTATCAAACAATGCATATTTTACTTATAAAAGTTCATTATTTACATCAGTAGCTCCGAGTAAAAGCCGGGCCTCGCGCTCAGTTTGACAAGGGAGAGAACTCCATCGTATCGCGGTACAGAGAAAAGTTGTGTATGGAGATCCGAATTGGACAAAAAGAGGACATAATTCTACCAACCACTTGGTATGATCATGCCAGACATCATTGATTTGTACAGACAAGTGCAAAGAAAGCACAAGTAAAATTCTAAATGTGTTATCAGCAATAGGTATTCAATGCATATTTACCGAAATGTAAGAGAAAAATATTTTTATAAGTCAACATCAAAATATCAGAAATGATATTTTAAGATTGTTTAAAAAAAATTGGATGACAATAATTTGTCACAAAATGGAAAAATGTTAAAAGTCAACAATAAATATATAAAAAGCACTCCTAGTATGCCCAAAGTATGTATTTATCTTTTGGTTACTAGTGAAGAACGTATTTCTAAGTTTGGCATTATGGCCCTTATGATCTCCCAATAGATTCTGGGCACAGAGCGGGAAAAAATGTGCGGACTACGTAACTTCCGTTACCTCATTAGTCGTCATGAATATGCAGATGATCTAGTACAGGTTGATAGAGAAAGTTTACTTGGGGAACTGCGGGTTATATCGTTGGCCATTGATAGATGAGGGTAAGGCATTATTACAACAGATGCCAGAAATATGTATCAACGGATTAATAACTCCTTACTTACAGCAAAATTTCACATTCCGAGGAAATTGAAATTGTTTACGAAGTGAGCACTTCCTGGTTACTGATTAGCATTAATAGACAGCCGCTAAGAGGCGTGTCCCGCGTGAACTACCGGAAATCACAAATGCCGCGATACGATGAATGCCGCGGTACCATGGGGTCCGAGTATATATAGCGACGTGCATGCACATGTACGTGCGGCTTCTTGTACTAGTCCGGACTGATGCCTATTTTATAGTGATAGCCCACTGAGATACAATGCCGCACTCGTACCACACTCAGGCACAGTATACTGATTTCGAGCCGACCAATCTTTGTTTAAGCCCCCAAGGCCGGGCGCCAGGCAGGGTAACAACAAGTACCATCTTTTAAAGTCGAACCGCCGACCTTCCGCTCTCCGGGCAGACGCTCTATCCACTGGACCACGAAGGCGGTCCACAATCCAATGGATGTCACAACATGAGATACACTGGCTGTCCCAATTTATTCACACAGATACAGAGATACAGTCACATAGTTAAACACAACCATTGAAGCGCCACACATGGCGACATTGACGTTGGGAACGTCGGACTACTGATGCATGACCTCACCCTTTGATAATAGGACACTGGCTATAGTTTTGTTTATTTGTTTGTTGTTTAACGCCGTACTCAGCAATATTCCAGCTATATGACGGCGAGCCTGACTGCCGGATCCCGTCAGTCGCCTCTTAAGACAACGGGCTATAGAAATACCACGATATTACAAGAGTAATTAACGACTGATTCTCAATCCCTAAACGTTGTTGTTATATGATTTCTAGTTCAAAAGGCGAGGGATATACGCCCCTTTAACGTAAACCGTACTAAAGTCTACGTTAAAGACGCCATTACGGTCATATTCGTGTTGGGGGTGAGTGTCATTTGTCTCTGTGTATCGGGCTTTGTAAGATGACTGTGAAATGTTATTTATGTTATTCAAAACTACAAAGTCTGTCTATCCTCGTGAGAGTCCAGTCACCGGTGATCTACAGTTTCTTTACGTTTATCGAGAGAGGGCATAACGAAGTCAAAGAGGCGAAACTAGTAATTATGCTTTCTATTACTCTGCAGATTTTTACTCAGGGATGGTTCGAGTAAGTCTAGGTTTGCAGTGCAGTTCTGAAATGAACATATTTTACAGAAAAAACAGTTGTTAAATAATAGTTATAAAATATAATGAAAAGGAGCCCAGAGACTTTCTTCCCTGATACTGCAGTAATCTAGACTTGCCAAACATTAGAGACTTGCAGGGGCTGTATTGGATATATTTGTTTCAGGGTCTGTATGACAGACTACCGCGATCGTGAAAAATATTCGAGAAATACGAAACTGAGGTAATGTTGGCTTATTCTGAGATCCAGTTGTCTCCCTTGGAAATCACGTTATGTCAAAACAAAGCAGCTTCACCGGGCAGGAGGATGCTCGGTCCACTCCACCGGCTCACACCCTCGCCGAGATGGCTAGCGCAGCTGTAACCATGGTAACATACACAGCAGGTGCGCCTACTGGGCCACCATTCCCACTGTCGGGCCTGGTGGTTGGTGCCGTGGTTGGTGCCGTGGTGACGAGCACTGTGTCAAACTGAGAGAAGCCAGACGGCCCCGTCACAGTCACCCGGATGTTCCTGGAACAAAGGGGAGATAACTCACGTAAATACGAAGTAGTCATGTCGTGTCACATGTTACTTTACATTTGACCTCCAACAGTGAAAGCAATGTCGCGTGTGCCCAGGACGGAAATAACGGTTCAAACAGAAATTCTTAGGATGTGCTTTACTGCATTGAGTAAACATTCCTCATACAAGCACAACCACTGTTGCAATAGTAGTATCGGTTGCTTTTTACTTCGGGTAAATCGGAATTTATAACACACTTTCCGTCATATCCGTTCATTATTTCTTTACATCAGTATCAGATGGGTGTCAGGGTGTCTCACTTGACACCAACTATCGTCAGTACTTCACAGTTTTGTATACACTACGTTCTTCCATCTCCCGTGAATGCATTCGGAGATTTGCGACATTGTTGCTTTTTTAACGAATCAATCCATCGCCTTGTTACAACAGGAGGGAAGGTGCTCAAACAATGATTACATCGGCAACATGTACCGCGTAACATTTGCTATGTGTAGGAGAAACAATTTCTACGAGGGATTACCAGCGATTGTAAACCCTGCAGTCGTGAACTCGGTTCAGGGAAACCGGTGACCTCAGCACGTGGGTTTCGCAACGGTGCGAAATCTGCACGTGCGTCTCGTAGGCTGTTCGTAGTTTTTGTTCTATCAAGGGTTTACAATGATTGTCAGCCCTCCTGTGAGGTGTTACCACAATTTCAAAAACTCCATATCGAGTTACACAAACAGCCAGTAGGTTTATAAAGCCTGTGGACATACACTCCACACATCGCTTCAATGTCAGGCCACGGTAGGGTTCGCACAAAGTCAATGTACGGAATAGGGTTCACTTAGTTTCCATGTGTTATACACGGGCTCATTTCATTGGCTAAATTATAAATAGGCACACGTCACTATTACACACTTTTATCACATCGCCGTATCTTTTCATGGTTGATGGAGGAATATAGTGTATACGTGTAATCTTCATTTGTGTTACACGAGCCTAACAATTCTATAGTCATTCCAGCGGCGAATATGGCATGCTTAATACGTCCCGAAATTACTTGTGTTGACAATGTGACACTGCTTGACATTCTTCAAGGAGTAATTAAAAACTGATACAGTACCATACGTTTATAACGAAAACGCTTATAACGAACTGACGGATATAACAAATATTCTTTTTGGTCCCGGCCATTTGCTATATATGCTGTACATATGCTTATAACGAAATACGGTTACAACAAACGAACATTAGTGGTCCCTTTGAGTTCGTTATAACCGTAGTTTACAGTACTTTTAGAAAGAGAAGGGAGATGGTTGGTTGTTTCAGAGAAGGCGGACAAAATACCAACCCCGCTGTTGGTGTAGATGTACTGGTGATGACTGTGACGTTGCTGGTGTAGGAGGCGTTGTTGTTGATGCTGAAGACGGCGCGGGAGATACTGGGATGCAGAGCCTGCAAGTGTTGTCAAACATCTTTCCTGAGAAGTCTTACCCTGGAGTGTGCCGCGTAACAGGGTGGGGTCGAGTACCAGGGTCGGGTGGGTAACAGGGTGAGTTTGGGTATCAGTGTGGGTCGGGAAGCATTGTGCGGTCGGATATCAGGGTGGGCTCAGGTACATGGTGTGTCGGGTATCAGGGTGGGCTCAGGTACATGGTGTGTCGGGTATCAGGGTGGGGGAGGGTACCAGGGCGTGTCGGTCCCAGGGTGGAGGCGGGTACCCGGGTGTGGCCGGATACGAGGGCGTGGTTGGTACCAAAGTGTGTCGGTACGAGGGCGGGGCGGGTAGAGGGATGGGGGGAATGACCTACCCGACCACCCCCTGCACACTGACGGGGACGACATGACAATGAAAACTACCCGCTCGTTTTGTCTGTTTTTGGTGTTATTCGTATCAGTATGATTTTGTATGAGAGATTAATGGATATATTTTGTATACTTAATTTTTGGAAAACTTAAGTCGCTTCACAAATGTAGTAAAAAGACACAAATTATCTTGAAGAAGGCAGCATAAAAATCCTCTAATCTCTATAGAGATGAAAGCAGTTTACCAATACACATATGTTGTTTGATTGTTTGTTTGTTTGTCTGTTGTCTGACGCCGCTCTCGGCAATATTACAGCTCACACAGACGGCGGTCTGTAAATAATCGAGTCTGGGCCAGACAATCCAGTGAATGATATCATGAGCATCGATCCACGCAAAGGGATACGATGACATTCATCGATCAAGTCAGCGAGCCTGACCACCCGATCCCGTCTGTCGCCTCTTACGACAAGCATAGTCGCATTTTACGGCAAGTATGGGTTGCTGAAGACCTCTTCTACCCCGGATCTTCACGGGTCAATACACATATGTAATTTCCCTGCTTTCTTCTATTAATGCGGGACACGGGTAAACAAGGGGCCCGAGGCGCCGCAGTAAGCTGTGCCAGGATCAGCTGATCTTGGTTCCCAGGTTTGTCAACACTATGTATGCCACTTAGGCACAGATGTTCTTACAAAGTTTCTTGGTCAATGTTCTGCAACAAAGACTTACAACTGGTTTCTCTCAAACGAGGGGTCGTTCAGTATTTAACTGGTCTATGGAACAGGGAACTATGTCTCACCGTGCTCTCCGACGTCACCATGACGGTGAAGTTGCCACGCTCGCCGTGGTTGACGACAGTGTAGGGTAGGAGCAACGTCCGACCAGGATGAATGACACCTACACACACAATATGACAACATGGGACATTCAACGGTAAATAATCGTGTGTGGACCAGACAAACCCGTGACTGAAAACATGAGCAGCGTTATTAATATAATAGATAATTGTACTTAATATGATAAAGTTCAAACGCCGCTCAAGCTGTAATTTATCAGTTTTGCAAATAACAAACAATTTGTGACTCGATATTCGCCACGTCGACATCGGCCCGACCCTAAGCTTTTTCTTCTTGCATTTTACACGATAAACTTATATCCAGTTCTTCACAGTTACAACTGTGTTCCACTTCAAGTTGCACTTTTGTATGTTACCCGTCCTGACATCAGAATGCCGGAAACTTGGCTTTCCGGGGATTTCCACCATGTTTTGAAGCCATGAAGCATTTGGGTGATTCTGAATTATGGTTGGTGAGTGTAGAAAACAAATAAGATAAAACTTCGCCCTACCTACCAAATAGTGAATTATAATGATGAGAAACAAACAACTACGTCAGTGACGACCCGTTCTGCTGCAGCCCTACCTTCTGTGTCGTGGAAGGTGACGGTGAGCTCGGCCTCAGGGGTGACAGCTGTGGGGGAGACGCGAGTCAAGGGGGAGCCGTGGGTGTCTTTACCTGTGACGCCGAGACGGAGAGCCTGTGGAACCAGTTGGAACCAGTGTGAGAGGTGAAACCAGTTGGAACCAGTGTGAGAGGTGAAACCAGGTGGAACGTGAGCGTAAGAGGTGGAACCAGTGTGAGAGGTGGAACCAGTTGGAACGTGAGCGTAAAAGGTGGAACCAGTTGGAACGTGAGCGTGAGAGGTGGAACCAGTTGGAACCTAAGCGTGAGAGGCGGAACCAGTTGGAACGTGAGCGTGAGAGGCGGAACCAGTTGGAACGTGAGCGTAAGAGGTGGAACCAGAGTGAGAGATGGAACCAGTTGAAACCAGTGTGAGAGGTGGAACCAGTTGGAACGTGAGCGGGAGAGGTGGAACCAGTTGAAACCAGTGTGAGAGGTGGAACCAGTTGGAACGTGAGCGCGAGAGGTGGAACCAGTTGGAACCTGAGCGTGAGAGGCGGAACCAGTTGGAACGTGAGCGTGAGAGGCGGAACCAGTTGGAACGTGAGCGTAAGAGGTGGAACCAGAGTGAGAGATGGAACCAGTTGAAACCAGTGTGAGAGGTGGAACCAGTTGGAACCTGAGCGTGAGAGGCGGAACCAGTTGGAACGTGAGCGTGAGAGGCGGAACCAGTTGGAACGTGAGCGTAAGAGGTGGAACCAGAGTGAGAGATGGAACCAGTTGAAACCAGTGTGAGAGGTGGAACCAGTTGGAACGTGAGCGGGAGAGGTGGAACCAGTTGAAACCAGTGTGAGAGGTGGAACCAGTTGGAACGTGAGCGCGAGAGGCGGAACCAGTTGGAACGTGAGCGTAAGAGGTGGAACCAGTGTGAGAGGTGGAACCAGTTGAAACCAGTGTGAGAGGCGAAACCAGGGGTTACAGGGATTGGGTAACAGGTGCCCTGTGTTAAGACGACCGCATGTAGCCAGTGATCCGCACGAATATATGATGACGTCCTCAGGCAGCACACTTTACTACAGGCATGGGCTGCTTGGGCATATTCCGCATGGAGGACATAATTAAACCAGCATTACCGTACCTTTCCCTGTCAGAAGAAGGATCTAAGTGCGTAAAATGTACATCAGTGCTACAAGAAACAAAGACCTCAGTGGTCCTACCTTTGCTGGAAGATTTATTGCTGCTTTATAGCGGGCGCCCATATGTCCCACAGGTGCCAGAACTGCAGATTTGATGACGTCACCATTCAGTGCGTACAACGTCACAGCTGTGATATTCTGTGTTTTGTCGACACCATTAATTTCTATGGCCAGAGTTAGATTTTTTCCTGAAGGCAGAGAAATGTGAAGAAGTTGATCACCGACACCATCTTTATATGAGGAAATATAATTAGATTCTTCCACATCCAACAGTTTAGTTGACAGAAATGTCACAAATACAGAACAATGGCGAGGACGCACCTGCTGGGGGATCTCCGGGGACAGAAATGGCGTAGCCTGTGTCTGGATTCAGCATCATGAACTGGGCCTGAAAACTGACGTCACTGTTCCCTTTGACGATGACGTCATACTGCAGCATGTCGCTGAAGTGAAGCTTCCAAGAACCTAAAACAGATAAAGTTGGATTTGACTCAGGAATAATTCACAGATGACACATAACACAGATAGATACGTCGGGTTTTCTTCCCAATATAATCAGACCTGTAGTGATGTCACTGAAATGTTTTGTATTAACAGCTTAAAACCTCTCTCACTCACTCATGAACATGTGTTGTGCAGATATGTCCGTGTCCTACCTGGGCTTGGCTTGACTATCTTGTACACAAGTGCCCCAGCACTATCCACAGCCAGCGTGACGTTGACTGGAGATACTCCTGGAACGACAAACAACGTCACAGTGTAGTGGCCGTCCATGCTGGAAGCGCAACTCCTGTCAGCTCACCCCCCTCCAAGGAAGACCTCGACCCACGCAGACTCACAGCCAGAGACAGGGATGTGATGTCATGGCTCCCATTGCAAGACACTCTTATCCCATTTGTTTTATTATGTTCAACTACATATATGTTCCTTTTAATGTCACATTCTACAAAATATGTGTGCCACCTTGGACTTGGATACAGTACGGTTAATACTGGATCCGTTTCGTGAAAAAATGTGCACTTTGTGATAAAAGCACGTAACTTGGCACAGTTGAAGGTAATGACACTTAAAACAGTGTTCAGGTATTGGGCCACCAAACACAATCCAATATGGCCGCCATGGAGGAATGGATTTTTCGTATTTCTCGTTTGAGCATGACCCACAGAAGGTTGTGGCAGGAAGGTGATGTTCCCGGTTTCGCCCTATGTTTACAGTATTTGTCTTCCAGTTAAGCATCAAACAGATGATCATCCTACATCAAGAATGAGAGTGTGTCACATTGATGCAGCCAGACTACTGACCTTTAGGATCTGAGAGTTGGATGGCAGACTTGGTGATGTGACCTGTGACCTCCACCAGAATCAACGTCAGGGCAGAGTCGACGCTGAAAGTCACGTCACGTGGTGGTGTAGCGTTGACATGGGTCACCATGACTACCACAGGCGACGCCTTAACAAGAAAATGATAATGAATATTAACTCGTGTAGGTTTGAATCTGTTGGTAAATGATGTAGCGTCTGTGCTCCAGTACACACCGCGTACTGTTTCTGATTTTACAACGTTGTTGGCTGACGTCAGAACGGATGTTTCTACCTGTCTATACATGCTTACTACTGTTATTCAAGGGGCGTGGTCTACGTAAGTCTTGTTTCTGCCAATTTTTTCTTCCCGCCCATTTCAACCACGCCCACCAGAGCTGCTTTAGCCACTGTGATATTGGAGGCGTGATCAGCATCTGTTTCATTACAGTCAGTCTTAAATCCCACCGACACCCCCACCCCTCACACCCCACACCCATCTATCTCATCCATATCTACACACCCACCAGAGCTGCTTCAGCCACTGTGATGCTGGAGGCGTGGTCTACGTCTGTCTTGTTGCTGTCAATCACAGATCCACCACTCAGGGCTGCTAGGTGAGAGTATACATCGGAGCCTAAATGAAGAAAACCGTCTTAAACTATATCTCTGAGGACTTCTGCTGTTGAGGAGACAACCACATTAAATATAACTGCCGACATTACAGGAGCGGACGGGACGTGTATGTTACATATCACGACACGTTCACAAAGACAAATTAATAAACAGCGTCCAAACCATGTCTATAATGATTACACATGTCATCATTAGCATAAGTGCATGAGTTTAACAACACGTGGATCTGTGAGTTCTCATGATTATATGTTTCCTTTGAATTTGTGAGTATACACATGATACTACAGAATGTGTGTGTGTGTGTGTGTGTGTGTGTGTGTGTGTGTGTGTGTAAAATACCACAGTTTCTTATCACAAGAGTATTTGATTTTATAAACAATTATTTTCACTGCAGTTCAGGGTGGAAACACGGCTTCTTAGGGCGTATAGGTTGTGGGACAAGGATCATGTTTAGATTAGAGTAAGGGATCTTAATACATTGTTACAGTGTAAGGGGGTAGGCGCGGGGGGGGGGGGGTTGTGTCACCGACACAACAGGTTCAAAAGCACTGTACAATATCTGAACCCTCTCTAATAGTGCTTAAATGGGCGAAAAACCATACTCACTCACTCACTCACTTATGCACTCACTCACACACGTCGTTTATAAAAAACACTTCCCCAAGTACGTGTATATCTATATTTAACCTTCTGTTTACTTATTCCAGCCCGTAATAAACGGAAGTTTAGGGCCTCAATCCTAAGATGTGTTTCTGAACATTCCATGTTGAAATGACCCTTTGGGCAACTCGTAAGAAGCGTGTCAGCAGGTTTGATCATACATGTTCATCACTTTTAAGGCAGTCAAACCAAACGCCAGCAGTAATGAATGAATGTTGTTATACGCCGCCAGCTATTCACGGCGAGAACCAGTTAACATTTCAAACATGTACTAATAAAGAACAACCATAAAAGCATGATATTAAAGATCACATAAAATATCAGTCATATATCACAGACAAATGGAAAAAACTGACTATTTGTGTTAAAACCTATATCTTGTCATAAAGATGGATTTCTTTCAGAAATGCTATAATTGTGTGGCTATGAACTTGAGTAAAAAGTTGTTTCAAAGAAGAAACATTAAAATATGTTGCACGTATTAAATCAGTATCCACGCAGTCTAAAAGTATGTGTTTCATGGTAACTTGACATTGACAAGGAATACACATGGGAGCATCTTCTCCCTTTAAAAGGAAAGCATGAGTAAAATGTGAATGTCCTATACGGCATCGGCTTAAAACAACGTCATCTCTACGACAACCAACAGTGGTTGAATATTGTACAGCTTGTTATTGGTTTGAGTATCCCAATTTGACTGCCAACATTTATTAACATATTACCTAATAACTGGTTTACAATCAGTATAAGGGAATTTAGTCTTTGTTACTCTTTGTTCAATAGCAGCTTTTGCTGCTGCATCAGCTTTGTTGTTACATTTTATTCCAACATGGCTTGGTAGCCAAAAAAAAGACAATATAATTATCGGCCACTGATAAATTCAGGTTTCGTTCAAAAATTTCAGCCAAATAAGGATGATCAGATTTCCGACCATTTATCGCCTGCAAGCAGGATAAACTATCAGAAAAAATAATAAATTGTCTGTTCGGCGAGTGCTCAATATACTGCAAAGCTAACAAAATAGCCTTTGCCTCTGCAGTGAAAATGGAACTGTCATTAGTCAGTCTAAGCGAAAACGTACCATCAGTGGTAACTGCAGCAGCAGATACTTTCTCCCCTTCTTTTGAGCAATCTGTGTAAATGCATGTGTAAGAGGGGTATTCATCTCTAACTTCTAGAAAACCTTGTTGATATTGTAATGCATTTGTATTGGCCTTTTTCAGCCTTGTTAGTTCAAGATTGACCACAGGATGTATAGATTGCCATGGAGGTATATCTGACATTTGCAACCTGGCAATAGACGTAAGATTTAAATTAGCATCTATCATGTGAGGTTTCATGCGAATGCCGAATGGCGGTATTGCGTTACACTTTCTGACATACAAATCCACATACAGAGGTTTAGAAACATTGTCAAAGGCTGGATTAGAAGGATTCGATTTGAGTTTAGTGATATATTGAAGAGCATCTTTAATCCGCCTTAATTTGAGACACGGTTCTTTGGCTTCAACATACAGACTTTCAATAGGAGATGTTCTGAAGGCACCTAAGCACAACCTGAGTCCCTGATGGTGAATACTATCTATATAGTTCCCGTAAATATGATTGACGGGCTGAACCATAAATAAAACAACCATAGTCCAGCTTAGATCGAACTAACGCCCTGTAGAGATGCAGAAGTGTTTCTTTATCCCCACCCCAATGAGCATTTGACACAACTTTAAGAATATCAAGTGCCTTGAGACATTTGGTCTTCAGATTTTTAATATGGGGAATAAACGACATTTTGCTGTCAAATGTACGCCAGCAGTAAAACCAATAAGCTAAATTTCTGATAGATATAATTCCGAGATGGAGGGACGATTTAACAAACAAGGCATTTTAGTACGTGTAACATACACGCAAATCTAAATAGATAAATTTATACATTCCACTATTATCACCTGTTATATTATACCACCTCGCATCCAACAAAGCACAGAAGCTAACCATCCTTCACGTCAAATTACTAGGAATACGAGGAGAATAATATATTACAACCATCTTCTGCGCAAATGTTACCTTTCTCCGAACGTTTGTTAATGTCATGTAGGTTGACATTCTGGTGGATGTTGTTGCCAAATCCGTTTTTCCCATTGAACTGCAATCCATTTACGATAACAGAGAGTGAGAGCAGAGCTAACACCGCTCCCGCCGCCATGTTGTTTGTGAGGCTCGCAGTGGTGTTGCGCCACCTGGAGTCTGTCAGATCCTGATTGACACTTCCAGGATACCTGTGTCTCCAAGAGGTAGCGTGGCTTTGTGAAATTTACGGAAAAAGGATTGTCGATGGTATTCCGTGTGTCAACCTGGGTATTACTAGATAAACAGTTCAAGTGTGCGCTACAGGGCTCCGTCTACGCTGATAACACAGTAGGTTAGAGATAGATGTTATGTCACGATACCAGATATCTGACATACTGGTCTTATGACGAGGTGACAGGCCAAATGCGCATGACCACTACTTGCTTGCAATGAGTGAGTTTTGTTTAACTTCATTTTGAACAGTATTCCAGTTGCATCATGGTTTGTCAGCTAAACGGGAAAAGTGATGCAAGGGCCCCGTTTCACACAGCTGACGTGATCGTAACTACCGTACTTTAACATAGGCTTACGGCAGTCGTAGCGCTAAGATCGCTTTGTGGAACCCGACCCAGGTCTCCGACGGTTACTTCTTTGGTGAAACGCACGAGCAACAAGGGTATGGTGCTGACAAATCTAGAAACAATCAGACCTAACAGGGATTCGAACCAAAGATCATGTCTTTTGGCACGACTAAGGGACGCAACTCTTCACAGCAAATGGCGCCTAAGACACCCCTTTTTGAGAAATAGCATAGGCCCTTATTGTGGCTGTTGCACAAACAATAACAGTCTTCATGAGGAACTAGGGGTAATAGATGAACGCTGTAGATACTGTGTCATAATGGACGCGACGTTAAACCCAATTTCACCTCACCTGTGTCATAATATGATCATATTGGAAGTCGGGGTGCCAAAGTGATACCAACAAGCTCGGGAAGGTTGTACGTACTCACTATGTCCATGACGACCGATAAGGAGGTCGCGTCATCAATCCTCTTGGTTACAACCCGAAACTTAATGGGTCAGAAGGTTCTGTTCCGAAAATCAGAACATCCATGTTTGGAGAAAGAACTATCTCCTATTCCGCAGCGTTTCCATGGAACTCTCCTCCAGATAATGTGGCATTATCCCCTTCAACCCCTGCTCTTCAAGCCTACCTTAATACCCATCTTTTTAACAAACAATGGCAATGCTGAGCGCCCTGAACACATGTGGCGTTTTTGCGTTATACAAATACAAGAATTCTTATTATTTATTATTATGGCGAAAGTCGAAGTTGGGATAGTGCTGGGCTAACGACAGTATCCCTGGTGGGACGGCAACACGTTACATTTAGTCCAGTGTAACCTTGTGTGATCTTTATCAGTGAGTGAGTTTGGTTTTACGCCGCTTTTAGCAATATTCCAGCAATATCACGGCGGGGGACACCGGAAATGGGCTTCACACATTGTACCCATGTCGGGATTCGAACCCGGGTCTTCGGTGTGACGAGCCAACGCTTTAACCACTAGGCTACCCAACCGCCCCGATCTTTATCAGACACACAATGGGAGCATCAACAGGATAATGGATAATTGACATTTTGAAATACATATTTGACATATTTGGTGACTGTGCTCCCGTCCCTTAATAAATGTGAAGTTATTGTTTGTGTGTTAATGATGAAATATCTGTCAGGTTTTTGTTTGTATGGTAATGATGACATATTTGTGAAGTTTTCGTCGTTGAGCTATTTATTAGTTTGTTTATGACTATATAAACGTGAGAACCGGTGTGCTCCCTCATGTAATGAAGTCCATTCTCAAGTAGAGGCTGGAGGACTTGGGACTGCGACAGGGAAGCGAAGTACAACACAGTAACTGTTACTGGTTACTCTTCTGTGTGACGACTGCTCCCCTGATTCGTTGATGTCAACGGAAATCATTGATGTCATGCAGTCATTACAACAACCATAAGTCGCGCAGAGGAAGCATGTGTAGTTCAGTCACTTCCTCTACTTCGTCAACGAGCAGTGTTGATGTGACCGGGGGGACCTCAGCCCATGTAGATATGCACAGAGGGAGACTCCTCGTCCAGTAGGGATTCAGTTAAGTTAGCTGTGCAGAGTTGCGTCCCTTTTGAGTGCCTGGAACCGATGGACCTCACTCACTCAATTTCTCACTTAATAACCTTTTTTCTTTTCCTCAGTGAATTAGACAACAGGCAGTATATCCTTGATATAACCCGGCGCGGTGGGGTAGCCTAGGGGTTAAAGAGTTCGCTCGTCAAGCCAAAAGCCCCGTGTTCGATTCCCCACATGGGTACACTGTGTGGAGCCCATTTCTGCCATGATATTGCTGGAATATTGCTAAAAGCGGCGTCAAATCATACTCCGGAATTCCAGCCTTGTTCGGCAAGGGTGGAAACTGGACTTATAAAGTCAGTTAACGTATCTATTATCGAATTACCGACTTTGTTGGCAAAATTTTCTCGAGTAATCGACAATAGTTCCGAGTCAGTTTCATATGCCTTCCGACTTAATCAATAATGACCGATTTGTTTAACTTTCAACCTTGACATGTTTAATGAGGTACTATGTAAACATAATATAACTAACTCTTTATTTAAATGTGTCGACGTTACTGACCAGAAGACAGCACCTGCCAAGTTTCGACTGGTCAGACGGCAAGGAGAACGACGCACTGTCTAACAAGCGTAATAAAGAGAGGAGAGTTTCTTCCAACTACATACTCAACTTAGATTTCAGTAAATCAGCACATTTCGTACATCTGGTGGGCTTCTTGAATCACGAACCATGTTCAATGATGAAAGACAATGACACTTATCTGAAGCCGCCTCAGAATTAGGTCAGAAGCGTCAGCCACTTCAAATCTGTCGAGGTCACTTCCGGTCAGGAAGAACTCTGACACGACCCTTTATGAGTGGGGGATTCGCACACTCTGTGAGGAGTACATGAGCCATGGGGATCATCACGGGGATGGTTGTTGTCTTCTGCATCATGGGTGAGTTCTCCGACTTTCTTACACTGTCACAGTCCATCGTATACAAGATGCAGGTGTTTATGGACATCCCTGCCAATGTTTTGATTTAAAATATTTCATAGATATTAACTGAAGTGCAAATTACAATGAAAAGGCAAGAGAATGCGTCTGGAACTTTGGTAATCACAGATGACTTAATAATATTCACATATGTCAGTGTGGCACCATATGTGTCTTTATATTGCTCACATGTGTCAATATGACACCACAGCTGACATTTTCCAGTTCCCTGTGTCAATAAGACAACAAAGAGAGCTTTATGTTCTTCACGTCGTCAGTATGTCATGGTGGAGAACCTTATGGTTGCAGCTTTCGTGTATCAGTCTCAATACCGGGTTCGATTTCTTCCGCGGGTATAAAGTTTAAAGCCATTCTTGGTGTCTATACCAATCGTTTAAATGTTTCCAACTTAGGCATTAATACTTTTGACATTTCGCTCACTTTATTTCCCGGTATAACCCACATGGTTCATCCTCGGAGACATGGGGAGAGGTAGTAGGGGGTGGGGAGTTGTCCCAGTTCGCTGTTCAAAGTTGCGTCCCTAGTGAGATGATTGTTGGTTCGAATCCCGGTTCACCCCGATTATGTTTCTAGGTTTGTCTGCACCATACCCCTGCTCGTGGGTTTCACCGAAGTTGTAAACGTCTGAGATCTGCTTTCCTCCAACATTAAGCTGACACGCCGTGATATATCGCTGTAATACTGTTAAAAGCCACAAACCTAGAAACATAATCGGGGAGAACCGGGATTCGAACCCACAATCATAGGTTTCTGGCATGCCCAAGGGACTCAACTCTGCACAGCGATTCGCGGCGCCTTAGACGACTGGGCCACCCGTGCCCCCTGATGAGCAGGATGTGACGTCATGAGAAGGTAATTCCGTGCTGAAGTACACAAGTTAATCCTGTTATTTCACTATATGGTTATAAAAATGTTCATTGTATATCTGGTTTTATGTTTCTAATCTACTTTATTCCAAATTGTGTATATTAATTTTGGCGAAATGGTATGCGAAGTGATCGGAAGATCGCACCAACTCACCGTTAATTAATGGTATTGACGCCTGGAAATACATTAGACAGAATAAATAACACATTCAGAGTGGAGGGATAAACCTGGTATAGAATAATGAACACATTCGAGGTGGTGAGATCATCTTTGTATCGAATAATGAACACATACGAGGTGGAGGGATAGGCATTACACAGTTAGTGACGTCATGCATATTCATTCATCTCCGTGAACAAAGTGATTGACTGAGTGAGTGAGTTGGGTTTTAACAGTATTCCAGCAATATCACGGCGGGGAACACCAGAGATGGGCTTCTGGTTCACGGGTCGCGTGATTGTTTGGCCGCCGTCGCATGGAACCAGTACAGCTGTGCGGCGTCAGGCAGTACATACTTTGGTTTTTATGCAAATAGTATGAATGACGAACATGCTTACCTTTTTCGCGAACACCTGGTGTCACCACTGATTTTCAGCGGTCCGTTCATATAATTTTCACAGCTATTTTGCCCTTTACGCCAAATGATTTGGGGGGGGGGGGCGGATAATCTTAACTGGTTATTCTCTTGGATTGCCAATATATAAGTAGAGCTATAACATCGCGTCTCACTCACTAACACTGCGTCGCCGAGATGACAGCAATCAGACCCGGTCTTGCACATACTGCTATGCTTCATACACCATATCCTTGGTTTGGATAGATTCATCACACACGAACACTCATTTCTCTGCTCTGTCCAAAATGTCATCACCAATAAACCGCAGATATTTTAATGGTCAATGACATTTTTAAGGAAAACATATTTTATAAAGCAATTATAGCAATTATTATATAAACCGTGTTTGTCTCCAGGTGGCGCAATGTGCGGTTGTCCTGGCAACACGGTGTGGTTTAAGGAGGAGGTGTCTTGTTACTACATCAGCAACAATGTCAAGGTCACGTGGGGACAGGGACGTCGGGAGTGCGAGGACATGGGCGGAAGCCTCTTGATCATCAACTCGCGCAGAGAGGAGGTAGGTGGCAGGGTTATGTCGGGATACATTATTCACGAAAGGGAAGGGGAACAGGTGGGTCAGTGCTCTAGTACGACTCTTCCCACTGTGCAGTACCAGGATCCGCTGGTCGGGGTTCGAATCCTAATCGCGCTTCCATATGACCGTTTGCCTGCCTGGACCCTTCCCGTGCTAGTGGGTTTCACAGTGGTGGACGTCAACTTTCACTTTAGATCCAACAAGAGAACTAAGTTGGCGACTAACTAAACTTCTGTATGAACTATCCTCTCCTTGAAGTACTCTCTTGTCACATGTCAAATATATAATTTAGTGAAAATCTCATAAATATGCATTATATATATATTATTTATTTATTTATTTATTTTCAAATAGCTGTGTGTTATGGTGTATATATTATAATGTTTCATATATCGCTAAATAGTGTTTGGATATGACCTGTAGTATATGTTTGTGTGATGTTTAACGACGCCGGAGTAAGGATTATTCCCGCTGTAGTATAGCCCCTGTGAAAAATCGTGTCTGGACCAGACAATCCAGTGATTGATTTTATTAGCACCGAGTCACCGAGCCTCGCCACCCGAGCTTCACCTCTTGCGACTTTTACAGGTTTGCTTGGGACATATTTTAATCCTAATGCGATATGTAAGATTGATGCGTTAATAAGTTCTCTGTCGACAGGATCTTATTTCCGACTCCCTGCGTGAGAGGCTGTCCAGGAACGCCAGCGCTGACTCCCAACTACAATGGTGGGTAGGACTCAGTGGGATCAACGAGCGGTGGACGTGGGTGGATGGGACCCCCGCTGAAACAGACAGTCTGTAAGCTCGGTATTATGTTTATTTACCTTTGTGTATCACTACATCTTCCGAGGCAAGGGAGATAATTGACTTTAAAAGTCCAGTTTTCCAACATTACTTATGTCAATGTCCTGTTTCCAACATTACTTATGTCAATGTCCTGTTTCCTACATTACTTGTTTCGGTGTCCTGTTTCCAATATTACTTATGTCAATGCCCTGTTTCCAATATTACTTATGTCAATGTCCTGTTTCCAATATTACTTATGTCAATGTCCTGTTTCCGTCATTACGTGAGTCAATGTCATGCTTCCAACATTGTATATGTTCCATGCTTGTCGTAAGAGGCGACTAACGGGATCGGGTGGTCAGGCTCGCTGACTTGGTCCATGCATGTCATCGTAATCCATTTGCGTAGATCGAAGCTCATAATGTCAATCACTGGATTGTCTGGTCCAGATTCGGTTATTTACAGACCACCGTCATATAACTGGAAAATTGCTGAGTGCGGCGTTAAACAAAGAAACAAACAAACAATATGTCAGTGTTGTGTGTCTGTCTACACTCCACACTGTTGCTGTTTGCGGCAGACTATGGCATGCAGCGGAACCCAACATCCAGGACCGCAAGGCGTGTGCGGTGTTCCGGCAAACTCTACTGAGCGACGTGGACTGTGACTTCAAAAAACACTTCATCTGTGAACTACCGCCGTTGTCACCTCACCCAGAGCCATCAGAGTCGGCCCCGACGTCGAACACTATGTCGAGTAAGTTGCTGTTAACGGTAGGGTAGCCTTGTGGTTAAAGCGTTCGCTCGTCACGCCGAAAACCATGGTACGATTCCCGACATGGGTACAATTTGTGAAGCCCATTTCTGGTGTCCCTCGTCGTGATATTGCTGGAATATTGCTAAAAGCGGCGTACAACCATACTCACTCACTCACTCCAGCTAACAGTGACACATTATTGTTGATTCTGTTTGTTTATTGAGTTCCTTCTTTATGTTTTACCGTCTAACAGCAATATTCCAGCTATATGACGGCGGCCTGTAAATGATCGAGTATGGACCAGACAAACCAGTGATTGATATAATGATTGCTATGTGACACGCATAGCGGTATGACGGGGTTTCACTGTATGCGAATTGAGACGCTATATAGATTATGTCTATTGAATGTGTCAACCAGGCCGTTCTGAAATCCACTAACATCTATTCTGTGTTAGTTCTACATGATGCTGTTGCACTGTGGACATGCAAGCGATACGGGCGATTGCATACTCACATGTTCAAGACTTGATAGACACAGATCATAATTTATTTCGGGTCACGCATAGCCTAGTCGATCAAATTGTTTGGCAGAGTTTCGTCCCATGTGTGTGCCAGGATGCTGTGATCTTTCGAAACCCAGATTCTCCCTGATTGTTAGATTGTCTGCACCATGTTAGCCGTGTTCACCAAAGTGCTAAATGACACCTGCATTTCGTTCTGCTTCATCCGACAAACTGTTCGAAGCGGCGTAAAATCTAACTCATTCACTCTATGTTATTTCTCTCCTCAGCAGCAACGAGGCGGTTGCTGTTTTTCAGCATAATCGGTGGGGTGGCACTTCTTGCGGTGATAGCAATTCTAGCCGTCATCTGTCTGGCGACGAGGTACGTACACAGATCACAACCATTCATGTCGGGACTAATACATACTGTTTGTTTGAAACACAGAGAAACAAAAATCAAAACAACAATAATTTTTATTCCACGAACATGAAATAAGTTTATCGAATATAGCTATTCTAAAAATGTAATATACGAAAGAATAAATAAAAAAATGGAAATAACGAGAACAAAATAGAAATTTCGAGTTTTTGAAATAATGAGAAAATAATCGAAGTAACGAGAAAAAAAACGAAGTATCGAGAAAGAACTCGACATTTCCAGTAAATAATTGAAAACGAGGAATTTCGATTTTAAAAAATGAATAAATGATACAAAAATGGAAATTAGGCTTCCGTTAAATATTTTACTTATGTTTTAATTCAATCTGGCTTTGTCTTATTTATCCAAGTCAGTGTTCGCATGTAACCCGCTCGGTACAAGATAAAAAACACCAGGGTCCATACGAGTTAGAAAAAAGTTCCAACTTCAGAGACGAACAGGAAATAGTAAAGAGAAATTATGAAAATTATTTGGGTTGTCAACGATAATGAACATTGCATTTACCTCTTCTTGTACCAGGGTGCGGCGTCTACGACGGACGTATAAGAATCGCGAACATCACCCGGACCTGACATCTCAGCCGTCAGCCAACACCGGAAGCGAACTTCAGAGGGCACCCCAGACTCTACCCCGTCCAGACCCTGGTTCCAAACCCCCCATCCGGTTTCTCCTCACTGCACACTCCTATGATGAACCGGAACCAGAGGCCCACCCTGGTTACGAGAAACTCAACAAGTTTACGCCACGATACCTCGACCTGTCCAAATAGCCTGCAGTCCCCAGCATCGTATACCGTGCTCATTCCAAACAAACAAGCGTACACTCAATAACAGAATACATTGCCCTGTTGAACTAGACACAGCCGCTATACAAACTCCACAACACAGTTCTTCAGAAGCTCTGTCTTGTCTTACAAAGTGTGTATGTTTTTTATACTATTAATGATATTGCTGCACCTTGCCTCCCCTTGCTACATGTTGCTTCATCTTGCTACATGGTGCTTCATCTTGCTACATGTTGCTTCATCTTGCTACATGTTGCTTCATCTTGCTACATGTTGCTTCATCTTGCTGCACCTTGCTTCACTTTGCTTCATCTTGCTACATGTTGCTTCATCTTGCTACATGTTGCTTCATCTTGCTACATGTTGCTTCATCTTGCTACATGTTGCTTCATCTTGCAACATTTTGCTTCATCTTGCTACATGTTGCTTCATCTTGCAACATTTTGCTTCATCTTGCTTCATCTTGCTTCACTTTGCTTCATCTTGCTACATTTAGCTTCATCTTGCATCATTTTGCTACATCTTGCTACACCTCGCTTCATCTTGTTACATCTTGCTTCATCTTGCTACATTTTGCTTCATCTTGCTACACCTGGTCAGTGTTGGGCTCCAACTGTTGCGGTATAAACGCGGTGGTATCGTTACACTAACGCACATGTTTTAAGTGAACAATCTGTAAATATTGGTTGTACATAATGATATATTATATTTATGTTTTATTTGTCTGTAATACAGACATACTTTTGCCTTCTCTATCGTCAATAAAATAATATACTCCTCCCTTAAAGATTTTTCATGACCCTCCCTAAAAAGACAAAATGCAAATGCACTTTATATTTTATTACAATGTCTATTTTGTCATGACGCTCCCCATATATTTATTCTTTTTTATTACCCTCCCCTAGAAACGGTCATATTTTGAGTTGACTCTGATCTTCTCTGACCCACCAGCCCTATAATAAATGAACGTTCCCTAAATAAAGTAACTGCAATTTGTGTCGCGAGCGTTGACGGGCACTTCGTTTTCTCGCACGTTTCAAACGTACGTGCTTTCACCAGAGAAGAAACAAATTTCAAACAGCTTAAAATGTTTGGACCGACATCAGCACCTGGAAGATAACACCAATAGTCAAACTAAGGCAGGTTCAGAACAGCAGTAGATCGAAATCTACATTCGCGTCGAAAACTTATCACTTCTGTATATCGAGGGAGGACACGTTAAAATGTACACCGCATGTATTCCCACTCAGGAGTGCAATCGCAAAAGTGGACCTTGGACAGTTTTACGGACAAATCAGACAAATTCTGAACTGGATGACGTGCGTGCTGTAGTAATAGCCTATAAGTGATTGTGTGCTGTGAGAAGGTGTGATAGCTGACAGTGTCATGGAAGTAACGACTGGAGTGATCGCCCTTGGGCCAAGGTTTAAATATTGGAACTAAGGTCACTCGTGGAATAGTGTCGGCCGTCAGGCATGCATGTCCAGACATTTCTGTATGGGACGAACGGCTCGAGGACATCATGCGATCCCCTCCTCCATATTGGTAAGGGGCGTGCAAGAGCTCCTTCCTTGGTAACAGCTTCTATATATGTTTTTTCGCCGTCAGTAATATCCGCCAAGCTAAAATAACGGGGTGACGGTTTTGGGGTCTTGTCCCCCACACAACGACTTGCAACAAAAGCTACCGAAAGAAAATGTCATTTAGTTTCCAAACCTTATGAAAGATTCAACGTGTTTGTTGAAATGTGTCCCCCATATGTTACTGATGACGTTGCCGCACAGTATTGTTTTTAGTAATATTTTATTCAATTTTGAGGTTTAATCATATTGCAAATCATGCAAGTGGAATCTTTCTTTCTACGCATTTTGAGCTTCATTCTCGGATGGCGGATGGGTATCCGGTATTCTTTAGCAACATTAGCATATTCTAGATAGTCATAGCAAAGATCAATTTCTGTACAAGATATGTTTGCGTGCACTAAGATTTGTAAGACATTAGAAACAGGGAATGTTAGCAAGTTTTGACATATTGTAAATGACAGAAAGAGTCATTTTGCCAACTGCCAGAGGCTTAAGCATAGCTATATTGAATCCCAAGACGAACACACACACAGCCTCAAAACCTACACAGTTGTCGGCGGTATGCACACACAATGTACAACGCATAGGCCATGTTGTACCATTATTACTGAGGACACTTTACCTGAACCCATCGCCCGTTCCTAGGACATCAGTACCTGCTTTTGTGGTACACCCTGAAGCAACGCTTTGCGCCGACCTTACACGACCGTGAGAGTGATTGTCTCTGACGTCAACTGATTGATTACGTATTCTGCTTATGATGTCACCAGTTCCGGGATACAATTAAGGGGTGCGTTGCAAAGCGCCAATCGCTTGCAAGCGATGTACAGCGATTCGCCTTACAACAGTGCGCTAACTTTCAGCCGCTTGCAAGCGAAACAATCGCTGGCTGAGGTCGCTTCGTTCTCAAACCAAAATGGCGCCTTACTTTGACAGCGGAACAAGAAATTCTTGAGTGGATCAGCGAGGAAATCAGCAAAGGCAGCGAAGACCCCATCATCCTCAGCCTGCTGTACATCTTCAAAGTAGTCATAAATTCGATCAGCTCGTCATCGAGCCTCTTCTATTACGTTCTTCATTACGTCAAGGCAACCAAACGCTAGTTGCGCCGCCATTTTGGAAGAGTTGGCAAGCGCTTCGAACTGTTGCAGACATCAGGATGCGCGATTAATTTGCTTTCTCTGAGCGATTCGTGGCTTGCAACGCGCCCAAGGATTGACTGTGTATTTTTTTCGGTTCATTGAGGTATGAATCGAAAAGCCGATGTGCAAACTGTATGAATCCGCGTAGCGGATTCTTACAAAAGTTTGCACATCGGCTTTTCGATTCATACCTCAATGAACCGAAAAAAATATACATTCAATGCTTATAATTAAATTCGACAACGTAAAACATGTTTTATCTACAATAGTTTAACCCAAAACAGTTGCATATATCAAAACAGACAAAAATGACGACATTGATAAACATTCCAGGTGTAGGAATACATACAGTGGCGTGACATGAATCAGGTGATCGTTTAATTTATGCACATAACTTGACACGCCTACACAGTCAGTAGCCAATCAACGGAGAGTGAGATTAAAACAATGTTCATTTGACCTGTCAATTAAGGCAAGAGGCGAAAAGAACTGCAACAGTCAGACTGTAACGAACCGGAAGAAATATGTCCGAGAGAAGGCGGCAGTTTCAAATAACATGGTCATTTACTGCGTGATTCAAACATTACTTCCCTGATTACGGTAAATCACAGTTGGAGAAATGCTAGTTATAAATGAAACCCGAAGACATGAAAGATGAACCGGGGCGAGCGGGAAAAAAACAGGCGAGCGAGCCTGCACGTTTGCTGTTTCATTCATTCTCGGCCTTCGGTTTCAAAGGGTAGTTTGGACAATGAATATGCATGAAAGTCGCTAAATGTCCTGTGCATGACGATACACGTGAGCAGAAAGGAAATTCCCTCGACTGTAATATTGGGATTCCCCGACATTCCGAAGTAATAAAAGTAGTGCGCCGCGGTGGGCGTGGCTTAATTTTTTACATTCATTGGGAAATGAATGCAATAACACGTGACCAATTCAGCTAATCAGAATGCAGGAATTTCCATGAACACAACGAAAATTTAATTATCATGCAATGACGTGACTCCATTTATGACGTCACGGATACACGATTGTACCAAACTTCACCATTGTGTTTCAGGCCGTTTCTGTGCCCCTGTATTTGATTTTTCTTACACACCTGTGGGTGAGAAACCCATTTGAGATAACTGGTATCAAACATATGTGTGAGATCGAATTCCAGGCCCGTGATTGGCTACTCCATGGTGATGACCTGGGGTCAGATGATGACGGACTACTTTCCTGAGTGTAAGTCATTCATAAGTTGCTCGTGCTTCAGTCGAATGTTCACCTACGTCTGTATTGAACTACAGGACCGTGTAATTCATAATAAAAATAAACAAACTCGTCCTCGTCTGCGAGTTTGTTTATCTCGCCAAATCACAATTCACGGCGTTATATACATATTTACTGTGTGTTTAGAATTCTAAATATCGGATATTTACTCGAATAATTAAAATATGAAAAATACCATATAAGCGATCACGAGTATCAAATCACTAATGATAATTCTGAAACGTCGCTGATAAGCCTAGAATCGTTTAGAATGTTTTGGAAAATATGCATACACGAACGCCGAAGTGTACGTTCCGCCATATTGGATTGTGTTTACAAAATGCCGGTAAGGAGACGCCAATATTCGATCAGGTATATTTCAAACTCAGCTGCTATACATGCATCCCTGAATTCCTCATACATTTTCGTAACAATGGATAAATGGTCTTTGTCACCCATGCAAATTATCTAGATGAAATCATGCGAAATAAATTAGGTATTGAAACGAAAACTGTGCTCGGAAAATTGTACTTGCTGAAATGTAAACAAAGCAAAATTCAGATTTTACACTGTGTAGCATTAAAAGAGGTACTTTCGTCTAATTGTTGCATACACTGGCTCGATCACGCGTTTGAGAATATTCATGGGAAGAGTATCGTTGCACTAATTATCGAATTACACATATATACATTACAATGATGTGGTAAATTCAACAGAAGCCGTAAAAGTTTCCGTCCTGTGTGACGACATGACTGACGCTAAATCACGCACAACAATGACGGTAGTTATCTGCATTTCTGACTAATTCTCTTTGTTACATTGGAAAACATGGTAAACAAATAACAGTACGCAGATTGTCAGAATGTTTCTGATTACTTACGTGACACATTTATGTGTATACGATCCCTCAATCAACGAAAATCTCCTCTGGAAATCCCGCGTACGTGTTCTCAGTGAACACGCCATTTTGTAAAAGTCGGTCACCGGTAGTGATGTCATACGGAAGTAAACATTGTTGTACATATTTGGTCATTTCTTTGAGGTGTAAACTTTCAACTTGGCACCCAGCGTGTTCTTGGTTTTTGTCTAGTTTGCATTTTCATCATCGCCTTGATAATCCACAGATAGGACGGAAACCTTTTTGTGTAGGGTCACATTATTTATGAGTAGTAAGCAACACATAGGATGGCGTCACTTATGACAGTGGTATTATGTATTAATGCGCTACTGCAATCATGAGAATAGACAAAATTCATCGGTTCGATGCTAAAAAGATGCGCTTTTAGGGTGTGTAAGAAACAGATTACTGCACTCGTGTCTGTCAGATACCATTGATCTTACAACTCGTTGTTACAAAGCGTATCTAACTCGCTTTCGCTCGTTAGATACGTTTTGAAACAACTCGTTGTAAGATCAATGGTATCTGACAGACACTCGTGTAGTAATCTCTATGTACATATTTGGTAATTTCTTTGAGGTGTAAACTTTCAACTTAGCACCCAGCGTGTTCTTTGTTTTTGTCTAGTTTGCATTTTCATCATCGCCTTGATAATCCACAGATATGACATAAACCTTTTTGTGTAGGGTCACATTATTTATGAGTAGTAAGCAGCACATAGGATGACGTCACTTATGACAGTGGTGTTATGTATTAATGCGCTACTGCAATCATGAGAATAGACAAAATTCATCGGTTCGATGCTAAAAAGGTGCATTTTTTAGGTGTGAAAGAAACAGATTACTGCACTCGTGCCTGTCAGATACCATTGATCTTACAACTCGTTGTTACAAAGCGTATCTAACTCGCTTTCGCTCGTTAGATACGTTTTGAAACAACTCGTTGTAAGATCAATGGTATCTGACAGACACACGTGTAGTAATCTCTATATCTCGGTCAGTCAAACAGGTACGACCTCTTTTACAAACAAACCCATTTCAATCTCTCCGGGAGATTTTACCTGAACCAATCGCTCGTCTCTTTAGCATCAGTACATGCTTATGTAGTACATCCCTGCAGCAATTATGACCTCGCGACAATAGGCAATGGCGTAGCTCCACTGTTGACGTCATAGATACAAGATTGGTCAAACTGCAGCATTGTATTTCAGACCGTTACCAGGGGCTGTCGTAGATTTATGGTGATTTTATACTTGTAGTGCTATTCGATCTACCTTTAGAATACAGTACCACAAACTTTTCAAACACGTCACAATACCCTATGTCGTAATTTGTAGGATTGTGTTGCCAGTCACACCGGAGAAACAAGGCCCTGTGACGTCAGGGGTCATCGTGTGTGCATAAGCTCCTCCCAGTGATCTATCATTTTCAGCAATTCTGCTTTGCCTAAAATGACAGTGGATGATATAATCACAGAACAGGGAATTTCCCACAGAATTCAAAACTGTGAATTGGATTTGTGTGCGTATGTTGAATTTTATTCGACTTCAAAGTGAGGGTTGCACTTAGTTTTACAATGTGAAAGTAGTTCAGTCCGTTAGCTGTCGGGCTCTCACAAAAACTGGTTGCTTGTCTTTGAGACACGTGACCGACGGCAGAGATCAGTAGTTGTGGTACTGTATTGTTCCATAACAGTGACACAAAATTGTGATAGCAAATTCTATCCATTTCAGCTATAATACGACGTAGTGTAAACTAAGAGGGCTTTATGAAACGGCCTCAACAGTTTAGGAGGTCTATGCGCCAACAGGCTTTCGTGAAACGGCACCCGGTATTTGATTTACGAGCCCTGTCTCCCATTGTCCTGGTCAGTCAAACAGATACGGCCTCTTGTACAAACCCATTTCAATCCTGACTCAAGGAATGTAAATACAGAAAATTTCATAAATCAGTGCCTATAGCAACGGAAACGAAGCTCTGAAAAATATATACATTTAATGAATAACATTTGAATTATTAGGTGAATGAGATGTCTTAAAGGAGGACTCTCTTGTCGCCGCCTGAAACATCCTGCGGGATGTTTAGTAGATGTAACGACAAAATTTAAAACGGAGACCAGCTAGGTTCCTAATTTGGCGTTCAAATGTTTAAAAAGGTGCTTACTCGTACACGTGTCAAATACGTAGGTTTTCGTTTTACTTTTAAAAAATTGTCTGCCTTGGTTCACCTGCAAAGCAATAAGGAATATCGTTTATGGAATTTCATCTCCTATATCCAACGATAACTTGATGTTGTCTCTGAGCGCTGTGTATCACAATAATGTACCAGTCCTACCTTCACAGTTATAATGCTTAAATGTTCTTTAGTCTACTCCCTGATGAAAGAAATCAAATTGAATGTTGTCTTTTATTAACAGTTGAAATATTCAAAAGTAGCCTTTATACAAATATTTTATATTATTATATTTTCAAATAGTTTCTGAAAGGACAAAGAAAATATCGCACTAATCAATATTTCGTGGACTGCGGCATCATTCGAACTCTCACATGAAAAATAATAGGTCTTTGAAAGGCGTTTGGAAGTGATACACAGGAGGAGAATTTATGTATGTCAACTTCTTTATTATGAGGAACACAACGTTTTCGAGTATTTACTTACTCATTTATCCTTAGAAAAAAAATAGCTTCAAATTAGTGATTAATTTGGTTATATGTGACGGCGTGTCAGCCCTGGGAGTTATCCGTTTCCAAATATGAGGTCAATGGATTGTTTTCCTATTTCCATTGTTGTTGTTGTTTGTTGTTTTACGCCGCTCTCAGCAATATTCCAGCTTTATGACGGCGGTCTGTAAATAATCGAGTCTGCACCAGACAATCCAGTGATTTATATCATGGGCACCATCCACGCAATTTGGATGACATGATTCAAACAAGTCAGCCAGCCTGACCACCCGATCCCGTTAGTCGCCTTTTACGGCAAGCATGGGTTGCTGAAGACCTACTCTATCCCGGATCTTCACGGGTCTCTTATTTCTATTGAAGGTATATGCATGCTAGTTTTGCCACCTGTTATTTCTTCTAAGGGACAAAAGCTTCTTATTTATACTACACAAGTCTTCTTTTATTCCATTGAAAAAATTAGGCTTGACCGTACTGTGATTATACAGGTAATAAATCCTTTTATACCTCATCCGCACCGCCTCAGTTCCCTCAATTACATCGTTGGCAGGACCCGCGACTCAAGTTTAAATATAATCCAACCAACCAAGTGTATTCGGATCGAAAACCAGATTTTGTGCGTGACTTTTACTTTCGGTATAATTGTAAGGTTATCTGAGCAATAACTGTCTTAGTTTTATTGAAAAAAATTGAATGGCGTGTAGAAAGATCCCTGCCTAAACTCTACAAAGGTAACATAACAATAAAGAAGGTGAAAAATATTCGACGAGGATGGGATTCGAACCCACGCGGGGAGACCCCAATGGATTAGCAGTCCATCGCCTTAACCACTCGGCCACCTCGTCTACTGAAAATGGCGGTGAACATTTGTGATACGTATCGTACCACACAGCACTACTCATCGATGAGAACACTTTCCTTTGTAGTCAGTACGAGCAGAGACGACGATATAAATGTATGTTAAATGACCCTGCCATTATATCCTCTGCTCACAAGGTGGAACGGGCACCTGCCATCACGTGACTCAACCTTCACGGATCTCACTAGTCTCTGAATTGTACGTGTTTCTAAATAAGGTGGGATACCTTATCAATTGCCTTCCGTATATCATATTTCACTAATCAAATAATTTGAATTTTATTATCCAAAATACTAGATCTAGTCAAACTCGGTCCGCGCAACCACGCGACCTATTTCGTCGGTCGGATGTCGGCAGGCCGGTGCTTGAGACTCGGCTCGCGCTATGATCAATTTAGCGACATCCTTATATGAGCGCTTCGGTCTTCTGAGATATTTCAAATGCTACATCTACCATTTTAGACGGACATCTAGTCTCTGAAATAGACATATCGTACAGAAAATAAGTTGTTAAATATCTTAAGAAAAATATAATAAAAAAGAGCCCAGAGACTCTCTTCAGTTTCACATACTGCAGTATTCTAGACTTGCATAGGCTGTATTTGATGTATTTGTATCAGGGTCTGTAAGACAGACTACCACCATTTGTTAATGCTGGTACCTGGAAACAACAAAATGTAAAACTCAAAAGCTCCAAAAGTATTTTAATAAACAACACTGTACATTCGAATGTTCATCTTTGACCGACAAGTCATGCACACGGAGAAGACAGTAAAGTGATTAACACACACAGGTTCCAATAGTGTATTCATCACGATAATGCATAGGGAGCATCCATTTGATATGTCAGCAGAGGCCATTTAGGGTATGGTCTCTGATGTAAGGGAGCGGGGGTCTCTTTGAGAAAATTGTATTTTTCTCCTCAGCTATATCCCCAAAACTGTTTATTTCCTGAAAACGCCACCAAACAATCTATTCATTTTCACAGGTAACAAGAAAAAAACATGTTTGGGTATTTTCCACAAAACAAACTATTAAATAAATTTCACCAGTGCCAATATATTTTTGAACAAACTATCCATTTAAGAAATTCTCCAGCCAAATTATGACCTTCTTGAAATAACCTGTCATTATGCAGATCTTTGATTTTTTTGTGAATGAATACCATAAAATGATTAAGTCTTTGAAAGGCATTTAGAAGTGATACATATAAAATTGATTAATGCTAAACTGTAAAGTTATTAAACCAGCTTACTTTATTGAGATAAGATAATTCTTGCTCCAAGTACAAATATACACATTGACATTTCTTGTCTGAAAATAACCTGGCCCCGTTCCACAAAGCTATCTTAGGACTAAAGCGATCGTAAAGTCCACACTTTAACACAGACTTATGACGGTCGAAGCACCACGATCACTTTGTGGAACGGGCCCCTGTTCTCTAAACTAACTGGTTTTGCACACACAAATCATTAACTGGACATAATGGAGGCATCAACATGATGTGTTTTGGTCACACAAATTGTATGTCTTGAAATACTGACTGAAACACATTCTGTTTCAAACAAACTTCCAGATCAGACTCTCCACAGAAGGAATGCCCATGGCAGTGAAGCCTCCCAAGCCCAGCACGTCATCATTCAGTGCCACACACGGCTGTGACAGAGGGCTGCCACAGTACTTGCCCACACACATGAAGGAACTAGTTTAATAATAATTATTATTGGACATGATGTGTGTGAGTGTTTGCTTGTAGAAGGGCTATGTTTGACATGATTTGGACAACATTTAAGTGCCTGTGGTTCAAATCTTTGCCTATGTCAGACTTAAAAATTCTTGGAGATGATTGAACATGATTCCTGTAAATGGTACTTAAAATACTCAAATTCAGAACACTGGAGATCGGGAGGGAGTAATTATAAACAATGTCTTTAGATACCAGATGCACACAGTACAAAGCCACCCATTTGTCACTCTGTGTTAATATGTTGTATCAAAGCTACCTGTTTCACAACGTGAACAAAGCACTGATAGCAAATAACTGGATGCACTGGAACTGGATTCCTGAATCACAGGAAGAGTTATGTCCCTTTGTAAATCTGAAGCCCTCACCGCAGAGGATGTCCAAAATGTACAGTTTCCAGACTGGCAGGGTTCCACTGTACAGATAACAAACTTCATTACATGATCAAAACTTGTGTATAGTGGACGGATCTCATGGACGGACCTCATGGACGGACAAGGACCGACCAACCCATGCTGATATCACAAACTTCATTTACACTGAAAACATCCTGAAAACACATATATACAGATAGGTCACACGAAAGATATTCCAGGATATTTTTGAGGAAACTTTCCATAATGAAAACACACTGATATGTACAGATTGATCCCATTAAAGATATGTCATGATATTTTTGAGGAAATTTACCTAATGGACGGAATTAACTTACTATGACTATTTACAACTGTCTTGTCATTCAGACAATAATATTCATAATTGAGAATAAATAAATAGAACTTCTTGATCTCTATGTACATTCACAATATGGACAAATTCTCATTTATTTGTCCAGATTCATCAGATCTGATAACTTAATGCTTCTGCTGTGGCCATTTGTAGCCATGTGTAACACAATAGGCTAAAATCACTTTTGATATGAGACACAATTGCAGTGCTGTGTTGTGGTATTGTGTGAAGAGCTCACGTATAAAGATCCCCATTCTAGGGTATTCAGAACTTCCACTGAACATTCCTTTGTTTACTCAGTCTCAACTGAATCTCCCTACATTTACTCATGTCCTCATGAACTATGGACCAGATCTGTGTTTATTCCACGCACTCATGAATGTTTGGGCAGATCCGTGTTTATTCCATGCACTCATGAACTATAGGACAGAACTGCTTTTATCATATGCCATCATGAACTATTTGACAGATCTGTGTTTATTCCATGCACTCATGAACTATAGAGCTGATCTGAAATTTATTCATTCATTTTATGCCATTGTGAACTTTAGGGCAGAGCTGTTTATTTCATGCCATTATGAATTACAGCGCAGATCTGTGTTTATTACATGCCATTGTGAACTATAGGGCAGATCTGTGTTTATTACATGAAATTATTAACCATAGGGCAAAACTGTTTATTACATGTAATCATGAATTTTGGCACAGATCTGTTTATTACATGCCATCATGAACTATAGGGCAGATCTGTGTTTATTACATGCCATCATGGACTATAGGGCAGATCTGTGTTTATTTCTTGCCATCATGAACTATAGGGCAGATCTGTGTTTATTACATGACATCATGAACTGTTGAACAGAGCTGTTTATTACATGCCACTGTGAACTATAAGACAGAGCTGTTTATTACATGCCACTGTGAACTATAGGACAGAGCTGTTTATTACATGCCACTGTGAACTATAGGACAGAGCTGTTTATTACATGCCATCATGAACTATAGGGCAAAGCTGTGTATTACATGCCATCATGAACTATAGGGCAGATCTGTGTTTATTTCGTGCCATCATGAACTATAGGACAGAGCTGTTTATTACATGCCACTGTGAACTGTAGAACAGAGCTGTTTATTACATGCCACTGAGAACTATAGGACAGAGCTGTTTAATACATGCCACTGTGAACTATAGGACAGAGCTGTTTATTACATGCCATCATGAACTATATGGCAGATCTGTGTTTATTACATGCCATCATTAACTATAGGGCAGATCTGTGTTTATTACATGCAATCATGAACTACAAGCTATTCCCCAACTGTAGGGGGGTGGTTTATATCACAGTCAGGACGTGGAGATGTGTGTAGATGGGATGATACAGGTGGTGCAGGTGCATGCTGGGAAAATGGCACTTGTGTGATATATCACAAGTAAAAATCTATAATCTACTTGGTCAATTAATTGACAAGATACTGACCTCCTCTAAAAAACATAAAGAAGTATTTTACCCCTTAAAAACATTGCACCCTTAGTTAGGAATTAAATTAGGAATAAAATATTTAATTTTGGATGGACAAGGTATCAGTGTTGTAGGGCACTTAACATATACTGAAACCTGATGTTGACAAATACACACATGTGGCCCACAAACCATCACACATTATCAACATGTGATATCAATGACTCAAGTAATGTCTTGAAAATAATCCAACAAATATAACATGGGGCTTAAATGGACAATGATACTATGTGAGAACCAGTGGGCATGGTGGGTCAAGAAGCCTGAATACAGGATCCCAGATGATCCAAGTCCTTGGAATGCATGATGGAATCTGGACACTGTTGTGGTGCCCGGCGTGGTGCCCGGCATGTGCCTGTCTGGTGCTGGCTTTCCCATCCAAGTGCTGCAGCATCAGAACTTGTCCACATACTTGTCAATGAAGTCCTCCTCAAGTGTCTGTTGTTCAGACAGCTGCTGGATGATGGTGTGAACCTCTGTCCGACCGTTATCCAAGGCCAGCAACTAGAACACAAAAGCCAGGTATCTCATATGTAATCATATGATCATGATTGACCAGGGGCTATGCCTAGATGGGCAGCCCAGATTGGTGGTGGTGGAAGGCTGTACCTAGATGTGCAGCCAAGATTTGTGGTGGCTATATTTAGATGGGCAGCCCAGATTGGTGGAGGTGGAGGGCTGTACCTAGATGTGCAGCCCAGATTGGTGGTGGTGGAAGGCTGTACCTAGATGTGCAGCCAAGATTGGTGGAGGGCTATACCTAGATGGGCAGCCCAGATTGGTGGTGGAGGGCTATACCTAGATGGGCAGCCCAGATTGGTGGTGGTCGAGGGCTATACCTAGATGGGCAGCCCAGATTGGTGGTGGAGGGCTATACCTAGATGGGCAGCCCAGATTGGTGGTGGTCGAGGGCTATACCTGGATGGGCAGCCCAGATTGGTGGAGGTGGAGGGCTATACCTGGATGGGCAGCCCAGATTGGCAGCGGTGGAGGGCTATACCTAGATGGGCAGCCCAGATTGGTGGTGGAAGAGGGCTATACGTAGATGGGCAGCCCAGATTGGTGGAGGTGGAGGGCTGTACCTAGATGGGCAGCCCAGATTGGTGGTGGTGGAGGATTATAACTAGATGTGCAGCCAAGATTGGTGGAGGGCTATACCTAGATGGGCAGCCCAGATTGGTGGTGGTGGAGGGTTATACATAGATGGGCAGCCCGAATTAGTGGTGGCTATACCTTGACGGGCAGCCCAGATTTGTGGTGGTGGAGGGCTGTACCTAGATGGGCAGCCCAGATTGGTGGTGGTGGAGGGCTGTACCTAGATGGGCAGCCCAGATTGGTGGTGGCTATACCTAGATGGGCAGCCCAGATTGGTGGTGGTGGAGGGCTATACCTGGATGTGCAGCCAAGATTGGTGGAGGGCTATACCTAGATGGGCAGCCCAGATTGGTGGTGGTGGAGGGCTGTACCTAGATGTGCAGCCAAGATTTGTGGTGGCTATATTTAGATGGGCAGCCCAGATTGGTGGTGGTGGAAGGCTGTACCTAGATGGGCAGCCAAGATTGGTGGAGGGCTATACCTAGATGGGCAGCCAAGATTGGTGGTGGTGGAGGGCTGTACCTAGATGTGCAGCCAAGATTGGTGGAGGGCTGTACCTAGATGTGCAGCCAAGATTGGTGGAGGGCTATACCTAGATGGGCAGCCCAGATTGGTGGTGGGGTGTACCTGGATGAGCAGCCCACTCAATACGTTATGAGCTAGTGAGTAAATCCCTTTCAGCAATATTCCAGCTACCTGGTGAACTGAACACATGCATCTGACTATACTAGTCTACCCTACATCACCCATCAACAAAAGGCAAATCAAATGATTGTTTGTTTTATAATAAAAAACACAAGGCATCCTAATGGAAACTAGTTATTCAGATCACCATTTTCCATCACGTAAATGTCTGTTGACAAAGTAATGGTCTACTGACATTCCATGCTGTCATGGACTTGGTCCCTGAATCTCTGACACACGTTAACAACCCCACCACCACGACAAAGGTCATGTGACCACCATAGAGATCATGTGACTCACCAGTTGGGGCGGTCTGGACGGTGTTGCTCCTGTTAAACACATTGTTACTGCCCTGCAACAGATGGCAGCCTTGGTCAAACGCACGCAGTCAAATCAACAATCAACTTAGTCAAGTCTGCAATGAAGTATGTTCCACAATGAAATCAACTAATCAAGATCATAAGAACAGACAAAAAATAAAACATTTGAACTTGCTTATTGTCCCGAGACTAATGCCTTCTTAAAACCCTTCCCAATAGCACAAGGCATGTTTCCTTCTTCATACAACTGATGACCACCTTTCACCATTGGTGGTGTACGTTTTCCTACCTGCCAGGAGTGATCTGATCTCGGGACACTGGGCTGGAGTCGTTCTCCAGCAGATCAAACACATGGACCATGGAGTCCTCGTCCAGCACGTAGAAGACAGCTGGCCTGCTCCTAGACCACCGGACACAGCAGACCGCTCGTCCACCAGAAAACGCCGGCCAAGACAACAACGGGCTCTCTGTGAATATGGGCAGAGTGAGTGAGTGAAAGTTGTCAGCTACATTCCATGTATAATACCAGCCCTAAGACATACATTAGACACCATATCTGTACAGCAAACTGCGGTTATAACAAACTCAAAGGCACCACTGAGTTTAGTTCATTACAACCGTACTTTGCAATAAGCATGTATACAGCATATACACAACAAAATGGTCAGGACAAAAAAAAATGTTTGTTATATCCGTCAGTTCGTCATATGCGTGTTCATTATAAACATAGTTTACTGTACATGTTTTCTGATCAGATAAATAATACATTGACAAAATAACATCCCAGACAGTGACAATATCACGGGTGACACACGATATAATCCAAATTTTCATTTCCATTATGCAGGGATTTATTGCATGTGAATTTACATTGCAACACATTATTAAAAAATATACTGGTTGGCAGGTAAAAGAAAACTACTTTGACTAAAGCACAGATGCTATTGTCCGATGGTAGGGACTGGGGGAGAATAGCTGATGAATGTATTCCTGCACTGTGATGCAGTTCTTGAATGCTGACACAGGTTTGTGACATGGAGTATTCTCAGTGACAGGATTACTGACCTGACTTTGTGTGGTAGAGATGAAGACAGCCATTGTCGCAGCCAGCCTGTGATGACAAGATACGAGGTGAGAAAGTAGGGGTTCACAGCACATACATAACACACTCTACAACACCCCTGTCTTTGCAGATAACTCCTTCACTTTACACACAACAAGATCCCTGTATTTAGAGGCAGCCATTCCAAGTGATGCTTAGTCCCAAGCCTCATATGATCATTCTATTTCAGCATTCCGTTCGTGTTTGCGAATTTCGCTGTGAATCTGAATGATCGTTGGTGATTTGAGAAAGCAGATACCTGTGATCACTGTGTTGTTGTAATTGAATTCTCTGAGTAAACAGAGCTCCAGATAACTTTTAGAGCAATTGTTGTTTACTCGAAGGTTTCTATTTTAATTGGGTTATAACATAGTCCCTGTGGCATCCAAGGGGGAAGTAGACAGTGAAGTCTACCATTGTACCTTCGATGGAACTGGCTTGACAGGAGACGACAGTGAGGTGGACTTACCAACAGGTAGGGGCTACCAAAGGGAGAGAAGTCAATCGTTGTGACATTTACTGGAGACTCTGAAATGTAAAGTAAAGCAAGCTACACCATAATGGCAAGTTAGTTTTCATGGGAGGAATCAGTCTGTTGAATCCCATAGAGCAATAAGCCATGACCAGGACAACACTCACCTACTGAAGGGGCGTAGCCTTGAGGGAACCCTCGGGAGCCGAAGCGTACGCCATGGACAACACAGCCCTGTCAACAGGAAACACAGCTTCTATGACATAAGTCTGCTACCAGAAAACACAACTACCTGCCACTTGTAGTGTTATTTGTGACCAGCCTGACTACTTGCCTGACTATTGATAACATAGCAATACCCCCCAAAATGTTTGAAATCCTACTAGCCCTCAGGATACTGTTAACATTAACAAACTGGTCTGGGCTAGAGGACTGGTGTTACTTCCTATCACTCAGCCACAGTCCACATAGATGATGGAGGACTGTAAGTAACTCTATCATCCAAGACCGGCTTTCATAGGAGATATCTCTTGGGTGGTATCATGCAATTTCTCCAAGGAGAATATGATGTCATGAAATTGGATATCATGGCTTGGCAGGGTGTTTAGATGTCATCTGAAACCTTGTCATCACAATCAAAGGACATCATTTACCTCTGTGCCACTGAATCAGGTTACCTGAACTTTTTACACTGAAGAGTGAGTGAGTGAGTGTGATTTTATGCTGCTTTTAGCAATACTCCAGCAATATCAAGGTGCTGGACACCAGAAATGGGCTTCACACATTGTACCCATGTCGGGAATCGAACCCGAGTCTTCATTGTGACGAGCAAACGCTTTAACCACTAGGCTAACCCGCCACCCCATTACACTAAAGATGCTGGTTATTACGTTTGACAAACTGAAAAGGTTTGAAAAATGATTTTGGATGATAAATAGAATCTCAAGTCTCAGAGTTTTAAACTTCTATTGACTCCATGTTGGTATATTTCATATCAAAAGACACTTGGGTGAGATACCCTTTGAGTCTCGCCTCTTACAAGAATAGGTTGCTGAATTCTCGCCCAGAATCCCAACATGGTTGTTACTTGTAGAATTACTGGTAATCATGATCATTGAAAACCTAATCCATGTTGTTTGTGTACTGACCGTATCAGTGCCGACATAGAAGTGGTTGAGATCAGTAGGCAACAGCTGCATTTCAAAAGCTTGAATAGCACCCTTGGTCCTGGCAGCCCTGTAGAGAAGATTTCAACACTAAGAACAATAGCACTTGTACACAATGTCGGAATCCTACCCAGCACAGTAGCAATGGTTATGTCAAAGACATTCAGAGGAGAGCATGCACTTATGTCAGCGAGTATGTCTTGTATACTTTCTATCACAGTGAGGGGACATAAGATTGAGCTTCACATTTTATACCCATTTGGGGAATCGAACTCCAGTGTGCATCATGAGCAAACACCAAAACGGATAGGCTGCTAGAAACACTAAAAAGCTGACGATCTGGGCAGGAGAATTCCATTTACAAGCAATTGCAAGGATGGTGTCCTTATATACACTGTGGTTGGTAGCCAACTTGTTATTACCTACTTCTACTGTGCCAATCAAAGGACCAGATTCTATTTATTTTGTTTTAATCTTATTTAGAAAAAAGCCAGAGCGGATATATTTGTTGATGTTTTATTACAGAACAGAATAAAAATATACCCATCAGTATCTGCACCTCTGATTCTGGTATTTGAGTGAAACCTTGTACCTAATAATAAACTAATGTAAAACAGTGGTGGCTTTTACGACGGAGCTCTGTACTCACCTGTTGGGAGACTGTAGAGTTACTACGGAGCTCTGTACTCACCTGTTGGGAGACTGTAGAGTTATGGAGGAGCTCTGTACTCACCTGCTGGGAGACCGTAGAGTTACGGAGGAGCTCTGTACTCACCTGCTGGGAGACCGTAGAGTTACGGAGGAGCTCTGTACTCACCTGATGGGAGGCTGTAGAGTTAAGGACAAGCTCTGTACGCACCTGTTGGGAGACCGTAGAGTTACGGAGAATCTCTGTACGCACCTGTTGGGAGACCGTAGAGTTACGGAGGAGCTCTGTACTCACCTGTTGGGAGACCGTAGAGTTACGGAGGAGCTCTTCAGCAGTTTGATCCTCCCCCCTGGTGCGAGACCCAGGTCGGACTCTGACCCTGCCATATCTGGGGATGAGATCTCAGCTACCACCTGTGTACAAACATCATACTTACTAGGTGAATGTGGATTGTGATATTTATTTTTTTATGTGGTATGTATATCATAGCAAAACAATATAGAATTAGGAGAAAAACCTGATGTGTTTCCAATTTGGAGGTTTTAACCATAGATTTGATACCTGTAAATGTTTATGCAAAACCTAAATGAGAGGTTTTGAATTTGAAAAATTTACAGGTATCAAAATAGAAATTAGAAATCCCCTTTTGTTCTGAACATCATAAATTTCTACAGATACGAAGCCTAAGCACTGTGATGCGGAAGACATAATGTCACAGGACGTGAAGTGACAGTAGCAGCTAAATGAGGATGTTACTGAATTTTACAATACACACTCTAAGTATTTGGGTATAAGGGTAGGATCCAAAAAAAGCTATTCAGTTACATTACAGAAGGGAAATCATTTTTGGAATTTGCAAAAGTTGTGAATATTTTCTCTCCATGTAATGCGGTTATCAGAAAGATAATAGTCAAACGTAAATTGCTACCCACAAGTTGACCACAGCGTTTTGTTCAACTGACGCTACTGACTCACCCACAAGTTGACCACAGCGTTTTGTTCAACTGACGCTACTGACTCACCCACAAGTTGACCACAGCGTTTTGTTCAACTGACGCTACTGACTCACCCACAAGTTGACCACAGCGTTTTGTTCAACTGACGCTACTGACTCACCCACAAGTTGACCACAGCGTTTTGTTCAACTGACGCTACTGACTCACCCACAAGTTGACCACAGCGTTTTGTTCAACTGACGCTACTGACTCACCCACAAGTTGACCACAGCGTTTTGTTCAACTGATGCTAACTGGAAGGACAGCCCCGATCCCAAGTCTAAAACAGAACATGACAGCAAGTCAAGGGTAAGTTAGTAAATCATATTGCTTTCTGACACATTAGCACTCTTCCCGATATTCACAGCGATATAGCAAGTCAAGAGCAATCTCAAGACGTATGTAGTTTCTGAATACTGGATAGAAGAAATAAATATCACAAATTACTTTAAATGATTTTCACAAATACAAATTCTAATTAGACCACAGAAGTCTTAAAATCTGAAAGGCAAGATCACTGTAGAACCCAAACTATAACAGAGGTTAAACTCACCACTAGAATCTTCAGACTTTGAGCTGGAATACAAAAAGACATCATCACATTACAAGTGTTTCAGTAAAATTTCAGATAGTAGTGAACAGTAAACAGTCCACAAGGGACATAATCTAACAGTTTGCTGCAATTACCTCCCCTTGGAAGTGTGTTCCATCTGCTGTTCCATTGATGATGGTGGTATTTTTATAACACTGATCTAGCCCCTACTCACCCAACTACAGTGGAGTAGACAGGCACAATGGTGGTGGTGGTGGTGTTGGTGTGGTGGTGGTGGTGGTGGTGGTGTGGTGTGGTGTTGCTGGTGAGGGTGGTGGTGATGGTGGTTGGTGGTGGTTGGTGGTGGTGGTGGTGGTGATGGTGATGGTGGTGCTGGTGTGGTGTTGCTGGTGAGGGTGGTGGTGATGGTGGTTGGTGGTGGTTGGTGGTGGTGGTGGTGGTGGTGGTGGTGGTGATGATGGTGGTATATTATAACACTGATCTAGCCCCTACTCACCCTACTACAGTGGAGTAGACAGGCACAATGGTGGTGGTGGTGGTGGTGGTGTGGTGTGGTGTGGTGGCGGTGTTGGTGGTTGTGATGGTGGTGTGGTGATGGTGGTGGTGATGGTGGTGATGATGGTGGTGATCGTGATGGTGGTGATGGTGGTGCCGGTGTGGTGTTGCTGGTGAGGGTGGTGGTGATGGTGATGATGGTGGTATATTATAACACTGATCTAGCCCCTACTCACCCTACTACAGTGGAGTAGACAGGCAAAATGGTGGTGGTGGTGATGGTGGTGGTGGTGGTATTTTATAACACTGATCTAGCCCCTACTCACCCAACTACAGTGGAGTAGACAGGCACAATGGTGGTGGTGGTGGTGTTGGTGGTGGCGGTGGTGCTGGTGATGATGGTGGTATATTATAACACTGATCTAGCCCCTACTCACCCTACTACAGTGGAGTAGACAGGCAAAATGGTGGTGGTGGTGATGGTGGTGGTGGTGGTATTTTATAACACTGATCTAGCCCCTACTCACCCAACTACAGTGGAGTAGACAGGCACGATGGTGGTGATGGTGGTGTTGGTGGTGGTGGTGGTGGTGATGATGGTGGTATATTATAACACTGATCTAGCCCCTACTCACCCTACTACAGTGGAGTAGACAGGCACAATGGTGGTGGTGGTGGTGGTGGTGGTGGTGGTGTTGGTGTGGTGGTGGTGGTGGTGGTGATGGAGCTATGGTGATGGTGGTGGTGGTGGTGGTGGTGGTGGTGGTGGTGGTGGTGATGATGGTGGTATATTATAACACTGATCTAGCCCCTACTCACCCTACTACAGTGGAGTAGACAGGCAAAATGGTGGTGGTGGTATTTTATAACACTGATCTAGCCCCTACTCACCCTACTACAGTGGATTAGACAGGCACGATGGTGGTGATGGTGGTGATGGTGGTGGTGGTGGCGGTGGTGATGATGGTGGTATATTATAACACTGATCTAGCCCCTACTCACCCTACTACAGTGGAATAGACAGGCACGATGGTGGTGATGGAGCTATGGTGGTTCTCCTCCTCCAGGACGCGGGCGGTGTTGTACGTGGGAAAGCGCAGCACATGCTCCTGGTCACCAACACTCACTGTCCGATGCATGGACGTCGCCTCACGTAGATCCCACACCACAACGGACCCATCCCCCTACAGAAGAGACCAGTCAACAACCTTAGCGCTACGACTGACATAAGTCTATGTGTAGGTATGGGCGTTACGATCACCTTAGCGCTAAGATCGCTTTGTAACAGCACCAGGTCACATATCCCCATCTAGTCAGCTCTTACAAGCAGGAGACGTTATCTCATCCCTAACCCCCAAATCTCACAAACATGTTTATAGGTACTACATGTATATCTTTCTACCTTGACACTGACATTAATATTTCCACAAAATATAGCTGCGTCAGAAACCAACCAACCCAACATCTACTTCCTAGTAAGAAGAAGAAACAACACTAAACTTGAACATGGAAGTATCGTTACTCCAGTACATGACATGTGACCCACCAGAAGAAAAGGGACCTTATGGGTACTGGGATACAATTGTCTATAACTTCAAAAAGTCGTTTAACGTCAACTACCTTCAGTGAAGATCGCCATGTTGATGTCATGAATCTCTGTAACAAATATGACTTGAAGCTTGCGAGTTGTATTATTGTGTTCCGAAGATGCTGTAGTTTTAACTTATAATAAAAAGTCATATGTGATTTTTCACCCATAAGGTCCCTTATCTCATGGTGGGTCATATATATATATATACCCAGTGGGGCTCCCAGACTTACCATGCCACAGAAGGCCAGGGCAGCCTTGGCCGGACTGAAACAGCAGCAGGTGGGCGTCGCCTCACAGCACAGGATCCTGAAGCAGGAAGCAGGACATTAACAAGTAAGTGAGTGAGTGAGTTGGGTTTAATGCCGCTTTTAACAGTATTCCAGTTATATCGCGGCGTGTCAGCTTAATGTGGGAGGAAAGCCCGAAGTGATGCAGGTCTCAGACGTTTACCACTTCGGTGAAACCCACAAGCACGGGTATGGTGCTGACAAACCCAGAAACATAATTGGGGCGAACCGGGATTCGAACCCACAATCATAGGTTTCTGGCGTGTCCAAGGGACGCAAGTCTGCACAGCGAATCGCGGCGCCTTAGACGACTGGGCCACCCGTGCCCCCCATTAACAAGTAAGTCACCCATGATCACCCAGTTTCATTACCCCATCTGCCTTTGACATATAGCAAAACATAAACGACACACAACACAATGATGCAGAGAACCCTAATTAACGCTTTGGAGTAATCAGTGGGTGAAAAAGAATAATTTCACGTAAAAATGACGGTTGTCACTTTTAAGAATCATCCACGTGTGTTTTCGCTTCAACACTTCCATCAGGCCTAGACATCAGTGGAACACATGGTCCACACATTCATAGAGTTCATCATGTGACATTAACCGTCATGATGCGGTGACAGTGAGGTGACTATGCTGTGCTTTCGAGTTCTCAAGTAAATTGGTGTAGATGCAGTTAGTTCCCCGTCTGCATCCATAAGAATCTATCGAAAAAGGACTTGAGTGTGTTCCAACATAACAACCAATCAGAGACCTCCTATCACTGAGTAATGGATATTTTAACATTATGTCAATTGAAACCAGAGCTCTCATTGGTCAGCCTAGTCCCACTGTAGAATGCTTTATGTCACTGGCGCATTAACAATTTGTTCATTATGATATTTTATGCATGTATATTATTTGCGAAAAAATGCCAAAAATTTTACATTGGGGGAGGACAAGAGTAAATGTGTAATTATAGGCTCAAAATCAGGATAGTTGGCAACTCTGAATGATGTAAATCATCAATTATGACCAAGTTCCATAAGCTATCAACAAACAAACCCACAAACATACAAATGTAGCAAAATATAATGAAATACTGGTATAAGGAAAATGAATGAGGAACTTACAGTTAATCACCAAATCAAAACTGAATACGATACAAATGAAATTTGAAGATGGAAAAAAGGACATTTGAATACTTGTTTAATCATATGATGAGATTTCAGCCCACCTGTGAGGATAGGTGACGTCGTTGATGTTCCACACACAGGCGAGACCATGGCTGTCTACTGGGTTGTCAGGGGACGGCTACAACAGATGGCAGATGTGAGGAAGACGGCCTCAACATTCTCAGTATACAATCATGCTTGTAAAACAACCGAACAATCACATTAAGCTGGTAGCAGCCAACTAGGTCCACACTTTGTCCACACTAGTTGACAGGTGTCTCTGATGCCATGTTGCAGCAAACAGACTGATACCAACACTTGGAAACACTGAACGCCAATGTTACACAAATCATGTTCGGAAAAAGCTGTGGTGTCTTCCATGACATCCAGAGACAGAGAGGAAGATGAAACCAGAATGACTAGTGAATGCCCCACTATACAGTGCTGATGACTGAAGTCTCACCTGGGCAGGGTGGCTGAAGATGGTAAGGAGCATATTTGGCTGGTTGGGGCAGAAGCAGGCTTGTGTGACATGGCGTCCTGAAACACATGGTAGTGAAGTAGATATAACAAGCATGAAACACTCTCATCCCCTGCCAATATAGTGTACAGTTTTCAAGTTCTGCTCCGAAAAGTCCATGTCGTAGCTACGGAAACTCGAACAATAAATTCTTCAAAACCCCAAACTATCAAAAGGCACCAGTTTACCACTAGGGCAATCTATGTGTCAAGTTTGGTTCACATATCTCTCATGGGTTTTGAGTTCTGCTCCAGAAACTAAGTGTAACGGACAGTCGGACAGACAGCACCCATTCCTTTTTCCCCCTTCCACTTCGTGGCGGGGAATAACAAGCTGCCACTACTGCTTCCTGCAGCAACTCCATTCAGTACTCACACCCATTCACCCATTTTTTTTTTATCTATTTAAAACATTTTTTTCAGATGTCATTTGATCACACATACAACACACATAAATTCATCTGCCCCCATTTCTTAAATCATCTGCCCCCATTTTTTAACTCATAACATATCAAAGTTCCATTATGTCTAAATAGGCAGTCATAAGCATGGCGATTTCTACATTCTCAATCAACAGCTGTAATTTAATGTACATTCACAGACCTCGGACAAGAGTCAGTATGTCATGTTTCCAGAAATGATATGTAGAAGAGCACCAACCTTCCATAAACTTGAGTCCACCAAGTTGTGTGAAGCCATCACTGAAGCCGACATTGGACTTTGTGTTGTCCAGGGCGTGTCTGTCTCCTCCATCTCTCTCCTCATCCAGGAGGAACCCCACAGTCTGCAGACACACACTCAATATACTGGACAACCTCCTTATACAGAAACCCCACAGTCTGCAGACACACACTCAATATACTGGACAACCTCCTTATACAGAAACCCCTCAGTCTGCAGACACACACTCAATATACTGGACAACCTCCTTATACAGAAACCCCACAGTCTGCAGACACACACTCAATATACTGGACAACCTCCTTATACAGAAACCCCCCAGTCTGCAGACACACACTCAATATACTGGACAACCTCCTTATACAGAAACCCCCATCTGCAGACACACACTCAATATACTGGACAACCTCCTTATACAGAAACCCCCGTCTGCAGACACACACCCAATATACTGGACAACCTCCTTATAAAGAAACCCCACAGTCTGCAGACACACACTCAATATACTGGACAACCTCTTTATACAGGAACTCCAGTCTGCAGACACACACTCAATATACTGGACAACCTCCTTATACAGGAACCCAACAGTCTGCAGACACACACTCAATATACTGGACAACCTCCTTATACAGAAACCCCCGGCTGTAGACACACACTCAATATACTGGAAAACCTCTTTATACAGGAACCCCCCACTCTGCAGACACACACTCAATATACTGGACAACCTCTTTATACAGGAACCCCGCACTCTGTAGACACACATTCAATATACTGGACAACCTCCTTATACAGGAACCCAACAGTCTGCAGACACACACTCAATATACTGGACAACCTCCTTATACAGAAACCCCCGGCTGTAGACACACACTCAATATACTGGAAAACCTCTTTATACAGGAACCCCCCACTCTGCAGACACACACTCAATATACTGGACAACCTCTTTATACAGGAACCCCGCACTCTGTAGACACACATTCAATATACTGGACAACCTCCTTATACAGGAACCCAACAGTCTGCAGACACACACTCAATATACTGGACAACCTCCTTATACAGAAACCCCCGGCTGTAGACACACACTCAATATACTGGAAAACCTCTTTATACAGGAACCCCCCACTCTGCAGACACACACTCAATATACTGGACAACCTCTTTATACAGGAACCCGCACTCTGTAGACACACACTCAATATACTGGACAACCTCTTTACACAGAAACCCTGCACTCTGTAGACACACACTCAATATACTGGACAACCTCCTTATACAGGAACCTCACTGTCTGCAGATACACACTCAACATCAACTCAACAATACTGGCTAACCTAAACCTGTTTTGATCAGTATTTTAATTACACCCTGTTGTTTCAATGTGGGAGGGAATCCGAAATTATTAAGTAAATGAGACATTTACCAATTTGGTGAAACCCACAAGCATGGTGCGGCCTAACCTATAATTCAGACATGGAATTATCATTCTAAATACCCAGCATTCATTCTCCTATGTCGGAAATGACTTATGTATCGGGAATGTAATACAAGAATATACTTTGTTGTGGCCTTCAGATACTAAAGTTGGAGATATTGATTTACAACTACAGTTGTTGAGTCGTGTTGTATTTTATGCCGATTTTAGCAAAATTCCAGCAATATTACACCCGGGGGCCACCGGAAATGGGCTTCACACATTGTACCTATGTGGGGAATTGAACCCGGGTCTTTGGCATGACGGGTGAACGCATTAACCACTAGGCTACCCCACCGCCCGATGACACTACAGGCTGTCGTGATGACATAGGGAGAATACCTGTCCAATCTTCTCCACAAACTTGGCCAGCTTGACTGTGTCTCCATGACGACTGATAATTTGATTATCATTTGCTGCTTCTGGATCAATTCCATCACCTAGGAGAAATTGAACTACATTTTACCTACACTCAGGTAAACAAGTCAAATCCAAGTAAATTAAACATTGTTTGTTTGTTGTTTACCCTGCAGAGCTACATCATGGCTGCCTGTAAATAATCAAGGCCAGACAAACAAATCTTGATGCCGTGAGGAAAATCCCAGGCCATTGGAGTACGATGACAGGCAAGTCTCCCAGCCCACCCCCTGATACAATCTTACGACAAGCATTAGAGGCTGGAGACCTGAAATTTCCATGGGTGTGATAAGAAACAGAGAGCTGGGGACGTATTCTCACCAAGATCCCCACAGGGGTCGACAAGCAATATAGTGCTTGAGACGGACCTGTTCTAACCCAGATCCCCACGGGGTCGACAAGCAATATAGTGGAGGGGACAGACGTATTCTTACCAAGATCCCCACGGGGTCGACAAGCAATATAGTGCTGGAGACAGACGTATTCTAACCCAGATCCCCATGGTGGTCAACAAGCAATATAGTGCTAGAGACAGACGTATTCTAACCCAGATCCCCATGGGGGTCAACAAGCAATATAGTGGAGGGGACAGACCTTTTCTAACCACTTATTCTAGAAGGGAACAAAACTGAAACTGCAAGTCTGCAAACCTCCAACACCCAGCACGTCTTCTGAAGGATGCTGCGTCCATTTCTCTTTGGTGTCAATATCATCTGTCTGGATGTCTCTGTCGATGTTGTCCTCGTTTGTCTGGATGTAGGCCTGCAACATGGAACCACACAACAAATGTATACAATACCCGACATATATATACAGACATATATACATAGATTACTAAACGAACTCCCGTGTAATACCAATTTTATAAAACCAGTGAATAGTTCTGGTATCTGACATGCGAAAGCGAGTCAGATACCACAACTATTCATGAGTTTCATAAAATTGGTTTTACACGGGAGCGAGTTTAGTATGTTATTTATTACTTGCCATTTATAATGTTTTTAGAATTATACTGTTGAGTGTGAATAGGCATAATCCAATTGAGATTAACAGAATAATACTTCAAACACGTCAAAAGTATGAATGAATTTAAAACCATACAACGGTCCACCTTTAGAATTCAGGCTTCCGTTCCACAAAGTTATCGTAGCGCTAAGGTTATCACAACTCACATACTTTAACAAAGACTTACAATTGTCGTTGCTCTACAGTACGATCGCCTTGTGGAACGGGGCCCTGCACCAGAGTTTACAATCACATCACAATACCCGATGACGTAATTTGTGGAATTTTGTTGCATGATCCATTGGCGAAACAATGCCATGTGACATCAGCCTAGCAACAAGGTTGCTGGGGTCATCGAGTGTGCATAAGCTCCTCTCAGTGATCTATCAACTCCACACGCAATGTCGTTGAACAAGCCAAGGGATGTTGAGAGCTTTCAATATTTGGTCGTGAAACTTGTTCCAAGAGTACATAAACACACGTTTTGGTATTACACAATGTGTAATACAGCTGTATATTTATAAAACGGGTGATCTCTTCACAGGCAAGTAATAAATCCCAGTATATATAAAAATACTAACCATCAGTGTACAAAGAACCAGTATGTGGGTAATACAGTCTACCTGTTTAATGTTGGAGTGACCGAAGCTGTGAAATTACTAAACACCTGTGCAATAACAGTTATACTGCCTACCTGTTTAGTGTTGGAGCGACCGAAGCTGTGAAATTACCAAACACCTGTGCAATAACAGTTATACTGCCTACCTGTTTAGTGTTGGAGCGACCGAAGCTGCGTATGTACATCTCATATTCCTTGACAGGCGGCAGGTCAAACATGTCGTATCGTGCAACATCAAGCTCAATCATCTTCTGTAGGTCCGTGCCTCTCTTCCTGGTCCGACTTGCAGTCGTGGAGTTGAGAGCCACTTGCTTCGCTGACACAAAGTCAATAAATGTTCGTCCCCGGTTGACTTTAGGCGCTGGCTCCGTGTACCGCTCCTCAGATGCATCAGTCTGACGAACACACGACACAGTGTCAATACTTGTCATAGGAACTAGCTATCTGATTGGCTAGTACATCTCACGCAAAAACAAATTCAAGTCAGCTGACAGCCATCACAGACAACATGATGTCCTGGTGTTTGGTTGACTTCACTTTATTACTTGAGAACTCACAACAGTGGACACGTCCCTTCAGTTCATAAACTCCCATCAAGTCCCATACTATGTTTTATGCCCAGTCAGCAATATTTCAGCTGTATCACAGCAGCCTGCGAATAGGTCTGGGACAGACAAGCCAGTGCCATCAGCATTCACATCCCATGCTGCCAGGTCACAATCCAACCAATCATTCTTGTCACAGAGCCTTGACACCCTAATACAGTGTTGAGATTATCTCTTGCAGCAAGCATGCACCACTACTGTACGATACAGGTCACAATCCAACCAATCATTCTTGTCACAAAGCCTTGACACCCTAATACAGTGTTGAGATTATCTCTTGCAGCAAGCATGCACCACTACTGTAGGATACACCTATCAATGTTCCCTTGTGTGTGCTATCTAATCGGGTCTATTTCTGAGGGACATTTTCAAGCCTAACAACTCAGTATCAGAAACTATCCCAACAACTTCTGGTCATCGGCCTAAAGACACCAAACATGAATCAGCCTGTACAACAACAGAATGACTTTTGTATTTATTTACTTGTCTGCATAAATATGCTATACTCTTGTGTCTACTCTTAGAATATACATTCATTCATTCTAAGATCACTGCAGCAAAATTACAAGTTTGTGTCTTCAATTTTCCCACAAGCCCCACAATGAATAGGTGCAAAATCTGTAACAACATCACATATCTGTGTTTCAACTGTTCACAGAGAACCAACGAACTATGAACATCTGATTTAAATCTGCATTGAGGGGCAGCGTTTGAATAAACTCCAGCCAGAAGTGGAGTTATGAAAATTATTTTGCCACATTTACTTTACAGAGAACCCTCTTGAGAATAACATGGACAAGTTTATGGACAATAACTAGCTTGAGTCCTTCAAGTTCCATGGCCAGATTAATGCACGACACTAAGCTGATGCAACACTTACCGAGTCCGACCGATTACTGTGTCTGGAACCGTTAGCAAGCCGTGTGTTCTCCTCATCCATAGCCTTCAGCAGCTCATCCATCTCACTGCCCGGCTAAACAGACACACAGACATCAGCACACTATAGGACAACATCGGGCCATCTTGGAAAATGTTTTGGGCAACATGACCCAGCTGTTGAAATTGGGTTGTTTGGTAGGAAATGTCAACATGACCATTAGATGATAACAGATAAACATGCAGATGTCTAAATCACCTCACCTCACCTCACCCAAGCATATGTGATGTGATTTTGTGGACATATATAAAAAGAAACATTGTTAACCTAATTTCTTTGATAAACGTTTGAGCCATATTGCAAGGTTGGTCACTGAAACAAAGGCTTTCTGTACTGTGACCTGATGACTCATCTTCCTTGATAGTGTCTTTTATCTGTGGCTCCCAAATATTTTTCTTGTATTGTTTGTTATTTAACGTCGCACTCAGCAATATTCCAGCTATATGACAGCGGTCTGTAAATAACCAAATCTGGACCAGACAATCCAGTGATTGACATCATGAGCATCGATTTACGCAATTGGGATCAATGACATGCATCAACCAAGTCAGTGAGCCTGACCGCCCGATCCTGTAAGTCGCCTCTTATGACAAGCATGGGTTGCTGAAGACCTATTCTAACCCGGAATCTTCACGGAAAGGCTTCTGAATCATGAAACCCTTAACTCCTTTTCGTTTTACATTATTAAGTGTTACTTTCACAATAACATTAAGTGGATATCTGTCTGCAGAACATCACTTGAGAAAGTATGTGAAGAATTCCCAAAATAAATTTCAGCTTATGTAAAAAAAAGTTTTAAGTAATCAGATCTGGACCAGACAAACCAATGATATTGTCAGCAACACCCACACTATATATGTAGGATGACATGTAAGGCACCAAGTGCGACCACCTGATTCATTCACTCTTCTCTTGCAACACGCACAGCATCTACCCTGGAACCCCCAGGGGTGGGGTGGCTGCAGAATCCCCATGGTTAGGTTAGACTGAACGTGACACATGTTAAACAGTTAGGTGCTAGTGACTGACACGTCAAACGTACACATGTATCACAAAAATAATTAAACACATTAATACTGCAGTCTGGGTTAGGAAGAATGAACATGAAACTGTGCAGTCCAACACTGTGACGACACCCACCGGAGTCTTACTGCACAGAGCAGGTTAGCTGGTGTGAAGGGGTTAATCATACATCTGTGGAAACACATAGAACAGCCTCACTGGCAATAATTACAATAATCTCAAACGTCTGCCTCGATGTTGGCTCCTCTGTTGCTGCTGGTTCCTCCTGGGTGGGAAATGATCATCATTGGTTTCAGGGAATTAGTGCGATGGTTTGTTTGTTGCTTACGCCACATGAAGCAATGTTTCAGCTATATGACAGTATGACAGTTTGTACAGTAAATAATGGCAGGACCAGACAATCCCGTGATTGACATTATGAGCAATGTTGGGGTACAATGACCCAGCCTGACCTCCCAAACCATTTGGTCACCTCATACAACAAGCACATAAGTTACTGGGGACACATTCTGACCCTGATTCCCACTGATTGAAGGTTGCTTTCAACAGTGGGTTTTTTCACATCAACTGTTGCTGTTACAGTGGGAGAAGCCATACTCTGTTATTGTGGGAGAAGCTCTACTCTGTTACTGTGGGGGAAGCTCTACTCTGTTACTGTGGGAGAAGCTCTACTCTGTTACTGTGGGAGAAGCTCTACTCTGTTACTGTGGGAGAAGCTCTACTCTGTTACTGTGGGGGAAGCTCTAGTCTGTTACTGTGGGGGAAGCTCTACTCTGTTACTGTGGGGGAAGCTCTACTCTGTTACTGTGGGAGAAGCTCTACTCTGTTACTGTGGGAGAAGCTCTACTCTGTTACTGTGGGAGAAGCTCTACTCTGTTATTGTGGGAGAAGCTCTACTCTGTTACTGTGGGAGAAGCTCTACTCTGTTACTGTGGGAGAGCTCTACTCTGTTACTGTGGGAGAAGCTCTACTCTGTTACTGTGGGGGAAACTCTACTCTGTTACTGTGGGGGAAACTCTACTCTGTTACTGTGGGAGAAGCTCTACTCTGTTACTGTGGGAGAAGCTCTACTCTGTTACTGTGGGAGAAGCTCTAGTCTGTTACTGTGGGAGAAGCTCTACTCTGTTATTGTGGGAGAAGCTCTACTCTGTTACTGTGGGAGAAGCTCTACTCTGTTACTGTGGGAGAAGCTCTAGTCTGTTATTGTGGGAGAAGCTCTACTCTGTTACAGTGGGGGAAGCTCTACTCTGTTATTGTGGGAGAAGCTCTACTCTGTTACTGTGGGAGAAGCTCTACTCTGTTACTGTGGGGGAAGCTCTACTCTGTTATTGTGGGAGAAGCTCTACTCTGTTACTGTGGGGGAAGCTCTACTCTGTTACTGTGGGAGAAGCTCTACTCTGTTACAGTGGGAGAAGCTCTACTCTGTTATTGTGGGAGAACCTCTACTCTGTTATTGTGGGAGAAGCTCTACTCTGTTACTGTGGGAGAATCTCTACTCTGTTACTGTGGGAGAAACTCTACTCTGTTACTGTGGGGGAAACTCTACTCTGTTATTGTGGGAGAAGCTCTAGTCTGTTACTGTGGGAAAGCTCTAGTCTGTTACTGTAGGAGAAGCTCTACTCTGTTATTGTGGGAGAAGCTCTAGTCTGTTACTGTGGGGGAAACTCATCACTGTTACTGTGGGAGAAGCTCTACTCTGTTACTGTAGGAGAAGCTCTACTCTGTTATTGTGGGAGAAGCTCTACTCTGTTACTGTGGGAGAAGCTCTACTCTGTTACAGTGGGAGAAGCTCTACTCTGTTACAGTGGGAGAACCTCTACTCTGTTATTGTGGGAGAAGCTCTACTCTGTTACAGTGGGAGAAGCTCTACTCTGTTACAGTGGGAGAAGCTCTACTCTGTTATTGTGGGAGAAGCTCTACTCTGTTATTGTGGGAGAAGCTCTACTCTGTTATTGTGGGAGAAGCTCTACTCTGTTACTGTGGGAGAAACTCTACTCTTTTACTGTGGGAGAAACTCTACTCTGTTACTGTGGGGGAAACTCTACTCTGTTACTGTGGGGGAAGCTCTACTCTGTTACTGTGGGAGAAGCTCTACTCTGTTATTGTCGGAGAAACTCATCACTGTTACTGTGGGGGAAACTCTACTCTGTTACTGTGGGAGAAGCTCTACTCTGTTACTGTGGGAGAAGCTCTACTCTGTTATTGTGGGAGAACCTCATCACTGTTACTGTGGGAGAAGCTCTACTCTGTTACTGTGGGAGAAGCTCTAGTCTGTTACTGTGGGAGAAGCTCTACTCTGTTACTGTGGGAGAACCTCTACTCTGTTACTGTGGGGGAAACTCTACTCTGTTACTGTGGGGGAAACTCTACTCTATTACTGTGGGAGAAGCTCTACTCTGTTACTGTGGGAGAAGCTCTACTCTGTTACAGTGGGAGAAGCTCTACTCTGTTATTGTGGGGGAAACTCTACTCTGTTACTGTGGGGGAAACTCTACTCTGTTACAGTGGGAGAAGCTCTACTCTGTTACTGTGGGGGAAGCTCTACTCTGTTACTGTGGGAGAAGCTCTAGTCTGTTACTGTGGGAGAAGCTCTACTCTGTTACTGTGGGGGAAACTCTACTCTGTTACTGTGGGAGAAGCTCTACTCTGTTACTGTGGGAGAAGCTCTACTCTGTTACTGTGGGAGAAGCTCTACTCTGTTACTGTGGGGGAAACTCATCACTGTTACTGTGGGGGAAACTCTACTCTGTTATTGTGGGAGAAACTCATCACTGTTACTGTGGGGGAAACTCATCACTGTTACTGTGGGGGAAACTCTACTCTGTTACTGTGGGAGAAGCTCTACTCTGTTACTGTGGGAGAAGCTCTACTCTGTTATTGTGGGAGAACCTCATCACTGTTACTGTGGGAGAAGCTCTACTCTGTTACTGTGGGAGAAGCTCTAGTCTGTTACTGTGGGAGAAGCTCTACTCTGTTACTGTGGGAGAACCTCTACTCTGTTACTGTGGGGGAAACTCTACTCTGTTACTGTGGGGGAAACTCTACTCTGTTACTGTGGGAGAAGCTCTACTCTGTTACTGTGGGAGAAGCTCTAGTCTGTTACTGTAGGAGAAGCTCTACTCTGTTATTGTGGGAGAAGCTCTAGTCTGTTACTGTGGGGGAAACTCATCACTGTTACTGTGGGAGAAGCTCTACTCTGTTACTGTAGGAGAAGCTCTACTCTGTTATTGTGGGAGAAGCTCTACTCTGTTACTGTGGGAGAAGCTCTACTCTGTTACAGTGGGAGAAGCTCTACTCTGTTACAGTGGGAGAACCTCTACTCTGTTATTGTGGGAGAAGCTCTACTCTGTTACAGTGGGAGAAGCTCTACTCTGTTACAGTGGGAGAAGCTCTACTCTGTTATTGTGGGAGAACCTCTACTCTGTTATTGTGGGAGAAGCTCTACTCTGTTACTGTGGGAGAAACTCTACTCTGTTACTGTGGGAGAAACTCTACTCTGTTACTGTGGGGGAAACTCTACTCTGTTACTGTGGGGGAAGCTCTACTCTGTTACTGTGGGAGAAGCTCTACTCTGTTATTGTCGGAGAAACTCATCACTGTTACTGTGGGGGAAACTCTACTCTGTTATTGTGGGAGAAGCTCTACTCTGTTACTGTGGGAGAAGCTCTACTCTGTTATTGTGGGAGAACCTCATCACTGTTACTGTGGGAGAAGCTCTACTCTGTTACTGTGGGAGAAGCTCTAGTCTGTTACTGTGGGAGAAGCTCTACTCTGTTACTGTGGGAGAACCTCTACTCTGTTATTGTGGGGGAAACTCTACTCTGTTACTGTGGGGGAAACTCTACTCTATTACTGTGGGAGAAGCTCTACTCTGTTACTGTGGGAGAAGCTCTACTCTGTTACTGTGGGGGAAGCTCTACTCTGTTACTGTGGGAGAAGCTCTAGTCTGTTACTGTGGGAGAAGCTCTACTCTGTTACTGTGGGAGAAACTCTACTCTGTTACTGTGGGAGAAGCTCTACTCTGTTACTGTGGGGGAAGCTCTAATCTGTTACTGTGGGAGAAGCTCTACTCTGTTACTGTGGGAGAAGCTCTACTCTGTTACTGTGGGAGAAGTCTACTCTGTTACTGTGGGAGAAGCTCTAATCTGTTACTGTGGGAGGAGCTCTACTCTGTTACTGTGGGAGAAGCTCTAATCTGTTATTGTGGGAGAAGCTCTACTCTGTTACTGTGGGAGAAGCTCTACTCTGTTACTGTGGGGGAAGCTCTAATCTGTTACTGTGGGAGAAGCTCTACTCTGTTACTGTGGGAGAAGCTCTACTCTGTTACTGTGGGAGAAGCTCTACTCTGTTACTGTGGGAGAAGCTCTAATCTGTTACTGTGGGAGAAGCTCTACTCTGTTACTGTGGGAGAAGCTCTACTCTGTTACTGTGGGAGAAGCTCTACTCTGTTACTGTGGGAGAAGCTCTACTCTGTTACTGTGGGAGAAGCTCTACTCTGTTACTGTGGGAGAAGCTCTAATCTGTTACTGTGGGAGAAGCTCTACTCTGTTACTGTGGGGGAAGCTCTACTCTGTTACTGTGGGAGAAGCTCTACTCTGTTACTGTGGGGGAAACTATACTCTGTTACTGTGGGAGAAGCTCTAATCTGTTACTGTGGGAGAAGCTCTACTCTGTTACTGTGGGAGAAGCTCTAATCTGTTACTGTGGGAGAAGCTCTACTCTGTTACTGTGGGGGAAGCTCTACTCTGTTACTGTGGGAGAAGCTCTACTCTGTTACTGTGGGGGAAGTTCTACTCTGTTACTGTGGGAGAAGCTCTACTCTGTTACTGTGGGAGAAGCTCTACTCTGTTACTGTGGGAGAAGCTCTACTCTGTTACTGTTGGAGAAGCTCTACTCTGTTACTGTGGGAGAAGCTCTACTCTATTACTGTGGGAGAAGCTCTACTCTGTTACTGTGGGAGAAGCTCTACTCTGTTACTGTGGGAGAAGCTCTACTCTGTTACTGTGGGAGAAGCTCATCACTGTTACTGTGGGGGAAGCTCTACTCTGTTACTGTGGGAGAAGCTCATCACTGTTACTGTGGGGGAAGCTCTACTCTGTTACTGTGGGAGAAGCTCATCACTGTTACTGTGGGAGAAGCTCTACTCTGTTACTGTGGGAGAAGCTCTACTCTGTTACTGTGGGAGAAGCTCTACTCTGTTACTGTGGGAGAAGCTCTACTCTGTTACTGTGGGAGAAGCTCTACTCTGTTACTGTGGGGGAAACTCATCACTGTTACTGTGGGAGAAACAGACTAATTTATATTGGAAGACAGAGCAGTAGTTCCTCCTAACCAGTAACAACATAATATCCTTTATGTTTTAAACAAAACTTTCTCCTCCAACCATGCCAATAAGTTTACCACACAACATGAATGTACAAACAAGACCACATTCTCTTCAAACAAATAACAACGGATAAAACATGAAAATTATCTTACACCAAAATATCAAATGATTTGAAAATCCCAAATACCAGAAGCACTGGCAGAATCCCACACCCACTTGTTACAGACAACAGCCACAGACAGCCGAGTCTCACCTTGCTATACCTGCTGTTACTCATAGCCTTGTGTCTGTACTAAGAGACAAAGGAAACTGTCACAAGGCAGTCACAGTTGAAGTATTGAAAATCCTTAAATAAATGCCTTTTTTAATAATCTCCTCTGCCAAACTAAAAGAATATACGCCTACCTTGAATAAATGTGAGATCAAATTTTACAAGGAAAGAGGGTTTTGGAATATTTGTTTTATGAAAAACAACATTCCCAGTCTAAGGCCCTTCATATAAATCAAATATGGCAGTTGTTCAAGGATTTACAACTGTCATAACTTTAACCCTGACAATGTTTCTAGGTTTGTCAGCACCGTGCTTGTGGGTTTCACCAAAGTGTGTTACAAGCGGCATTAAACCCAACTCACTCATAATAACTTGCTATCTATCCAAATGAACAGTATCACAATAACTAAAGGGTTGTCCAGTTCTTCAGGCAGCGATGCACCAATAGGTGATGCTTGGTAATAAGGCTGGGACGGGTAACTCGGGTACTCGGGTTGGGTGGGTACTGAGTAGGACCCGGGTACCCACAGGACTACCCGGACCCGTGGTTAGTCACGTGATCATATTGTTTAATGGCAAAAATTATCACATTCCTTCTGACTTTATATGTTTGCATAAAGATAAAACTTCAGTCAATTTCAGTGTATGCATGAGTCATGACTAGATCATTTTATACCTGTAGCTAAATACATTTTGACAGGACTACGGTCAAACGTTTCCCAATCGGACATTTTGTACCTATCTCTTGAGACCTACAGCGGGTACCCGGGTAGGGTCAGGTAATAGGGTGGTGGGTACCGGGGTAGTAAATCTGGACTCGTCCCAGCCCTACTTGGTAACCATAGGAACCAGACAGACTGATGCTAATACCAGGTGATACAAACCAACAAAATTGTATGTGCTTTACCTGCTGAGGTCTGTCGTTGGTGTCATCATCATCTGCCTCGAAGTCATCGTCATAGTCCTGGGAACAGAGACATTACACCATCACTACACTAGAGATATTGGGGCATGTAGGCTTAGAGCATAGTAAAACTGACTGGTGATCTTTCAAGTCCATAGTGTTTTAGTGTGGTTAAATTAGAAATGCTATGGTAATAAGGTATAGGTATGCTGTGATATGATGTGATAATGCTCTTAGGATGTCTATCAATGCACATAGCATCAGTGCTATGGTATGCATAGACTGTATTATTATTATTATTATTATATTGGACTGGAGGAATGAACTGGAATCCCTACAGTGTTGATTTGAAGATAAATAGAAGCTGATGTAAACTAACCTCAAAATCCTCATCATCATAATTGTACTCATCACCATTTTCCTCCTGGTCCGACTCGGGCTCCTGAACCCTGCTTCGACTCACTGGTTCACTCTGAAGAGTAGACACACACGACTCAGAAAGTTTCCTTACAGTCTTACAGTCAGTAATTATCCAGCTATATCGACCTGAACCATATCGACCTGAACCCTGTTTCCACTCACTGGTTCACTCTGAAGAGTAGACACACACGACTCAGAAAGTTTCCTTACAGTCTTACAGTCAGTAATTATCCAGCTATATCGACCTGAACCATATCGACCTGAACCCTGTTTCCACTCACTGGTTCACTCTGAAGAGTAGACAACGACTCAGATAGTTTCCTTACAGTCTTACAGTCAGTAATTATCCAGCTATATCGACCTGAACCATATCGACCTGAACCCTGTTTCCACTCACTGGTTCACTCTGAAGAGTAGACACACACGACTCAGAAAGTTTCCTTACAGTCTTACAGTCAGTAATTATCCAGCTATATCGACCTGAACCATATCGACCTGAACCCTGTTTCCACTCACTGGTTCACTCTGAAGAGTAGACAACGACTCAGATAGTTTCCTTACAGTCTTACAGTCAGTAATTATCCAGCTATATCGACCTGAACCATATCGACCTGAACCCTGTTTCCACTCACTGGTTCACTCTGAAGAGTAGACAACGACTCAGATAGTTTCCTTACAGTCTTACAGTCAGTAATTATCCAGCTATATCGACCTGAACCATATCGACCTGAACCCTGTTTCCACTCACTGGTTCACTCTGAAGAGTAGACAACGACTCAGATAGTTTCCTTACAGTCTTACAGTCAGTAATTATCCAGCTATATCGACCTGAACCATATCGACCTGAACCCTGTTTCCACTCACTGGTTCACTCTGAAGAGTAGACAACGACTCAGATAGTTTCCTTACAGTCTTACAGTCAGTAATTATCCAGCTATATCGACCTGAACCATATCGACCTGAACCCTGTTTCCACTCACTGGTTCACTCTGAAGAGTAGACAACGACTCAGATAGTTTCCTTACAGTCTTACAGTCAGTAATTATCCAGCTATATCGACCTGAACCATATCGACCTGAACCCTGTTTCCACTCACTGGTTCACTCTGAAGAGTAGACAACGACTCAGATAGTTTCCTTACAGTCTTACAGTCAGTAATTATCCAGCTATATCGACCTGAACCATATCGACCTGAACCCTGTTTCCACTCACTGGTTCACTCTGAAGAGTAGACAACGACTCAGATAGTTTCCTTACAGTCTTACAGTCAGTAATTATCCAGCTATATCGACCTGAACCATATCGACCTGAACCCTGTTTCCACTCACTGGTTCACTCTGAAGAGTAGACAACGACTCAGATAGTTTCCTTACAGTCTTACAGTCAGTAATTATCCAGCTATATCGACCTGAACCATATCGACCTGAACCCTGTTTCCACTCACTGGTTCACTCTGAAGAGTAGACAACGACTCAGATAGTTTCCTTACAGTCTTACAGTCAGTAATTATCCAGCTATATCGACCTGAACCATATCGACCTGAACCCTGTTTCCACTCACTGGTTCACTCTGAAGAGTAGACAACGACTCAGATAGTTTCCTTACAGTCTTACAGTCAGTAATTATCCAGCTATATCGACCTGAACCATATCGACCTGAACCCTGTTTCCACTCACTGGTTCACTCTGAAGAGTAGACACACAGGACACATATAGTTTCCTTACAGTCTTACAGTCAGTAATTGTCCAGCTTTATCGACCTGGTTTGTAAATAAGAGCGACTGGACCAGACAAACCAGTGATCGATATCATGAGCAACATTCACTGCCATCGGGAAACACTAACATGCAGTCAATCAAGTCACAAAGCCTGACCACACGATTTAGTTATGACAAGAATACAGATCCATTCTATACCGGAATCCCTGCTGGGGCAGTGGATATCACACTCTACTGAATTATCACCAGTGTGCCATCTACTTCAGTTCTTAGTAAAGATATATTTGTTTCTGCTTGAAAGGCCAGATCTGTGTAACTGGTGTAATCACGGCAGCACATCTGGTTTTGTGTGGCCAACATTTGACACTTGAAACCGTTTCAGCTATGTGTACTTGACAAACACGGTGAGATGTCACACTGACAAAATACATCCTTGCATTGTGTGAAACTGAAGAAAATTGTGTGTGAGCATTTTTTAACAAATATCCTTCACATTTATGTCCTAAACTATCATTTCTGTACTGGGTAGTTACATTGTGACAAAGTGTCAATAGTGAAGTTTGTGTGCTCACTGAAAGCAGAAATCTCTCCCGAATATATAAGATAACATAACATTCAGAAAGTCACATGTATCTCTGGAACTTCAGTGTGCATGTCAACAACAGTGTCCACAGTCATGCTCACAATACCAAACTCATGCGTTTGTTTCCCAATGTAAACTACAAGAAAGTCCAGGAGCCTGCATCGTCCTACAACAGACCCTAGTCACACGTTTATGTACAGGAAAATATTCAATACTTGTATGAATGAACAGTGATGGAAACTAAGCATGAAATTCAAGTGGGGGAGGCACTCTTGTGGCCCTACATTCATACACACCTGTGCAGGCGTTTCGGGGGCCGATACTTTCTCCGTGAGGATTCTATTAAGGGTATGTGTTCTTGGGCAACAAGCAGAACGCAATGCTCTCAGTGTGCTGCAATTATTGTTGGGCCATGACAATTCTTTGAACATTGTCATTATAATAAACAAAGTATTGCAGGGATAATTCTAGACTGGGGCCTTGTGCTTTTAGACCCTAAATCTGAAAAAGGCCCACATTTTCAAATACAATGGGGCATTTTAACATTGTGCTGCATAGGCGTACCTCTGGAATATTTGAAATTTTCACATAAAGGGCCCATGTCAGAAAATTCCTGGAGTGAACCCTGGTATTGGGATGGAGAAACCGAGGCCAAAGGGAGGTAACCCTGTACCTCACACTGAAGCCAGACACTGTTTTATGAGGCAGGTGCTCCCAACCCATGCAGGTGCTGTCTGTGAAGCAATATTTAAAGACATATGTGGACAATGTTACCTTCTTTGGTCTACGTCTCACACTTGGTTTCCGTTTGCCAGTTGGCTGTTTCTGAGTTAAGGGGATAGCAAACATATGATTATAAACACATGGTTGTCACTGTTGACATAAATATATCACATCAGATGCATTACCGACACAGCAAAGACAAAACAGGGATAGAAAGAACAAACCTGTTTCTCTTCTTTCTTTCTTTCAACGTTTCTGAAATAAAATTAATAAGTTTGTATAAAAGTGGCACAACAGCCACTCTGACTTAACATTATTGAAAGGTCACCATGGAATTATTATTGCAAAATATGAAGTAAGTCTAGTCAGAGCATGGTGAAAACCTGCCAGTATCTACCAATCTGTGTCTGTCACCACGAGTACCTACCTCTCCCTGTGTCTGTCATCACTCTGAGTACCTACCTATCTTTGTGTCTGTCATCACTCCGAGTACTCCGATCTCGTGGTTTGTCTCCCTTCCTGGAATCTCTCTTCTCCTCGTCCCGATCCTGGGAACACATAGCTATTAAGATAGAATATGATCCTGACATCACCATACAGTATCATCAACATGGAGTTATCTTCTAAATGACATCAACCCAGATTGTCATTTCATTGTCAAACATCACCCCCAATCCGCAAGACCAACCCCACCCCACAAGCCCTCCTCCACACAAGCCCTCCTCCACACCACAAGACCAACCCCACCCCACAAGACCTCCCCCATTAAACAAAACAAACCCGACCCCACAAGACCCTCCCCATCAAACAAGACAAACCCCATCCCACAAGACCTTCCCCATCAAACAGGACAAACCCCACCACCATACCACAGAACCTTCCCCATCAAACAGGACCAACCCCACCTCACCACACAAGACCTTCCCCATCAAACAGGACAAACCCCACCCAACCCCACATGACCTTCCCCATTAAACAAAACAAACCCCACCCCACAAGACCTTCCCCATCACACAAGACAAACCCCACCCCACCCCACATGACCTTCCCGAACAAACAAGACAAACCCCACCCCACAAGACCTTCCCCATCACACAAGACAAACCCCACCCCACCCCACCTTCCCCATCAAACAAGACAAACTCCACCCCACCCCACAAGACCTTCCCCATCAAACAAGACAAACCCCACCCCACCTTACATGACCTTTCCCATCAAACAAGACAAACCCCACCCCACCCCACAAGACCTTCCCCATCAAACAAGACAAACCCCACCCCACCTTACATGACCTTTCCCATCAAACAAGACCACCCCCACCCCACCCTACAAGACCTTCCCCACCAAACAGGACCAACCCCACCCCACAAGATGTTCCCCATACCACAAGAGTAACCCCACCCCATCCCCTCCTTCAATGTTATTCATGTGTCACTGACTTACACTCCTCTTATCTCTGTCCTTCTCTTTCTTCTCCCTCCGCTCCTGTCTCTGACGGTCTCGGTCGTCCTGCAGGCATCAAAAAGAAACTGACAAGAAACCCTATGATACTATCTGTACCAGAGGTACATGTCTTCAGAGTGTCAAGGGCTGGAGGCAGTGTGTTATCATGTCAACTTGGACCTACATCATACTGAGTCACTGCTTTCGGAACTACAGTAAACTACATTTATAATAACCACGCTTACAACAAACTGACAGATATAACAAACTTGGTTTTTTTGTCCTGGCCCTTTGCTGTATACATGCTTATAACGAACTATGGTTATAACGAACTAGAATTAGTGCTCCCTTTGAATTTGTTATAACCGTTGTTTACTTGGTTCTTGGTTTGTTGTTTAACGGCACACTCAGCAATATTCCTGCTATATGATGTCGGTTTGTAAATAATCGAGTCTGGACCAGACATTCCAGTGATTGACATCATGAGAATCGATCCACGCAATTGGGTTTGTTTTTTGTTTGTTTGTTGTTTAACACCACACTCAGCAATATTCCAGCTATATGACGGCAGTCTGTAAAATAATCGAATCTGGACCAGACAATCCAGTGATTGACATCATGAACATCGATCCACGCAATTGGGATCGATGACATGTATCAACCAAGTCAGCGAGCCTGACCACCCGATCACATTAGTTGCCTTTTACGACAAGCATAGTCGCCTTTTACGGCAAGTATGGGTTGCTGAAGACCTATTCTACCCAAAAATCTTCACGGGTCCCACGCAATTGGGATACAATGACATGCATCAACCAAGTCAGCGAGCCTGACCACCTGATCCTGTTAGACGCCTATTACGACAAGTCTCCTTTTAGTGGGTGAGTATGGTTTTACGCAGCTTTTAGCACTATTCCAGCAATATCACGGCAGGGGACACTAGAAATGGGCTTCACACATTGTACCCATGTCGGGAATCAAACCCGGGTCTTCGGCGTGAAGAGGCTAGGCTACCCGACTACCCCTAGTCTCCTTTTAGGGCAAGCATGGGTTGTTGAAGACCTATTCTACCCCGGATCTTCACGGGGCCCCCGTAGTATACTATAGATGTTTACACATTGACTGTTTTAAATGTTAATTAGCCGAAACATATAAATAGTTATCAGGAAACAAGTCCTAAACCAGTTTATGGTCATAACAAATGTGACTGTTGATAGTTAATGATTTAGGTGTTTATCAAGTAAATTTGGTTGAAATCCATCAATCATTATCAAAGTCCTTGTGAAGAAAGTAGTTCCTAATACAACATAGTACATGCTGAGCCACAGCACTGTAACACACTGTAACACACTGTAACACAGTAAACCACTTTCACAGCAGACCCACGGGGCACACAGCTCCCTCTCCCACGTAATGATGACAAACCAGTAGGCACACTCTCCAACATGGGATGTGTTATCTCACACAGAGGCTACCGGTACTTCCACATGCTGACTTTGTTTGGGGCAAGAGGACAAGTGCTAATTGTGTTCCCTGAGGTCAGTAGCTTAGACAATTGAAAATAGTCAACGATAATCAGACGGATGTGTGATGTATCCGGTTTCCTGGGACAAGCAGCACATCACACTTAACTGGGGTTGTTGTTATATGGTATCACTATTCATGCTACTAATGCTGGTAGTACATGATGCCAGCAGAAGAAAGCACCACCACGGCACCACGGCACAGCACGGTACAACTGTTTATGACAATGGATGTATTGTTTATGACAATGGGTGTATTGTTTATGACAAGGTGTATTGGTTCTGACAATGGATGTATTGTTTATGACAATGGGTGTATTGTTTATGACAAGGTGTATTGCTTATGACAATGGGTGTATTGGTTATGACCATGGGTGTATTGGTTATGACAATGAATGTACTGTTTATGACAATGGATGTAGTGCTTAGGCCAATGGGTGTATTGTTTATGACAATGGATGTACTGTTTATGACAATGGGTGTCTTGGTTATGACAATGGATGTATTGGTTATGACAATGGATGTATGGATTATGACAATGGGTGTATTGTTTATGACAAGGATGTATTGGTTATGACAATGGATGTACTGTTTATGACAATGGATGTATTGTTTATGACAATGGGTGTATTGTTTATGACAATGGATGTATTGATTATGACAATAGATGTATTGTTCATGACAAGAAAGCTGCACTTCAGCAAAATCAGTCACACATTCCACCAGACAGTAACCATGGTAACCTCTGTCAGAGACATCGCCTCAGGACTTTCTCTGCGCTTACTGTGTGACCTTCGAGTTTTTGCGAAAAACAATTCTACAATATTTCAATATTTCTGCATGGATTCAGTGTAGATGCAGCCTCTAGAGTCTGGTGTAAAACCAAACAACTGCATCCCATGCCAACTGCATCAGTTCAACTAGCCAGCAACAACTACAACTACAACTACAACTAGTCCTTTTTATTGACAAGAAAAGAGACTTAACAAATCCCACTACAGCCAAGTTGACCAGGTCTGGTTAATCTTTAACTCAGCCTATAAACAGAATGACACACAAAAGATGATGTCTCATACTCAATCTCTACATGAAGTCCCCCGCCCCACCCCGCCCCTCCCTAGGATCTCCTGTACTCACTGTGTCCTCGTGCTTCTCCCGCCTCCTTCGGTCTCTGTCATCCTGCAACACCATCGGCCATCAAACACATCAAACATTCAGACTTGTTATTACGTTATTAGGACCAGGCTTATACAGAACACTATATGTGATCCACAAAGTGGTTATATTTAGCACTCATCACTTCGTGTGTTATCACTGGTGTGTCGTAACAGCTCATTACACTGTTGGGGGCACTGGTGGCCCAGTCGTCTAAGGGGCTGCAATTCGCTGTGCAGAGTTGCATCCCTTGGGCACGCCAGAAACCTATGATTGTGGTTCGAATCTTGGTTCGCCCCAATTATGTTTCTAGGTTTGTCAGCACCATACCCGTGCTCGTGGGTTTCATGGAAGTGGTAAATGCCTAAGACCTGAATCACTTCCGGCTTTCCTCCCACATTAAGCTGACACGCCGTGTTATGACTAGAATACTGTAAATGTGGCGTTAAAACACAACTCACTCGCTCACTCACTCATTACACGATTCACAGCAGCATTAGTCAACTTGCCTCACTCCCTGTCATTCACCCAATATACTCACATCAGTCCGATGTCTGTCTTTCTCTCTACTCTCCTTCTTCCGTTTGTCCCTGTCATCCTGAAGTACATAACATCAACATTCAACTGACTTGCAAGAACAGTCAATGCAGGTCTGTGGTCTTTCCTTTAGTCACAGAGGTTTTTATAAACAATTTTTTTTTTATATTTTACAACCTGAGCCTGTAAGGGCCGATAGGACAATATAAGCCTTAAATTGAAGGGGCCTATAGTACAACATAAGCCTTATATTGAAGGGCCTATAGCACAACATATGCCATATATTGAAGGGCCAATAGTGCAACATAAGCCTTATATTGAAGGGCCCATAGCACAACATAAGCCTGTATATTGAAGGACCCATAGCCCAACATAAGCCTGTATATTGAAGGGCCTATAGCACAACATTAGCCTTATATTGAAGGGCCTATAGCACAACATTAGCCTTATATTGAAGGGCCCATAGCACAACATAAGCCTGTATATTGAAGGACCCATAGCACAACATTAGCCTCATATTGAGGGGCATATAGCACAACATAGGTCTTATATTGAAGGGCCCATAGCACAACATAAGCCTGTATATTGAAGGACCCATAGCACAACATTAGCTTTATATTAAGGACCAATAGCGCAACATAATCCTGTATATCTGGTATATTGAAGGGCCCATAGCACAACATAAGCCTTATATTAAAGGGCCCAGAGCACAACATTAGCCTTAGATTGAAGGGCCTATAGCACAACATAGGCCTCATATTGAAGGGCCCATAGCACAACATAAGCCTGTATATTGAAGGGCCTATAGCACAACATTAGCCTTATATTGAAGGGCCTATAGCACAACACTAGCCTTATATTGAAGGGCCCATACTCCTACCTCATCCCTTTGACGTCGCCTGTTGTCTGTCTCATTTCGTCCATCATCCTTGTGTTTCCTCTCTTTCTCCTCACGACGTTTTCGCCTATCGTCATCACGATCACGATGGCGGTCCCTGTCATCATCCTGATGTCTGCGTTTCTCATCATCCCGGTCACGATGCCGTCGTCTCGTATCATCATCTTCTATTACAGGAGCATCTCGTCTCTTCTCCTTTTTTTCCTGATGGAAATACATAAACTAAATTTCAAAAATCTGTTCAAATTAACGTGCATTGACATGAGGTTGATAAACTGGTACAAGCAAACCAGTCCCCTGATCCTGAGAACAGGTAAGGGAAACAACTCTCCACAGGAAATCACAGCCAATTTGACCACAACGATTGAAACACATACACCTCTCAGCCAGAACTCTGCTTGGGTATATTTGTGATAGAACTAAAACATGTGATGAGTAAACTGTGTTCAGTGTGTAGGGGTTTCCTGAGGGCCTCGAGGACACCTACGTGTCATTCTAATTGTATTTGAATCTGGGGAGTGGATAAATTTCAAACTCATACCACGACACAATCCCCTGAATCTTCAGGATCAATTTTGATCACTGGTATACTTTTCACCAATTTCTGGACTATTCCTGGAACTGTAAAAATATGCATGTCCTACACACTGTCAAATGCACAAATACCTCAACACAAAGTATTGGAAAACTTACTCCTGTATCCTGATTGACAAACATATTACTGTGAGAATAGCATCAACAACATTCAGCAGCAAAGATAGAATCTGAAATTTCAGGGAGCAAAATGCCCACAACTGAGGACAACCTACAGGTTTGGATGGATCTTTCTTTTCTCTCCGATCTCTCCGCTCCTGTCTCTGTCTCTCTCTCTCCTCCTGAAACATGGTGGTACAGTATCCATGGTAACAATATCTGAGAAAGTACTTCAATCCGCCATTACACAATAAAAAACACTTAAAGTTAAAAATTGTGATCTGCAACAAGTTCCCATTTCAACATGTTCAAGCCATTGGTTGAAGAGCTTCTGTAGGAGAAGTGCACAATGAAAATAAATATCTAGAAATGAAAAGATCTGAAGTCTGTTTACTTGTGCAGCGTGTATAGTGTGTACAGAAAACTTGCAGGGAAAAAATTAACTGTGTTTAGAAGAATCAGTGAAGTTACAAACTGAGAAACACTCCTCCTAGGGTGGCAATAACCTTACGTCTGACCTGAGAATCTAGAAGTAGCTTGGACAATGAATTAACCGATAAGACCCGGGTGTTACCTCTGTGAGACTCATCCTGTCAGAATCATCTCTCCTATGTCGGCGCTTATCCTCCTGGAAGAGTAAAGTCCACTTGAGCTTGGTACAATATTAGATTATAATAAGGTTAAACTTAGTATACCTAAAGAATGGAGAGACACTGTCAATCATTATATCAAAATACCAATATATGACTTAAATCTTAGTCCACAATTGAGGGATATATTTATACCCGTTCAAGGATCTAGATACTTTTATGATAGACTAATTACAATAACAAAACCACCCTTAGTAAATGGAAAATGGCAATCTCTTTTTGATAATGATATTCAATGGAAAGAAGTTTATTCAAATTTCAGAAAATGTACTAAAGATACTAAATTGATTGACTTTCAGTTTAAGTTTATCCACGGAATAATTTACACCAAAAAGGAATTATTAAGAATGAAACTAGTTGATAATGATATTTGCTCCTTTTGTGACTTAAATGGCGAAAACCTTATACATGTATATTGGGAATGTGAATATGTTAAACACTTTTGGAGCAAACTGGAAACCTTTTTAAACCTTGACACAAATACTAGGATCTCACTTACCAAATACTCAGTTACTTTTGGATTCGACAAAAATAAACTTTTACTTAATCATATTATAATATCCAGTAAAAGATATATATATATATATCAAGTATTAAGGGTGAGAAACCAATTTTTGATAATTTTAGGAAAATACTAAAAGAGACAGCGATGATTGAAAAATTCATTGCCACCAAAAGCAATGGTCTATTACAATTTGAACGAAAATGGGGAAAAATCCTACACAAATTAATATAATAATCATGCCCTGTACAATAAGGCTATAGATCAGCTATGCCTCAAATAGCAATACCACCATAATTGTTTTAGTTCTATCTGACTATCGATACAACTTTTCATGCTCTTCTTGAGGCATATCGTGTGTGTGTGTGTGTGTGTGTGTGTGCGTGTGCGTGTGCGTGTGCATGGGTGTGTTTCAATTATGCACGCTATATTTATATCACAAGAAATGTACATCTGTGTAATGTATTTTCACTACAATTGACTAAACCTACTGTGTAACCTCTGAACCTGATGTACAACTCTTCGAAAGGAATAAAAAACGTCCAAAAAAAACAAAAAAAAGTCCACTTGAGCAACATGCAAACTACCCGCGACAACCAACACACAGATTGTCAGTCAGAGTGGGTACATCCCACCCACACCCTACATCCACCCCACGTTATTCACATGTTCCATACGCAGTGTTAAAGTAGAGCCATGTGCCCTCTGCATCACGGACTGTCTCCATCAGACTGTGGTGTGGTGAGGTGGAATTGTTCATGTTACTTCCTTACAACTTCACAAGCACCTGACACAGATCACACCTTACAGTACATAATCACAAGTCACTACAACATCCACCTCTACTTGAACATATAATCAGATGACAGGTCTGACACAGGACATATAGTCAGCAGAAATGAGGCATTAGTTAAACAAATTTTAGAAAGTGGTACCTTATTAGTGAATTCTTCTACGAAATCAAAAGTGCAAATTTACAGGGTGAACAGATGTGTTTTACAACCTGCATGTATGGCATGCTACACTGCATGTTTTCATGCTTCTACAAGTGTACTACATGAAAACATCTTGCACTCTTAGCCACAATAACAATTTGACCCTTACGTTGAAAATTTATTGATAAATGATTATTTTCTACACATTCCAATTCATCCTGTCTTTATCCAGAAGTTCAGGACAGGAAAGTGACACATGACTATTTGTATCACTGTGTGCTACAAACACTCCACAAGGAAAAGTCAGAATTAATACAGAGCATGAATTTAAATAATATCTTCATCATCTCAAAAAAAATCCAAACCCAAGACACAGTAAATACATATCACTTCCACACCTTTATCAAATATTTCATACATTTCTATCCAATAACAGAAAGTGTAATCATGGTATTTCCACTACCTTTGCAGTATCTGCTATATACTCACGCTGCCATCTCGATGGGACTTCTTCTCGTCATCCTTGGGTCTGCGCCTCTCTTTCCGATCTGCAATACAAAACTCCATTAAAGACCACATCAATCTCCTGATAACTTTCATGACAATTATGAGTGAGTTTAACACCACTTTTAACAGTATTCCAGTTATATCATGGCATGTCAGCTTGATGTGGTAGGAAAGCCCAAAGGGATGCAGGTTTCAGACGTCTACCACTTCTGCGAAAACCCACAAGCATGGATACGGTGCTTACAAAACTAGAAACATAGTCTGGCAAACCAGGATTTGACCCCATGATCATAGGTTTCTGGCATGCAGAAGGGACGCGACCCTGCACAGTGAATGGCGGCGCCTCAGACGACCGAGCTATCCATGCCCCTCCACAAAACAACAGGAGAGTTTCCACTCCAGCATGTTCAGTGTGGGTTCTACAGCATGTATGGTATTGCTGTACCTGGCTGTACAACATGTACAAGGTTATACAACATAAATTTGGTGTTCCAGATTCCAAGAAATTATGTTGTAAAGGTTGATTTTTGGTTTTACTAATATAAAATGAATGTAATAATAATGATAATCTGAAAAATCACAATGCAGATTGGAAAATATATGATGCGTATAAGCTAGTTGCATTACTTTCCTAAACATACTATCTATTTTTATGTTTCATTTTCTCACTTAAACTTATCTGTAGAATAAGACAACTAGTGTTCTGTGCTAATGACATGATACAAGTAAATCTGTCATGAAACAGCATTTTCACCTTCGTCATCTCGGTGACGTCTCTCATCCCCGTCCCGACGATGCCGCTTCTTTTCAAGGTCATCTCGAGAGCCCTACAAACAGTAATCTTCGGAAATGAAATCTTGTTACTATGGTTGTTAGGAGCTTAATACAGGATCATAATGATAAGGAACAATCCTGAAATGTTTGAGGTATCAAGTTCTGAACAGTTATTCCTATCTGGCAGCCAATTGTACCTGTATGAGAAAAGGACAAGAAGTATGGTGCAAGGTGATTGAGGTAATTCAAATTTACTATTTATTAAGTGTTGATTGATCTGAAGAGACATTTGTAAAGTGCTGTATGAAAACGCCGGCTGTATAAACAATATTTGGGTAGAAGCCCACATGCCCATTGAAAAGGAAAGAAAACAAGTTCCTGGTTCTAAGTCCATCTTTATTATGGTGGATAGAGCAGTCTGCAACTTTAACAATAAGTCCAAAGTCAAGTAACGTTCCTTTAACTCTGGTTAACCTAGCTATTTCAAGCCTATACACATGGCACACAAAAACAGTGTATGGACTGAAAATGGGCACCAGAATGTGGAGCATAATTACTTAGATGAGAAAACTGGGCTTTTACCCAGTCAAACAGTGTAAAGTGATGTCAGTGAAAACATGATTAGATGTGTGTCTACCTCAACAATGTTCAGTACCTTGGCTCTCTACAAATAAGCATGGTGAATCTTGTGTGGTGTGAACACCTATCTTGGCCAATGTTGAGAGGACCAGTTGTAAGTAATGTAACCTCGTCATAAGTCAAACATGAGATCAGCTTTTGTTTATCATTTTTATACAGAAAAATGAAACAATGACAAAACATCTGATGAACTCAGTTCATCTTTCTTATAATTACTGTATATTACCAGGTAAAAACCAACTCCGCATATCAGCCCACCCCCTGAATCACCTGACCTGCCTCATGTGGATATGCCTTATTTGGCATTTCCTGCTATTCATTTGACAAAAGCAAGAGGTATCATGACAAGCGGGGGAAGTAAGTTCGCTAGAAAAGTAAACACTACTATTTCAAACAAACCTAATCCTGACAGTCGTATTTACTTTCTGTCCTTATCAAACATAACTGTGGAAGTTGCTTCACAGATGGTATTCTGCTTGAGGACAAACTTGAAAATGTTCAGTTTTTTCCAATTGTTACTCATCTCAAGTCAAAGATATATTACAGCTGGCAAAAGATATGAAGCAAAATATTCTTGACTTTGTATTAACATGAAAGAAACTCAGCTGCTACCTTCAAAGCTCTATTAAGCTCATCTGTTGTCCAAGTGTCGTCCTTACGACGATTCTGAAAAGATTAATTAAACATTTGCTGAGGAAATTGCAAGCTAAAGCAATAATCTGTTTAGCACATTTAGCAAGCTGACAAAACATGTGTCTGTAAAACGTGAGTAGTAAGACAGTGCAAGTAACAAGTGAGTACACTTTCCAGTATTATCGTGGTTACATCTAGTCGGTTATGTGTCCCCTGAAAATGATGTGCTGAACCTCTGCTTCCTAAACAATGGGCCACTCTAAGAAGCAAGTGATGGCACGACCTTTTCTCTGGAAGATCAGTGACTTATCTGGGGGTTCTCACTATCTCAGAGGTCAACCTTTGACCACACATTATGCAACAAATAAAGATAGGAATTCCCCAATTGAAATTAAGATATTCCGATTCAGGGGGTCATAAATTTAACTTCATATTAAGTGGACAACAAGAATATATACTTGTGACAATTTCCTAACATCCTATTAACTGTATGTAACTACACGATAACACTGGAGGAGTGATGTCACAACAAGCTTGACAAGTAACGAAGGGAACTCCGGATCAAAACAAGGTGAAACTGAAACTAATACTTTAGTTGATAGTTAATACAGTAACTGACATGGCATTATTTTTTCTTTGTGGTTTATTGAATCAACATATCTGAGCCAAACTCGACAAACCAGGAAACAGTACTAATCATGTTTCTATTTGTTGATGTGCTGTTCTGGATGGATTTGAGAAAATGAAAAAGATTCAAAATGCAACCAAATAACAACTGTGAAAATTAGTTAACAGTAATTGATCATTTTGTTACAATCGATTCATCTTACACATGTTATAAGAAGATCATACTTTGTACTTTGTAAATGACTAAACAAACGTCCCATTTCTAACCACCGAGGGTGAATAAAAATACAGCTCGGTTTGACCACAGTGTTCCACTGTGACTATAACAAGGGGTCAGTTAGAAAAAACATCTAATTGTTTTGACTGACACCCTTTCATAAAGTGATTGTGGTAGACAGGACTCAAAACAGTTTATGCTTCGATGACAATCTGACATATAAGTGTATAAATCCATCAGCAAACAATGTTGGCCGAAAGCATTTCTATCCTCACCAGCTTGGGTATATGTCAAAGAGTATCTGTTCCTGTGGTGAAATCGTTCTGTTGTACTATATTTCTCTAGGGGACTTATTCCTATGGAACAGTTGTTAGTAGAAATATCTTTTAAAGATACATTTACACAGCGATATTTGTCCTGGATGGAACGAATTCCATATGGAACTGATCATAATTGACATACATCTACAGTGTGACTTTTCAATGCCAGACTGGAATTGCTCCTGACCACCTCATGGAGCTTATCAACACACACATTGCACCCACAAGTCTTCCATCGGAGCACCATCACCTGCTGACAGTGCCTAAAGCATGTAAAGACAAATACTCAAGTCCTGTGATCACAGAACAGTCACCTATGCAGCAACTACTCTTTGACATTCTTTCCCAGGATCAGAGAAAACCTCAAAAGCCTTGATAGCCCAGGTAAAGATAAAATGCCCTTGTAACGTCAAAACAATGGATAATTTGGTACTAGCCCACTGGATATTGTACTAGCCCTCGGTTAGCAGCCTAGCATAAGTTCTAACTCTGTCTCCCTGCCTAAGAAATTTCCATTATTATTGTTACTGAAAAGAAGTTAAAGAACACCATATTCTTTCAAATTACTATTATCAATCTCTCATGGCAATAAGAAAGATCTGCGTGTTCTTTTACTTGTTTCGAGTTACATATGTATTATTGTCTGATAGGACACTGAGATCTATCGGATGTCTGTCCTGGGTACAAGAGAACGACCGGATCAACACAAATAAGTATGATTAGAAACAAAATCATATGGAATTATTTTACACATTTTGTAGGATCGAATCGAGTCGTATATATACTTTAAAACTTTATATTTCTGGGGAAACTTATAGAGCCTCCAAATAGAGACGATACCGGTTCACAAATCCAGTGCTGCCATGTCAACAAGCAATCGGTTTTCGTTACAAAAGGTATCCAATTGTATTCCAGGCCACTACTAACAGTTCCAAATCATCGTTTCCAAAACGTGAAATCAGCTCACTCTTTCTGATGGCATGTTAGTTATCCGCCGTTATCCCTTATCGAACATCTGAACTTGACAGCCAAGGTTTACTTTCTGATCACCAACGCCGCCATTTTCAAGCGCTCAGGTATGTCCGTAGTTCGGTCTTTATCGTTTTACGACAAACAAATATCTGTATACGATAGAATATTATTGTGGTTAGATTTTTTCGTCTCGGACAACATAAAACGATACTATTTTCATGATTTTGTCCTAGTTTATAGCGTATTATATTTTATAACTTTATTTTACGACAATCAAGAGTTATCCCCCGCCCCCTTCAGGTCTACGACAACGTCGATTGTTTGGAGTTTATTGTTACGGGTTCGAATCAGCCTTACAAAAATATTACGTTTCCGCATTTTCTGGTACTGTTGCATGTGTTTTCTTCATGTCTATGTTTTCCATGGGGTTTCATCTAGTACATTTTTGAGAGATCTGTTGTAACAAAACGTTCAACTTTATGGATAACACCTGAGTTTGTTGCGTTTCGATGTAAGTTATAAATAGCACACAGGTAATGAAGCCAGATGTACAGTAAGGATAACAAATAGCACACGGGTAATGAAGCCAGATATACAGTAAGGATAACAAATAGCACACTGGTAATGAAGCCAGATGTACAGTAAGGATAACAAATAGCACACGGGTAATGAAGCCAGATGTACAGTAAGGATAACAAATAGCACACGGGTAATGAAGCCAGATGTACAGTAAGGATAACAAATAGCACACAGGTAATGAAGCCAGATGTACAGTAAGGATAACAAATAGCACACGGGTAATGAAGCCAGATGTACTGGTACAGTAAGGATAACAAATAGCACACAGGTAATGAAGCCAGATGTACAGTAAGGATAACAAATAGCACACAGGTAATGAAGCCAGATGTACAGTAAGGATAACAAATAGCACACGGGTAATGAAGCCAGATGTATACAGTAAGGATAACAAATAGCACACGGGTAATGAAGCCAGATGTACAGTAAGGATAACAAATAGCACACAGGTAATGAAGCCAGATGTACAGTAAGGATAACAAATAGCACACGGATAATGAAGCCAGATGTACAGTAAGGATAACAAATAGCACACGGATAATGAAGCCAGATGTACCGGTACAGTAAGGATAACAAATAGCACACGGATAAGGAAGCCAGTACTTGCCATTTGGCTGTAAAATTTTCTGTTACCCAAAAAATCCATACACTTCGAGCTTGTTTTTTATTCCAATATGCAAGATGCTAGTTGCAACTGGCCAATATTTTGCCGGATCTAAAGACAACTTGTATTTAAAATGTCGGTATTTGTTTGCCGCTTGTTAATATTCACCAAATGGCCGCTCAACCGTAGCCCATGTTATGAGATAACAACCTCAAGTCTAGACTGGGTGAGGCCGTTCCAATATTAATTTTTGAAATAATCTTAAAAGTCATACGTATATTTCATTCCTCGTCACTGCTGTGTCCGGATGTATGAACATATCTATTTCATTATTTTCTTTCGAACGATTGGGTATTTTTCGCCTTGTTTGCTTGTTTAAGGCAACGTGGGACATAATATGCATGGAACCCGTGAAGATCCGGGGTAGATTAGGTCTTCAGCAACCCACGCCTGTCGTAAAAGGCGACTATGCTCGTCGTATAAGAAGCGACTAACGGGATCGGGTTGTCAGGCTCGCCGACTTGGTTGGTGCATGTCATCTTATCCCAATTGCGTGGATCGATATTCATGATGTCAATCGCTAGATTGTCTGGTCCAGGCTTGATTATTTACAGACCGCCGTCATATAGCTGGAATATTGCTGAGTGCGGCGTTAAACAACAAACAAACAATAATCTACATGGATACTTCTCCAATGTATTTATAGGAGACTTGGGTATTGATAAGAGCAAGGCACTGTTACTCATTTCCAAGAAAGTCACATGGTCCTCTTCAGGTAAAAACTACAGCGGTCAGAGTACGTACGGCAGTTTGCATGGTAACTCAACAGCGTAGCAGCGCACGAATGGGGGGAATCGAACTCGGACCTCAACCGAGAAGTGCTAACACTTCAACTATTAGGCTATCCGATACTATTGTACTATTAGGCTATACCCATCCCCACAGTACCAGGGGACTCTGGATATACATAATCACGTTTATACAGGGCGGTGGGGTAGCCTGGTGGTTAAAGCGTTCGCTCGTCACGCCGAAGGCCCGGTTCGATATTCACCATATGAGGACGATGTGAGAAACCCATTGCTGATGCCCCCTTCCGCAATATTGCTGGAATATTGCTGAAAACGGCGTGAAACCACAGTCACTCATTCACGTTTCTATGACGCTGGTGTTTATACCGATCTGTTTCCCAATACCCACCATGCAAAAAAACAAACAAATGCACAAATGTGAATAGTTTATTCAGAGATCATGGGAATGTACTGCAATATGCAACACTTGCATCCCTATACAGAGAGCCTCGAGTTCCTAGTGTATCATAGCTTGACGCTGCTTCCGAAAAGAAGCCAAATAAATAAAAATACAATGGAGATATAATACACTGGATTAGCACGGACGATACACATTCTGATTTACATGTATTATGCCGAAAGGTTTACACTATTTGGTATCTTTGTCGCACCTGTCATGTCAAAACTTAAAACTCAAAACTTAACACAACCTGAGACGTTAAGGGTCAAAGGGAGACTACTCTTCAAACCTCTGAGGACAAACCTTGTTGATAAATTTAACTTTACATAATCTTTATTAAAGTCACGAACGTGATCCAAAAACACATTAACGTCCTTGCCCATCAAAATAATTATATTAAAACATAAAACAGTATCGAATAACGAATTTCTGTACCAGGAATATGTGAGGTGGGTGTTTGAAAATCCAAAATGGCTGTTACTGACGGTATACGGTGTCATATTTGGTCAGTAACAACCATCTTGGATTTTTACTGACGGTAGACGGGTTCATATTGGGTTAGTAGCTCTGCTCTTTGATTGGTCAAACTCACTTTGAGGCATAATAAATTCGTTATGGTGTCTTAAGTTACCGTATACGGTGTCATTGTGCGCCCAGTATTTTTCTGCTAACCTAATATGACACCGTATACCACATTCCGTCGCAGTGGTGACTCAGCATAACACCACTGCCACAGGCTAATTTGCATATCACGTGACCAGACTTTTCTCTTGTTTGTAAACAAACGCGCTTTTTCAGAAATCAGTATAGAAGGGACTAATGCAAGTATTTGGTATATGCTTTACATATTGTTTTGCATAATTATATAGATATGCTACCACAACTGCGACAGTGAGTTGCATGACAATATATATTTATACATCAAAGTGACCGTATCACTAGCTCTCCGTAGGGCTTCGATGATAGCACGTGGAGCCGTACCACCAATGTAAATAAAGGATAAATACGCAAAAACAAGTAGATTTTCACGTTTTAAAAATAGGATACTTTCTAAATGAACCGTAACCATTCTTTGACATTTGTTTTTGAAAATGTGTAGACTTGTCAAACATGAAACGGATGAAAGCATATGCAATATCTTGAATGGACTGTGAAAGATGTGACGAATTGTCACATGGCGCTGGCTGCAAGGAACTCTGGGTAGGAGAGTGACCGTATACGGCAACTAAAGACACCATGACCAATAATATACATTATCTTCCCCCACTCACTGCATGTTTTCATCATAGATGAACCACATCCACGACGGTCACTTAATCATTCATAATGATGTCATCCACACGCACCTTCCAATAACAGCGTGGGTCACACGAACAGTTTCATTTTCGTTTTCATCAGCAGGATGCTCGCATCACTTCACAAGAAACCAGGACATGATACAGGTTTCATTCTATAGCTGTTTGATGATGATACATTGTGGACGTGACAATAACACTTGTACACACGCCTGAGTATTCGGAACCCCGTTCATCTGCAAAGGGCCCTTCTTCATATTCACAAGTCCTGTTGAGAACTGCTGAGTACAGTAAAACCTCGTTATTGTGGAACCTCTCCTTCCGACTGATCTCTGGGGGACGCAATATATAAAACAGTCATTTCTCCGAACGAGGATGTGTTAATCCGCGTATCCGGACATTTGATTATGCGGACGATTTCACAAACGGTAAAGCGTCGGTCATCATATTAACAAATCACTATTGAGTACTGTAAAACCTTGTTAGTATGAAACCTCTCCTTTCGACGAGGACGCGTTAATCCGGATATTTGATTATCCGGATGTTTTCACAAACGGTACCATCCGGATTAGCGAGGTTTCATTGTACTATTCTACGTATAATGGAGACTTTCTGAACAACATTCGTCCGGTAAGTGGAACTGGCTGACCAGCGAGGTTTCACATGTACACTTCAGCATTCAAATCACGCCTCACGTCAACCCCACCACGGGCCATGGTGATGAAAGTAGCGGCGCTGATGAACGTCTTCGTCGTACCACTGGCGTGGGCGTCCCCATCCCCATGCCCCATGGCAACGACCCCGGCGTCGACTGTAGTAGTGAGGATAACAACGTTGATGACATCGTCCGCCCAGAAATGACCATGACGAATGTTGGAAGTGTCTACAGTTGTGACGTCGATGGTAATGGAAGTCAATGCCGTCCCAGACGTCGCCGATCCAGTGCGTTGCGCGGTAGACAGAAGCTCCGAACACAGGGAGGTGGCTCCACACCCATTCCCACCACCCCTCCTCCAACCCCTCGTCCCCACTGCCCTCACTACACCGAGTGTCAAAGTCTCCAAGTTTATCGTCTTCTCTCGCGTGATCACTTTCACTGTCAGTGTCTGCGTCATTTGGAAACAACATAAAGTTCACCACAATAGACGGAGCGTAGGGCCGGTGCCGCCATGATCCCAGCACAGGATCGAACCCGAGACAGGGTCCCCGTATAGGCGAAAACTTGCTACCACATTTCCCTGACTTCATTGCGATGGCTTTACGTAACGATCAGTAGCAATTTTTCCTATATCAAAATCTTACCAGTAACGCAATCTATTACCTTGTCTAGTTGTAACCAGTGTACATACAACTGCGTTATGAGTATCAGTGTTTGTATATATATCTGTGATGTGTCGTTTGAAATCATGGCTAACTGTTTCATCAGTTTCCTGCTATTATTTCGTCTTCGCGCGACGTTTCGTCAGCTGGTTTATGCAAATCAAGGTTGCGGGACCATGTCATGAGCTACGCGCCACATTATCATAAACGTCAATAAGATAACATTCTGTTGTGGTTTTACTCGCCAACCGCCGACTGATCTAATTGTGTATACTTATTTGTTTGGAATAGTCGGTGGTGATCCTGTATACTTAATGATTATTTATTTCATCAGACGTCTTGTGAGACGGCCTTCCTATACAGGTGCGAGAGCCCGGAACGCCTGTCACGTGACACCAGAACAAACACCCATATGTTGAAACCGCCTCCATGCTGTGTCGACCAGTCTGAGTAAGACGCACATTACTTTATCGGTGTGATAAGACACCCGGCGGGGACAGGGCGGGGCATGGTCTACTAAGTACCAATGAAGGTTATCGGTGTGTAAGACATTCAGATTCAAATTGTGTACAAAGATAACGGTGCAGTTTGAAGAGTTGTTCGGATCATTTTTGACCTGACAATGCGTGAAACAGGACTGACAACATATACTGAACAAACAAAGTTTGGGGTCAGTACTTTAGGGCTTTGGGGGGGGGGGGGGGGGGGGTTATGACATTATGTCCTCAGTCTTCACGGCATATCCTAAATAAATATTCATTATAGGAGGAGGAGGATGACCCCTAACGTATTTTGTTCAGTATTTATATTTAAACACTGCACGAGAAGAATTCTTCACCTGAATTTAGTTCAATATCCATATATTTTACCTGTTTGCATGACGGGACAGACAGGAGGCACTGCTGATACCACTAGTGTGGTGAATATACGTGTTACTTAAATATTTCTTTCTTGTATTCATATAAATACAAAATACAGTTTACGAATTCAAAGTCTTGTACGATATGTGCATTGTGCAGGTTAACAAAGTAACCATGTCGCAACACTTGCACACCAGTGAACAGCTGGCTGTGAACGAAATTCCTGAAGTGTCGTTCTTACGTAAAAGCTAAATATAGCTCAGGCGAACCTGACGAAAAAACTGTCATCAAGGGAGGCAACTCTTGAAGGTTTAATAACTACGTAGTGTTTGGTGGTAACACGCAAGCCTTCTTTCTTACCAAATACTGCAAATATTTTATGTTAAATTGAGGTCATTACTTCCACCTGTCCACGAAGTATGTTGGGTACATCGATAGTCCGCTGACATATTTCATTGACAGCTGCAACTTCTAGAGGCCTCAATAGGGCCTGTTATACATGTTCCTGATACGGTTGTAATATACTGAACAGGGATCATGGATATTTGGGGTCCTTTTTGTTATGAAATTGTGTGCCCAGTCTTCCCTACCCAAAACGTGTTCCGAAATACAAGTCTTTGAAAGGCATTAAGAAGTGATTTGAGTGAGAAGGAAGAAAAGTTTCATCAGGTGATCAGGATACGAAGGAGTAAGTGTTTACTCCGAAACGCTGTGTTCCTCATAATATTGAAGTCGACATCCATGAATGCTCTTCCTCCCGAATAACGTTTCTCCTCTCTTCTTGGTTGGATTTTACAGCTTTGAAACAGGATCTAAAACCCCACAAGGAACACCAACTTGAGAAGGATCAATAATACGACCTGTTTGGCGTTTTCCTGTTTTGGTCAATAATAAGGTGCGCCATGAAATATTTCCAAACCAGTCATTTCCCCAGCACCTTTAGAAATATGTTCCTTGCTGAGGCGAACTGGCCATGGCCAAAGAAGAGTCTTGTCATCATCGATCACAGGGGAAGTGTATTCTCAACTCAACACAGCGTGGTTTGGTTGGCAGGTTGTCAGACATGCTCAGTTAATAGATATACTTTGAAACGTGGCCTCGGAGTGCTCAGTCAAAATATTGTTGTGGATGGTGTTACTATAGATGCTATGTTATTTTCCAGATTTATTAAACTTCTTCAGGCATGTAGGCTTGGTTGGAGTTTCCATCACCGCTAAAATCAATGTGAATGAGGTGGTGTGAGGTGAAATGGGGTCTGACGTCGCGTTCATGTTTATTGCACATGCGACGAGTGTTCCAGGCCAATGCGGATGTTGTGCTTATCCACTGAAATACATGCCGCAGTTTAACATGGATACCCCACTCATGCATAACCCTTTTATCCTCCTAATGTCGGGCGCCAGGCAGGGTAACAATAAGTACCATGTTATGGTCAGACGCGGCCGGGAAACGAACCTTCCTCATGGAGGGAATGTGTTCAATCAGCAATATTACAGCTGTCATGGCATGGAGGTTCAATCAGCAATATTACATCTGTCATGGCAGGGAGGGAATGGTTCAATCAGCAATATTACATCTATGTCATGGCAGGGAGGGAATGGTTCAATTAGCAATATTACAGCTGTCATGGCAGGGAGGGAATGGTTCAGTCAGCAATATTACAGCTGTCATCGCAGGGAGGGAATGGTTCAATTAGCAATATTACAGCTGTCGTGGCAAGGAGGGAATGGTTCAGTCAGCAATATTACAGCTGTCATGGCAGGGAGGGAATGGTTCAATTAGCAATATTACAGCTGTCGTGGCAGGGGGGAACGGTTCAAATCAGCAATATTACAGCTGTCATGGCAAGGAGGGAATGGTTCAGTCAGCAATATTACAGCTGTCGTGGCAGGGAGGGGATGTGTTCAATCAGCAATATTACAGCTGTCATGGCAAGGAGGGAATGGTTCAGTCAGCAATATTACAGCTGCCGTGGCAGGGAGGGGATGTGTTCAATCAGCAATATTACAGCTGTCATGGCAAGGAGGGAATGGTTCAGTCAGCAATATTACCGCTGTCGTGGCAGGGAGGGTGTGTGTTCAATCAGCAATATTACAGCTGTCATGGCAAGGAGGGAATGGTTCAGTCAGCAATATTACAGCTGCCGTGGCAGGGAGGGGTTGCGATCAATGAGCAATATTACAGCTATCATGGCAAGGAGGGGATGTGTTCAATCAGTAATGTTAGTTAAATCACGAAAGGGAGGGTATGGTGTTCAGTCACCATCATGAACATTGTTGCAGAGTGTCACAGTGTGAAAGCTGGCGGTCCAACAGTCTCACCCAACCAAGTTCTATCTATTATCTAGTTTCTGTGAAGATTTCTGGATCAGGAGAGCTCACCAGCAAACACTGCTTTATCTAAGAGGGATATGAGGATTGGGCATTCACAAAGTGTGAACCGGTCGTTCTTCTCCAATGGATCCTCAATGACATGCTGATAGCATCATTCTTCTCCGATGGTATGCTTCAATGACATGCTGATAGCATCATTCTTCTCTGATGGTATGCTTCAATGACATGCTGATAGCATCATTCTTCTCCAATGGATCTTCAATGACATGCTGACAGTGTCATTCTTCTCCGATGGTATGCCTCAGCCAGAATATATTACCTAAAAACCATGGTATGCCTGAATATTACAGCATAATGCAACATCCGCCCTCCAATAAACATGTGGCAATCCAATCCTAACATCAGTCAAAGGCACACATCTGATGGCCCAGTGAGTTCCAGTATTGACAGATGCTAGAGTGGAGATATCGCACAGATCTGATAGACTACATCCACCCATATTGTCAATAGACTTACAGAAAAAAACCACAACAAATTACTTCTTATAAAAAAAGTTAATTTAATCTTTCTTTTTCATCCACAATTGCACTATGGTTGATCTACATATAAGAGCTCTCTCATAGGAGTGCTCAAAGCACTTTTTGATCCTGACAAAGACAGATAGCAAGTATCTAGAATACATACATCAACAACATGTCCACGTAGTTGCTGCTGCAGGCTGTTGATCGCTACGTTGTACAGGCCGTTGCAGCAGCTCTCAGATATTATTAAATGCAGGTGCGCACATACACAGGTGCATTTTCCTCCAAATGTAAATGCATTAATGAACTGAATATCAATGTGTGATGTATGTATCAACACTAGGTGATAGAAACTTGCCAACTAGGGTAGTAGCAACACAAATGTACGAAAAACATCTTTAACAAGTTTTTGTCTTAAAAAAGAAAATTAACACAAACTTGCAACAACTATATCCAGCACACACTTTCTCACAGGTAACCAAGGTAACAGTGTCCAGGAAGTGAAGTGATGGTGATCTGCTGTGGCCGAGAATGTTAAGGCATTATAAGGAGGCAGCACAAATTCAACTTCAACTTTATCTGGTAAGGTAGATTTTGGAAATTTTTAACTTAACAGGGTAAGTGAAATTACTGTCATATTTTCTATGGCAAAGCAAAAGGCATATTCATTTTTTTCCAAATGAAATATAGGGAAGAAAGTACAAAATATATTAGGCAAGTGCTTATCCTCAAATGCAAGAAACATTTCGTGCTTATTATTGTGTACAGAATGTAACATGTAAAAATTTTAAATGCAACAATATTTACCAAAACATACACAAAATATTGTGCTGAATGAGAACATCTATCGTCCAATGAACACCAAGCAATCTAGGAATCTTGTCCACTCCAATGTGGACACTGACATGGATTTTACCTCCCACTCGTACAATGAAACTTCTCAAATACAGCACTTTTGCAACCAATATGTACATTATGTACATCAGAAAGACACAGCTTGTTAGCTTATCTTGTATATTGTACAGAAGACTGTTCATTGTTTCAGGACTACGGTTATCACACGTGTGATACCAAACACTTTGAAATCAAAAGCTATGGATCAGCTGTTCCAATATTATATGCAGGATTAAAAAAAAGGTAAATGAAAAAAACATCATAGCATCTGTTGTCAACATGAATCAAGGCAATGGGTTGTTAACAGTCAAAATGTTTGAGATCATTATCAATGATGTACTTGGACAAGCTAAACAAAAGGTGACCCCAAGCCTTGAAGGAGCTCCCACAACACCAACTGCAGCGTTAGAAATTGGCACTAGTCCTATAGTCCATGTCAAACTGCCCAATAATTAAGGTATCCTGAGGACCAGTAGCAATTTGCCCTTTTTAAGGGTTTTGCTATATGTTATTATAAGGAGTAATGGGCTTAAACTATAGTCTATTAGTTTCTACCGCTGCTAATTTCACACTGATTGTGATAAAACAGAGTTTATGTTTTCTGAAGAGGAAAAAAAATAACGCTCAAAATAAACATGCATTTCATATTTTCTGGAGAGAAAAAAAATACTGCCCAAAATATATATCCCAAGGAACATTGAATTTTTTAAAAGAAGGACAGCACACAAGTAAAAAAAATCCCAACACACCATCCTAACAACTATTATTATTACAAGTTAGGTCCACTTTGTATTATTATGGAAAACCAAGTCAAAATTTCACTTGGCAGCAACTACTTGTCACAGGAGGGAAGACCTCTACCTCTGAACTGTAGACTATTCTGACATATTCAGCATTAATACTCATGTTATTCCCATTGGGCGAGCTCCTTCAAGTTGCCTTCAAGTTGAAGGCATCCTACACGTAACCACCATGTGAACATGTACCATCACACTGACACCAAATGGGGAGTAGTCACTTATCGGGGAACACCACTGATGTAGTCAAATGAACAGATACGTCCTCCACAAATCCATGCACCAAAAGTATCAACAGAGTCCTTCCTGACAACATTGCACCCAGAATATATCACAAGTGCAGCAAAATGCCAAAACAAGATTTTCAAAATCATTCTTGTTTGCTTTGCGATATTTCTTCTGAGCAGCATTGGCATGACGAAGTAGCAGTGCACATAGTTTTGGCCAAGATTAATTCAACGTGGGGTACCGGTCTCTCGGAAGATACTCAATCCTGGGTTCTCTTCCTCTCTCGTTCAATAGAACCTTCATCATCACATGGATGGACTCTACGAACTCTGTACACATCTCATTTGTAGCATGTAATGCATTTTAGCATTAAGAATATGCTTCAACTGATGGCTTGATCTTCTGGATGCTCCGACTGTTGATGATACGCATATTTGACGTCGTCATCATCGTCACATCCATGTGTTCAGTACCAGCGCCCTCTGTGGGCAGATGCCAAGACACCCTTATTGGTCGGGGCTTGCACTGCATATAGACACGTCCATGTGCTCCTGGGTCCAGTCCTCACCTCTTGCCCGTGGACAGCTTGAGCACAACGGACATCTTGGTCCTGGGTGTTCTGTCGTTATTGAGGACCGTCCATTCCGGATCATTGGGGTCATCACCTGCGACTGAATTGGACGCTGAGCTGGGTAGTGGAGAACACGGATGGCTGCTCGATGGAGTGCTATCACTTCGGCAAGGGGTGCTTGGGGGCTCCAAGGTCACCCGGGGTCGAACCTTCTCACTAGTCGGCTGTACTTTCTTCACACCTTCAAATTCCTCTTCTGACAAAGGGAATGTTCGTAATGGCCATGGGTCGACAATTTCCCCTAATTCCATAAATCCATCCTGACTGGAATCATCCATGACGGAACTGAAGCTCAGTCTTTCCCTCCGAGACACAGACCCACTGCGACGTCTGCTTCCTTCATCGAAACCCGCGGCCGACGCCAGGAGATAGGAAGTAGCAGGGAACGTGGGTGTGCTGGGAGTCATTGGTTGCGGCGGAGGGGGTTGTATCGGCTGAATCAGGGATTCCGGAAGTGGCAGTTCTATAGGGGCCAGGGTCTCAGTTGGCGTGGAGTTAGGATCTGGTGAAGGGGGCTCAGTTAATGGGGTGCTCGTCTCTGTCCGCGTCCGATTTCTCCGTGATGGATACTGGATAAAGGATGTGAACCTCTTCTTTTCTTCTACCTCACACTTGAGGTGACGCTCAACATATATATCGTCACACAGATCTTCAATCTGGAAGGAGAAAACAATATTGATCAGTATCATTGTTATTTTTATTTTTGGTTTGTTCTTTAAAGTCACACTCAGCAATATTCCATCTTCATGACAGCAGTCTGTAAGTAATCGAGTCTGGTCAAGACAATCCAGTGATTGACACCATGAACATCAATCTAGGCAATTGGGAAACAATGACATGCATCAACTAAGTCAGCAAATCTGACCACCCATTCCTGTTAGTTGCCTCTTACGACAAGCAGTCGCCTTTCATGGCAAGCATGGATTGTAACCCGGATCTTCTCGGGTAAGTAAGCGAGTATGGTTTTATGCCATAATGAGCAAAATTCCAGCAAGATTTTGTCTGGGAACACCACAAACGGGCTTCAAACATTGTGTGCAGGATCAGTTAGTGAGTGTGTATAGTTTTACGCCACTTTTAGCAATATTCCAGCAATATCACAGCAGAGGACACCAGAAATGGGCTTCACACATTGTACCCATGTCGGGAATCGAACCTTGGTCTTTGGCGTGACGAGTGAACGCCTTAACCACTGGGCTACCCGACTGCCCCATGCAGGATCAGACCCAAGTTTTGGCGACCTGCATAAATAATCAAGTGTGCACCAAACAATACAGCAATCGCTGTTGTGAGCAACAAAACCACATAGATGGGGTACGATGACAAGCAATAAACTTAACAGCCGAGCTTAATCACACAATACAATTGGTAGCCTTTTTCGACCAGCGTAAGTTGCTGGGGACCTAGTCTAACCTGATGTCCCCACGGGAAGTTGAAGTGAGTAAACATAATAGTGTTTCATCAATTTCACAGCGTATTAAAGTCATTGCACACCTCATCAAAAGTAAAAATGTATTTCAGTTAAGTAGCATACCTCTTCATTCTCCTCGTCTATTTCTACCGGTTTTATTCCGATCAAGCCGTTGGTCTTCTCCAAGGCCCCCTCAACCTCCATGGGTTCCTGGAACTCGGCCTTCATGCCTATCACAGTCTCAGTTGTGTTCTCCTTGTCCAAGGTAATGTCTCGCCATCTGACAGACAAATACAATGCTTTTACAATCAAATCTACTTTACATTTTCATATGACTAAATTGGGTCAGTTGGTAAGCTGTACTAGATTTACCAGGGCATGTCAGCTTTATGTGCCGTAATTGTCAGTGACAGTGATTGAAAGTGTCATGTGCTGGCATTGCTAGCTTTTAACAGTGGTCGGCGGCAGTTAGTAATCTAGAGTTTTGTAAACATGACAGGCTTGATTGTTTGAGAAGTTTTGGGATGGGACAGTTTCTAAAGGCTGGCTATACCTATGCAAGAGTGACAAAAGGGTGATTCGTCTTGAATGGTTGGATTGGATACCTACTGAAAACACCGAATTCCCCAGCTACGAACATTATTCTGTATTCATGAGTGCACTTACACTAATTATTGGATTTGTTACTCATTATTGCCAATTATTGCCCATTTTGATTGAAAATCAAAAACTGTGTGTTTGCAAATAATTTGTTGAAGATTCCTTGATCTTGTGGGATCATTTACTGATTTCACAATTCAATTCTGTACAAATTTCTGGGTTAACCATTGCATTTCAATTTGGAAATCCCCTCATAACTTAAAGGACAGCATGCACCTAAAGGCAGATCAGCCAGTCATTTAATACACTGAAGCTGCAAATATACAAGATGCTGCAAAAGACCACTTGGACAGTTCTTTCAGAGAGCCATTTGAAATTTTAAGGAGCCAGAGACAAAATGTAGGTAGCTACACTTTTCAACAATATAATTACAGCTGATTACAGTACTTCTGTCAAATTACTGCTTCTGTCATGATTGAAAAATAAAGACATTGCAGCAGACTTCCTTGAAAGCTTTCATTTAACTCCATTTGATTGACCATGATTAACCGAAGCCAAATCAGCAATTTTTGAAAAGTCTAAATCCTACTGTTTATACATATGAAAGTTATGTTTATCACATTATTTTAATAATGCATTTACAACTTAAGTTCGTTGTAAAGAAAATTAAAAACATGTAAGCTAACACATTCATAATGTCCAGATTAAGAAACAAGGAAGCAAAATTTTGATGATTTTCGGCAAATATAAGATTTTTAAAAATCCACTTACCCGTTTCTTTTTTATTTTCGTTTGTTGTTAAACGCCGCACTCAGCAATATTCCAGCTATATGACAGCGGTCTGTAAATAATCGAGTCTGGACCAGACAATCCAGTGATTGATATCATGAGCATCGATCCACACAATTAGGATACAATGACATATATTAACCAAGTCAGCGAGTCTGACCACCCTATGTCCTATGTACACACAGTACACACATGAGTGCTGCATTTAGAGCAGTTATTGACCTACTCACTTGGGTGTGACTATTTCCTTGTACTGTAGTTTCTCTACCCGTGTCGCTGCTGCTATGCTATAAGGAATGACTATATTGTTGATGTCATAGGCTTCGCCTCGACTCCTCCTGTTCTTCAGATCCTTGAAGGCTGATGATGGACAGCTGAGGGACAGACCATCCTTCGTCTGTGGCGAGGCAAGCGGGCCCTGGTTGGCCTCAATCACAGACATTTGCAGAGCGGACATCGAGCGACCGGATCGCCGCTTCATGGCTGGAGGGATAGAACAGTGTGAAGATAATCTCCATCAGAACAGCCATCAGTTGTTTTAAAACAAGTTTGTTTGTTCGTTGTTGAACGCCGCACTCAGCAATTATCTAGCTATATGACGGCAGTCAATAATCAACTCTTAGTCGCCTTTTACGACACGCATAGTCGCCTGTTATGGCAAGCATGGGTCGTTCAAAACAAGTGTTCCAGATCATCTCTCCCCTCAAAATATGAAAAAAAATTAAAATGTTCAGAAGGCCCAAACAAAAATGTTTCACTGCGAAAAAAATATATTGTCCTTCAGGTTTGTGACAATGCAGTGATTGACTGAATGCTGTCTTATGCAGTTAGTAATTGTTAAGTACATGATTATTAGCATCTTGTATACAATCATATCTATGGAAACTGTTGAAAGTGTAGAATGACAACAATGTTAACTGTTCGGAGGTGGACCCATCAACCTCCCACATATCCCTTGCACACGCCTACCTCCTGTAACTATAGTTATAACATTGAATCAGTTGTTGTTTGACTTCTTTTGAGCGGTATACAATGTTTTATTACCCCTGAAATTATGAAAACAAGACTAAAAGTGAGCAGGGCTCACAAATACCTGATTCCGACTCCAACATATTTCTAAGTTCAAAACATGAAAAAAGCAACATTTTCCCAGAAAATCCACTTACTGAAATCAAACTTTGCACTGTACCTCTCCTATATGCAGTGAATCCATGTAGTAGTTTTTAAGATATAGGTCGCACAAATGTTGAAGGAAAAATATATTCTAAGTTCAAAATATAACAAGAATCATGTTTTTTCCCCCAGAAAATACACATATTAAAATTAAACTTTGCACAGCACCTCTTCTATTAGTATGAAAACTGTTTCCTAAATTTTAAAAGAATCCATGAAGAAGTTTTCTAGTCATAGGTTGCATAAATGTCAGAGAAAAAAATTCTAATTAAAAAAACTGAAGAAAAGCTTCACTTTATTTTCAGAAAATCAAAATACTGAAAACAAACTTCAACTGCACCGCTACAATAGGTATAAAAGGTGTTCACCAAACGTGAAAAGAATCTATGTAGTGGTTTTCAAGTTATAGGTCGCTAAAAAAGAAATGTCCTTGGAAGGACAGACGGACAACCTTGATATAACTATATACCCCTGCCCTTTACCCCTTTCTAAACATCCCAATTTTGATCGAAACAACAATTTGTTCCCAATTTGCCCGCCAAGGGCACTTAGTTTGAATTCGTTGATTAATCCCTGCAGACTCACCAATAGCAATCTGTTGCGCCCGCCGTCGAATGGTAGTATCCTTGTTCAACCTCCGAGTAGACACAGCCTTTTTCCGAGATGTGTTATGTCCCTTTCGAACCGTCTTGTTTTCATATTTGCTGCGAATTTCTAAAGGACATACAAAAAGTATGCATGTACATGTAAATCCACATCATTACCAAACTATGTGAAGATTCCGGGGTAGAATAAGTCTTCAGCAACCCATGCTTGCTGTAAATGGTGACTATGCTTGTCGTAAAAGGCGACCAACAGGATCGGGTGGTCAGGCTCGCTGACTTGGTTGATGCATGTCATTGATCCCAATTCATGGATCAATGCAAATGATATTAATCACTGGATTGTCTGGTCCAGACTCGATTATTTACAGAACGCCGCCATATACCGTATTTTCTTGAGTATAGTGCACACTTTTTTTTCGAAAAAACACAGCTGTGTAGAAGGGGGTGCGCATTATACACGAATTATGAGTTTGGATGTTTTTTTCCCCCATGGAAAGACATTACCGTGAGCACGAAACACCGGGAATACCATGTCAACAAATCCATACTGAAGTACGCAAAATAATTATGTAATTACACTGTCTGGCTATAAAAAGTGTTCTTTGTATATCTGGACTTATGTTTGTAACTTATTTCATTGATTTTATTCAAAATTCCTTATAATATTGTTTTTATTAATTTCGGCGAAATCGTGTGTGAAGCGATCGGAAGATCGCACAACTCACCGTTATTAACAGCAACCACGGTCAGAATACCGCTATTGACGCATTGAAACAAACTTTAGTTGACAGAGAATGGATACATATATCATAAATGACATACTTTGACTCGTTAAAAGTCATATTTGTTTTTTTGTTTGACGATTCTATGTCAACATGAAATTCTCGCGATCATGTGATCACGTGTGCGTGAGCCTTGTCGGTGACTGGTCAGACATGTTCCATGTAAAAAATAATACCCGGGAATAGCGATCAGCTGCTTCGCTTAGGGTTATTATTATTTTAAATATGTTTAGTAAAGGTTGCATATAATTAAGAAAATAATGGAATATATTATTCCTGATAAATAAAATAGTTTCAGATACAATTGTTGCCGATCCTAGCATTAAAAATCTTTTAAAGTTATATCATTGGGTGTGTCTTGACCGAATCACCGGTCGATTCCAAGAAAACGTGTGTACAGCTGATTGCTGTTTCCAGCTTAGTTTACGAGAAAATACGCAAGGTAATCTTAATCCCAAAATATAAAACAATGCCTAGCAGAACAATAAATACTATTTAAACGGTAAATAAACATGTCTGGTGATTTTTTATCTCAAATTTCGAATTTGTACCGACGAAGTTTCTCAGCACCCGTTCGTTTGCCAGACTTCGCTGAAAGGGTACGGTGTAAAAAATATCTGCGCATAATATTCAAATTTCTTTTTTTCCAAAATATTGAACCCGCTAGAGGGGGGTGCGCATTATACATGGGTGCGCACTATACTCAAGAAATTACGGAAGCTGGAATATTGCTGAGTGCGGCGTTAAACAACAAACCAACCAACCAACCAACATTACCAAACTAGCCTACTTGTAAATGACAGACACACCTAGAACATAACGTCAAGGGAGTGAGTAGAGTTCATGCTAGATCTACAGAAGGCTTGATGTACCACATGTGGTGTCTCCTTCGGCAAGTGACTTTGTTCTAAATGTGACTGTTCACCTAGCAGTGAATGGGAACACGGGAGGATGAGATGGTATTGTGGTTGTTAACCTGCGCGTAACAAGCAGCTTGGGTTGTATACTCCCCACACAGCTGAGAATGATTGAGTGCACACTAATCCAGTGACTGGGGTAATAATAGCACTTTGAGCATGCCCCTGTGTGGTGTCGAAACATGCTCAACATAAATGGCCTATTACTATTATTATTACTATTATTATTGATTACTGCAATAGACATCACACATTGTACAGATGCATTCTGTGCCAAAACCTTTCGAGTTTTACTTGACCAAACTTGGCCATTAGCATCATTACAAGGTTATAATGTCATTACAGACTATTAAAACCGGAGCTTATGAGAGACAACAGAGTTTTTACAAGACTGACTTCAGACAAGTGCCTAAAGTCACAGACTGTTGATGATGAAACTGCTGTTTTAACCTGCAGACAGTAGCACTGTACCAGACAGTAGCACTGTACCAATGTCATATCACACTGTAAACAACAAGTCTGGGGGACAAGTTATTTACAGCACGTCAGAAAATGCTGACAAACAATCAGTCACACATTGTAACCATCCTGATCAATCAGCATATATACATGAAGCATAAACTGGGATATACTGCTCAGGAATCCCCAAAGGATTGAAATATGTATAATATAGTTGTTTAACGCCGCACTCGGCAATATTCCAGCTGTGTGACGGCGGTCTGTAAATAATCAAATCTGGACCAGACAATTCAGTGATTAATATCATGATCATCGATCCACGCATTTAGGACATGACGACATGCATGAAGAAAGTTGGCGAGCCTGACCACCCGATCCCGTTAGTCGCCTCTTACGACAAGCATAGTTGCCTCTTACGACAAGCATAGTCGCCTTTCACGTATAATACTGGTATAGTTCCTACCACAATGTCCAATCTGGCATATGACACAACACCGGCACAGTACATGTGATACTCACTTGATGACAACAATACTGCTGCAGCATTTTTCCGGATTTGACGGTTGGCTTTTCTAGAGTTGTCAGATCCCCTCCCTTTGTGTCTCCTACAAGGAAGTAACAAACACTCAAATAACTGGATGTGCCATGATTACAACAGAATACAAGAAATGGTATTTCCTACAAGACCAGTGTCTCATGACACGCAGGGTCTTCACACAATCCCGTGTTTATGAAAAACAATAGGAGATGCAATGGTCCTAATGCCAAGACAATGCAATGGACTGCAGGAAGTGAAAGTGGAAATATAATACACCATCATATTTTAATATTCTGTCTGCAATCTTAAGACTGCTGACAGGCATCATGTACTTGGTGGCCAATACAATGTTTTTCACCAGTCATCACAACTTTTGCCTAATCCATTTGACCTCTTAATGTAAAAATAAATATGCTTAAAAACAAAACACAGTCGGTAATAGAGCTTTATCACCAGCCTGTTTTTATAGTAGTGATCGTGAAGGAGTCTTGGCAACTTATTATCAGCAACATTCCATGATGAGGGGTATGATGACACGAGGATCTGAGTCACACAACCCGATCTAACATATTTGCCTCTAATGACAACCAAGAGAATGTTCGGGACATAACAAGGGTAGCGACAGTGACCACCTGTTTTTAATTTTAGTCAGCAGTTTTGACGAGCATGTTCCGAAAAAATGAGTGAGTGAGTGAGTTGGGTTTAACGCCGCATTTAACGGTATTCCAGTTACATTATGACGTGTCAGCTTAATGTGTGAGGACAGCCCGAAGTGATGCAGGACGTTTACCCCTTTGGTGAAACCAACAAGCACAGGTATGGTGCTGACAAACCTAGCAACATTATGAGGGCGAACCGGGATTCGAACCCACAATCATAGGTTTCTGGCATGCCCAAGGGACGCAACTCTGCACAGCGAATCATGGCGGCTTAGATGACTGGGCCACCCATGTCCCGTCCCGAAAAAACAACCCCTCAACAGATTATTGACGTCATTCTTACTTTCTGTCAGTATCTGTTTTTGCCCGTTTAGGCGGCGGTTTATGCTGCCACTCCCCACTCTTCAGAAGAGCTTCAAAATGGACAGGTAAAGGTATTTCTGAAACAAGAAGCAAGTGTCAACTTCATTACATACATATTTGACTGCAACTATCATCGTTTACATGAGGGCTGGCTACAAAGATCAATAATTGGAATTATCGAGTGGAAGAAATATAACGATTATCGTTATGAAACTTTTGTTATTGATAACAACTCACATAAGCTATTGTGATGAAATACAGTTTAGATTTACTGAAACTGACTTGTCAATAATGTCAATTGTCAAAGACAGAAAGCAACTGTCCATAAAGTAATCTATGCATTAATGTGTCACTGCTCACCAGTGGCGTGAAACCTGTTGATTTCTTTTGGGACTTTTTTGTATATATGCTTAAAGTTCCTTCTCTGATATTAATCGATAATTGACCGATATTTAGTTAGCGTTTATCGATCTCTATGATAGCCAGCCCTAGTTTACATTTGACAAGTCCCCAAGACCAGGAACCCCCCAAGCAATCTGCTCACAACAAAGGCATCCTTGGATTGATGCTATTCAGGTTTTACACGATGCAGAAATGTGCGTCCAGTATGCACAATTGTACAAATGGATGCAGGTAAAAATATATTGGATCCTGAGGGACATACAATAATATTCATTGCACCAAATTCTTGACAAGAAATATAAAGGTCATGTAAGTAAAGAAGTTACTTCACAGAACAGACAATCCATATAAAGACCCTCAAAATGAACTATGGGGGGTTTCCCCGGACCCCCAGTTTTGTAAGTTAAGGTAAAACCCTGTAGACATTGTGAAGCTGAATGAAAACACTGCAATGTCTTTTACCTTTACCATTTTTGTCAGTTACCCTGACATCTCATTCCTGCTAATGTTCTCAAGGAAGTTAGACTACATCTCAAGCAGGAGTTGAGTTTGTGAAAAGAGTAAACGCTATTATTCACATAAACTTCTAACACTGCATACATACTTATTCTGTTTTCTTGGTGTTGACTTTTGTTGAATGGTCCTAAATTGCAAATGCAGGGCTACTCCCCTTAATTGGACAACAATTTTATTACTTAATCATAGTAATTATATTAATTTAATTATAGTATTTGCATTATATAAAGTGTTCTTATATAATTTGACCTCCACTGTGACCTCTAAAACCAATGTTCACTCGGCTACCCTTGATATGCTGAATAAATTGGGTTCAACAATGTTATGACCTTGACTGTGACCTTGATGTTAAACAGGACAGGGAACTTGGTCCTACGCATATTGTCCATGAGAATGTTTGAAATTAATATTCATGTTAATGGTGGAGATCAAATTCTGGAATTGGAAATGCGTGACTCACAAAAAAAGGGGACACCTAATACTGTCATGACACATGGATTATTGATTATTATATCTTAGCAGAATAGACCACTTAACTGGACTGAGTGAGAGTACAGTTTTAAGCCGCTTTCATCAATATTCCAGCAATATCACAGCAGGGGACATCAGAAAAGGGTTTCACACATTATACCCATGTTGGGAATCAAACCCGAGTCTTTGGCGTGACGAGTGAGTGCTAACCATTAGACTTCCCAAGACAAACCAATTACTTATATATGTTTGATACAAGTCTTGTCATGTACATGACATGTCATGTCATGACATGTCATGGGGTATCAAACAGATTAAGCATGTGATATATCCCAGCGTTAGAAATTGGCACTAGTCCTATCGTCCTTGCCAAACTGCCCAATGGTAAAGGTATCATAAGGACTAGTAGACATTTGCCCTTTTTAAGGGTTTTACTATATGTTATCATTATAAGAACTAGTGGACAAAAACTGTTAGTGTCTATTCCTGTATCCAGGATGTAATCAATGTCAAACGAAACTAAGATCACAGTGACATACTGTAGTTACTCGTCATGCATGGACTACACCAATTCAATTACTCAACGCAAAATATTATTAAATTCCCCTTCAGGCAACCTACTGACCTTGCTGTGACCTTGACATGGACCAACTCAAACAAAACTTAACGATGCAAAATGAGTTGTTTACAAATACTGCAAGGTGGTGATCTTATTTCATAGAAGTCCTTTCATGATTTTTGTACTGTACCAATTAACCCTTTCAAAACCAGTAAATTTGAAGCCTTTCTTTCTGTGACACCAAGTTCCCAGAGACTATTCGGTGACAGATGAAGCCTGCATTTATCAAGGAAATTATCTGCTTATCTTTGTTACTACATGTTATACACCATCTGAACTACATGTTATACACCATCTGAACTACATGTTATACACCAGTTGAAAGGTCTGATCTTACTGATTATAAATATGAAAGTTATGTTTATCACATTATTTAAAAAAATGCATTTACCTTTGCCGAACTAAGCTGCAATAACAGAGTTACGAGTCTATGCATAGTCCAATCAAAACAGATTAAGCATGTGATATATCCAGGATGTAATCAATGTTAACGAAACTAAGATCACAGTGACCTACTATAGTTACTCGTCAAAATTGCTTTTCATCAAGGTGCTCACGTCATAGGATGCACTTAGCAGGGTAAGACCCGTATTATTACAATATAGACGTTGATTATCAAGCAGATTGTCTTGCCACCATTATTTGAAGCAAATGCAAATGATATGAGAGATGGAACCTGATTGGTCAATAGGAGGAACATAGAAGGGACATAACTTGCAATAGCCACTTGTGGCGCTACAATTGAGCCTGGAAATTCCAGCCAAGTTCGGCAAGGTTGGAAACTGGACTTTTATAGTCAGTTAACACCCTTGTCTCGGAAAGATGTCCTCATGTATAATTCATTTCAGATTTAGACAAAAGGTTTTGATTAAATCATGTTATTCTGAGCACTTTAAACAGGAAATCACAACCTGCATTAAAAAATGTGGAACTTCATGGAAGCATCGCCCTTGGTTACAACCCATGAATATGATTTTTCATGCATATATTTGGGTACTGAACATCCATGTCCGAATGTTAACATCGAGGCGACAAAAGCTGAGATATCATTAGAATTACATTACATGCTATCACATGAAAATATAGAAATACTAAGTTAGATAATTTTTTATATATTTTTGTTGATTTATTTATACTTTATGTAATATATTTCAAGACTTGCTTGAAACATCTTTATTTTACTATTTGACATGTTCGATAGGGACCCTTGTCGATGCATCTGTCCCAGAGTTGTTACTAAAATAACACTGTGGGGAAATGGTTAATCAATTTTAAATCTATCACTAAAATATGATAAATTGAAATGAAAAGGGTATTTTCAGACATTGTGAAAAGTGATGGATTTAAAACATGAATAATATGACAGATGGTTCACAAATATTTACATTATTTTGATGTGGCTATGGCCTAAACATATGTAACTTCTGAAAGGGGCTGATCCTGTTTAAAGTTAGTCTACAAACTTGAACATCATAACATAATTTTGGTATTTCTTTGTGTTGGTTTTCTGGAAAACATAACTAGGGCTGGGATGATACACCAACTGTATCACGATACCTTACTCACGATCCGATATGTATCACGATACTTGCATGTGCTCTCATCTGTGGTGCGTAAGCCATCTTTTTCATATACAGGATGGCCAAATACCTGGCACACTGACAGGTGACGATTGTTTCGCCATGTATTCCAAAATTTAGTTAAATGTTTTGGCCTTTCACTTCCGTTTTTGCCCAATGCGTACTTGGCGTGAAAATTGTCTGATCTTATTCACAATACTGCTGACATTTGTCTCGCCTGAGGGAAAAGAGTATTGTTCGGGATCCTTTGGGGTTTCAAAGTTGTAACGGTGAAGCAAATAAAAAAAAAGAAAAGTTGTTTGTAAACATGGTAAACTGTGACAGCATTCACGTGGACCACTTTGAGGTAACTGCAATACTTGCCCTGACATACCAGATGTTGATTATCGACTGGACATTTCGTGAATAGGTCGCTTTAACAAACAATGTATTGTTTACTTCCAGCACCTAGAAACATGTATATTGCAAGCAGAGACAAGTACGCCCTCTAAACTAGATGTCGTCACATTGCTGGAATATTGCGAAAAGTGGCATAACAAATATTTCAAACATACATACGCAAAAGTTAATTTTACCTTGGAGCAATTTGATGATAACCAATACGCACACCTGTGATTCTGGGTCACCAAGGAAGGTCAAACCTAACATTTTAAAACTAGAAGATTGTTTAATAGTTGGTTGTGCTTCGAATAGCAACTGTGAGAGTGAGTTTAAACAATATTTGATTCATATTGTAAACAGCACACAACGGGCGAGTATAAGAACACGTCTTGTTTATTTCAATTCAGACACAAAACTAACCGTAATACATCCGTTACTTCCTTGACAACCATACATCAATATCCTAGCAATATTACCTCACATATTCTATTACTTACCCTACGATCTATCTCTTAGCAACTTCCGAATCCATTCATTCATCTAACTTCTATTTACATTCGATACACTTCCAGTAAATACTCTTCCGGTAATTAGAGTTACTCCCCTTAGCCCATTCGCACAATGCTAACAATATCACAACATGTCAGCTTAATGTAAGAAATTTATCAGAGCACATTTCACACCCATATATCACATACAAACACCCATTACCTGTCCTTCTTTCTGTGAAAGATCAACACGAGGAAGTAGATATATCTCTTTCCCCCCACTGGAAAGCATGGTAAGATGGACCATCTCAAGAAAATATTACTGTACCTGATGAATAACCCTATGTATTTATTTCCTCTCTAACTCTTTACAATTTGAGGTACACCATGAATTGGAAACAGACACACTACATTCAATAATGTGTCCTCATTGTCAAATGTACTATAATCGTGTGTTTTTGAGTCATACATCAGTTTATTATCATCAACACTATAATAAAGTAGTGTTTGAAATACAGGTGGGTCCAGGGGTCCTCCTATAGTACTTGAAACTGGCAACCTCAAGATCTTTAACTTTTTGCTTCAAGGCAATGACCTTTCATGGTCATTCTTATTTCAAACACTTGGTCATTCTTATTTCAAACATTTGGTCATTCTTATTTCAAACACTTGGTCATTCTTATTTCAAACACTTGATTATTCATATTATCATAGCCCATTGCTTTGGAATGTGTAACCCAGGGGTCAATATTCATCAAGGATTTAGTTACATGATCTACTCATATGAAAGCCTATGCAATTGGGTAGTGGTGGGACGATAGACAGATGCATCGATGGATCGCGTTATTTCACTTCCCGATACAAGTATCGATCACAGTTGCACATAAAGTAAAAATATGGGTTACGCACTACAATTACGAGCACATACAACCATCCTGATATATATTGGATATTGAGCAAGGTATCGTGATACGTATCGGATCGCACAGTTGATGTATCGTCCCAGTCCAAAAATTGGGTCTATTTTGGGTCTATTCCTCTCATTCAGAACAGCACTTTCTCAGAAATCCCCCAAATGATGACAAGATACCAATAAACTGTAAAAAGAATTTGAAAGGTATCTTCATGGTTAACAGCAATGATTGCTTCAAAGCACATTTAACTTCAGGACAAGAACAATCTCCAAAAAGTTACATTTACTTTTCAGATAATGTTCTTTGGCTCTATTGCAATAAATAATACCCACACTTGTTGGTTACCATTGTATTTAAATCCATAAATATAACTTTCAAGGTCAACATTAGGGTTACGATATGGACAGCCTGACTCACACTGTATTCTTACAGTGCTATTGACAAAACACTCACCTTGAGGAAACGACAGCACGGGATGGAACGATGCATCAAGAAGTGAGACTCGTTCTTGCACAGGCATGACATCAGGGTGGACAGTTTGTGCGTTATTATAGCGCCCCCCACACATGGGGCATGGCATCACAGGCGGATAACATTCACACTTCACAGTAGAGAGACGAGCAGCCTTACGACTGGTTTGATGTAAACCAAACGTCCTCAACAACTTGCGCTTTCTGTAACTACGTAATGGTCGGCACCGAGCTGCTTGAGTCGTTGGATCAACAACCGATGATAAGTCGGACTTGTCCACCAACAATCGCACGTCGGCAACAGGGGTGTCCGAACTAGCATCGTCAGAATTTCCTATTGGTGACTCTATAAATCCATTTAATGATCGTCCTGTTGAAGGAGTACTAGATTTGATACTGTTTTGTTGAGGTGAAAGACAGTTTCCAAGGGACTGAGAGAGGCGGGAGGCTTGTTTGTCAACATTTGACAACACTGTGGAAATGCTACACGGAGACATCTCATTTTTCTGATCTAGACTAGTTACACGATTATCTGAGCCTGCAGGCCTGGCAACAGTTTTAACTGCAGGGTGAAAGCGAGTCAATAGATTCTGAGGCGAAGGCGCATCCCCAAGAACAATGCTGCCTTTACTGTTCCGTATCTGTTTATAAATCTCACTCTGTTGACGAATACGGTATTCCAGATCTGACACCTGCGCCTGTAGCCATGTCCACCGGGCTGCTACAGCCGCTCGCTCCACCGCCCACTTCCATTCAGCCCGTCGGTGTCTGTATAAACAAACACACAAAAGTTAGCTTCAGCTTTAATTTGTGATGAGAACTGGACAAAACAATGACTGACAATTGATCTATCATAGCTGTTGATGTTTGTTCTTTTCACACCAGACACAGGGATATCATGGCCCCCTGTAAACAGTCGAGTCGGGATCAGACAAACCAGTGATTGCCGTCAAGGTCCAGGTAACTGAGCATGACCATCCAATCTAAATTAGTTGCCTGGTTCAACATGTACGAGAGTGCTGGGGACATATTAATCATAAAACCTCGGTTGTCTGGAAAATGTCATGAACTGGATCATAAATATTTCAACATTAAAAGTTCTCACTTTCCTTGTTTTCGTAAGTATCAACAAAATTACAAAACTTGCTGTTTATATTTTACCTTAACTAGTAACATCTGTTATTTGTCTACCGAAGTACAAAGTGAAGCCATTTTTCTCTTGACACGTTTAATGTTTTCCTTTATAACAATATATATCCTATACTACTCTCCCATAAATCCATTTAAAATCTACTTAATATTAAAGTAAGAGAGAGAGATGTGGGAATTATTTTGGTGTGACTTAATACAGTGTGTGACATTAGCCGAGTCGTATTATTGGCTAGTGTGTATTTTCTATGAATATCAAAACCTGACATTGACAACCCTAGTTTAATACTGAAAGTCTCAAACATACACCATCAATGAATGAATCCACAACAAACTTAGTTGACCTGTAGTCATGAAGTCTTTGATGGGCATTCATCTTATGAAGGGGCAAGAAGTTGCCCTGAAGCATCCTAACGAACAATGGAAGTTGTTCTCTGCAGTCAATTTCATGGCTTTTCCTGTAGTCCTTGCACAGAATGTGTGTTTTCTACTGCCAATCACTTGGTTTATGTATCCAACAACCCAAAACATCAGAAATGTAGTTTTTGATTCCAACAAAGTTTGTAATAAAAATATCAAACAATATAGGAAGCAAGATTTCCTACTGTTTCCTATACATTAGTGCAGCAGTGCGAGTTTTCATGCGAAAAAACTACTTTTCTGTATTGATACAAGACAATTCACTTGCTAAAATAAATTACTTCTCTTGTTTTATTGACTCCCACCCCAGCATTTTTGTGTGTCAAATATTGCAAAATGTGTTGTAATTAGCTTGTCAAGTTCACTACAAAAAATATCACTACTATGTGTCTCAGCTAGCTTACCCTTTGGTCAGGTGAAATAGTGTTTAACATTGCGTTCAAGATTATTGCACTTATATAGAGGTGTGTGTTGGGTGGGTGGCTGTGTGTCCTTGTCCGGACTAATGCCGATTTAATAGCACAGCCCACTGAGATGCCATGCCACAGTTTAGCATGAATACCCCCCTCAGACACAGTATACTGACTCCGAGTGACAAGTCCTTGCTTTATCCCCTTTATGCCGAGCCCAGGCAGGGTTTAAACAAGAGGTGCCATCTTTTAATGCCTTTTGGTGTGACGCAGCAAAACCCACGACCTTCTGCTCCACTAGGCCAAAGAGGTGTTTTTTTCCTTTGGTCCTACTGTGAAATATATATATATGTGACACAAATTTCTTAGCAACATATGCTTTTATACCAATTTTTCATGACACACGTATCATGACCTTACTGTATAGTTTCACCCCTACTAGCTAGTATGTATACATACATGCAGTGCTTCTGTAATGTTTAAGTTTAGCATGTAAGTTAAAAAGGTCATAACCCCATCGTTGAGAGCAAAAAGAGTTCAAGGGATCTGATCAAAAACTATAGCAGCAAGTGTCAAGGACCCTAAGATGTCCTAATTTCAAATACTGATGTATAAGCTATCAAACAATCATTGACAATTATTGATCACCAGAACATCTGTTATTTGGGCAATATTTACAATTTACAATTTCCCAAGAAACCCCATGGAGGTGAACTGGTGTAGACTCAGTGTGTTAGTAATAGTAGTAATACAATTGACTGACGTATCCTTGTAACCATACACCTTGTCACAGCCTCGGTCAGGGATATACAATCACTGGTGCAGAAGTAGGTCAGACATTCACAGCTTGCGGGGATCAAACTACTACGTACTAGCCTGAACAAGGATCTTCCTAGACTCACCAGAAGTTTGTAGAGAATGAAACAACTCCGATATGAGCTCAGTCACATCCCTGACAGATAAGATGAAGTCTAGTGTACTTGATGTCATCTGCCATTCCATATTATATAAAAAAGTATTTCAATTTAGGAACCCCTAAAGTAAGTCTTAACAATAATTGTTTATGACAAGAACTTCATTCCTAATTTGCAAACATTGCCTTACGTTGATCAACCTTGGATTTATTTAAGTTGGACCAACAGGTCCACAGGCCTGGAGAAAATATATGCATCTTTGCATTGAAAAAGTGTTGGGATTAAATATTTGTAAACTACAAAATTGTGCTGTCAGTTTTTCAATAGTTTACTTTTCACATGTTGCCTTTCCACCCTAGATACCCGCTGTTGCATGGTAACCTGGTAACACAAAAAGACAGGTATCCTCTCATTTAATACACTATTTACAGAACAAAGGGATCAGGTCAGAAGGAAAGCATCTTTCACATTCCTAGTGGATACATAGCTGAGTTGTATATACTTGTTAATACTTTTATTTTACAATGTTATTTTAGTGGGTAAGCTAACAAAATACAAAATTTACATACAAGTAGAAATCCATGACCATTCCATGTCTAATGCAACGCCATTTAATTCACCTGCTTATTGGTTACTTAACTCTCCAAGTACCAAATAAACGACAAACAGCAGGTAAGTATGTCTTGACTCACCTAGGGACTCAAACGCAATTCTGCATCTTACACGTTACTTGCATAAAAATTGAAAAAGGACACACAAAAATGCAGACTGCATCCACTGGAATGCAGGAAAATTGTATGTTTAAGAATAAATGGTGCTATTTCATAATTTGATACCACTTTAAATAAGTTTCCCTAAGTAATCATCTAAAACATACAATACACAGTCGAATGTTTTAACGACCTTCCAGTGGTAGCACTTGGGGAACTCCACATCATTTTAACTGACAACCACTGACTGAGCATGTGCATTCACACATTTCGTCACTTCAGGTAGAGTTCTGATTTCAATTTTTGACATTTCAGTGGGACCCTCATTTTGTTTGTTGTTCAACGCTGCTCTCAGCAATATTCCAGCTATATGACAGCACTCTGTAAATAACTGACTATGGACCATACAATGCAGTGACAGATATTAGAAGCATTGATCTACACATTTGGGATACTATGGCATGAATCAACAAGTCGGCAAGACTGACCACTTGTGCCATTAGTCACCTTTTACAACCAGCATGGTTTGCTTACAAGGAATTCTAGCCTGGATTTTCAACCCAATTTTGTCACCTGGGACCCTAAAAATTAATTTTGAGTCTCCCTGGACCCACAACATACATCACTCAGGTAAGTGCCTGCATGCCAACCACCCCCATAAAAACATATCAGAAGGCTGTCACTTCCACAACGTGGTGATTGAAAACAGAACAGGCCTGTACTCAGATATATTTCCATGTCAGATCACTGTCACTGCTGGAAAGCTACATTCATTGACTAATACAGTAGTAACATTATCAGGCCATGTGATTATTAAGTCATCTCTTGTACAAATTGCTTAATGACATTTTTAAAAATGATTCAAATTCAGCTGCCTGACCAATATGACATTCCAGATAAATTTCATTATTTTAATAACCTCGCCCACACTTCGATATCCCTATGTCAATGCACTTGTTTTTTTAACCTGACATGGTTTTACAAATGTTGGAATAACATACCTATTCTACCGTGTCATTACTTTACATACTTTGTATCAATAAAACAAGGTAAACAAAATAGAAACTACTGCTGCAAGTGACATTTGTTAGCGACAATATTTCTAGGAATTGCTCTAAATAAGAAGGGGATTCCCCCTCTGGGTCATGACCCACAGCTGCATTGCGATCTGTGAGAGATGTTCTATTATTATCCCCTAGTCACCAGTTCCTGATTGCTGGTCACAGCTAGCCTGTGAATGGTGTGAGCAATCATGCATGGCCATCATATCATTGTCAGGGTAGACCTGAACACCAGCTACTGTTAGTAGGCTGCTCTTGCAGACTATCTAGAACTTTCCATGTAGCTCAACGCAATACACAAATCATCTTACCCTTTTCTATTTCAAGGACACTGCTTTTGTTCACCATGTGTGGTTAAACAGTCAAGGAGTGGGATAAAAACCAGAGCTACAGATAAGCAGAGTATTTGCGTAAAATACCCCCCAAAAAATATTCAAAACCCAATTACTTTCAATTAACTTGAATACAGAAACACATGCATTAAAAGTAAAAATTAACGTATGAAAACAGCACGTGTTTATACCCAGTAAAAGTAAAAAGGGGCTAAATTCCAAAACACAATTATGAGCTAATTTACTTTCCGAGTCAAGTCTATACAGTTATATACATCTACAACATTATTTCATTCTTTTTAAATCTTAAAATGTTCACTAATTTGGGGAAAAAAACAAATAAAATGATAAATAGATGAGTGATAAAATATTGGTTACCCAATGAAAAATGTAATAACCCAATTGAAATAAGAAACCCTAAAAACAATTGCTCAAAGAGTTATCTGGAGCTCTGACAACTCATAAATCACCATTAGAAAATAGCTCAATGAGGTTTGCAGTTGTCTTAACAAATACAATGATCAGGGTCTTGCTAACATCATACAGTATTTGTATATCTCTTTAGAACATCATACATCAAATAGAAGCAGGTCATTACACTAGAAGGTAATTTATTCCTGAAACATATATATGATTTTCTATTTCTAAAAATAAAACTTTCATTAAAAAAACCTAAATTGTAAATATATTAACTTGGTCTTGTTGCTATATGGCTGAAATACTGCTGATGCAACATTAAATTTTAACTCACTCACTATTTCTAAGAATATGAGCTACCATGGCTGTCATGGCCCTAGTTTTCACAGGTAAGCAATGTCAGTATGTGACTAAACAAAATCAATATAAAGCTGGGAGTATCAAATATTAACGACAAATCATGTACATTTAAGTAGAAAAAATAATACAATACCCAAACACTTACAATGGCGGAGAAGGACCTTTCTTTTCTTTTACAAGATCTCCATCGAACTCATCACAACTTTCTCCACCTGAACTGCTCTCCGTTGCATCCGAGTCGACCACTGATTCCAGGCTCTTGATCATTGAGCACATGTGATCAGCTGATGTTTCAGATTCATTCCGCACAGACTTGTCCATTTTCAAAACGTTTGTCGTCGTCTGAATCACTGCCTCTGTTTTCGGCGGATGGACGAGGCGTTGATTCAGTGACAAGTTCTTAGGTGCCTGAAGCTTTCTAACTAAATTAACAAGGGCAGCTGTTGAGAGATTTTTCACATCTTCACTCTGTAATAATTCTGTTTTTAGTTCAGTGCCAGTTACCGGGGCATTAATAGACTTCACAACAGTTTCTAAATTTTTATGTTGATATTCTACAAAATGGTGAAGTTGCTGTCTAGTATGATTTTCTATTTGACGTCCCTGAAGTCGACGTAGACGACGCATAAGAAATTCTGTCCTACGTTGAAGTTGATGTTGAGATGTTGAAACACATTCTTTCAGATCTTCCGTGGTCTTATCACTTTCCTTATTTTCCAAGTCCACTTTTGTGTTTGATGGACATGGCCTTGCTGCTTCTTCCTGGGCTTGAATTACAGCATCATTTCCACCATGCTTGCTATCCACATTGGATGCAGTGTTCGGATCTGAAGAAATGTCACTTTCACAAATTTTCTGTCCATCTTTCACAACATCAGGCACTGATGACTTTCCATTAACAAATGATGCACTCTCAGATGGTTCTTTCGGTGATAACGTTTCTGGCTTTGTGTTTTCATTTTTAGATGCAGGTTGATTCATACCTCCTTTCTCAAGCTTTGCAAAAGACTTGATAAATTCACTCTGGAATGCTGACACTTCTTTTTTGTGGAGATTCGAGATGGCAGCGGTAACCCCTAAATTCTGGAGATTAGTTGCAAGATTGCAGGTGTTCAATTTTACACTGTGACCTCCGTTTAGCAGATGACCTGCTAAATTGGTCACTTGTTTGGTAGATCTCTGCACCTTGTCCAGGGACAGGCGACTGTCAACTACCGCTAATTCGTGTTGCGCCGTCAATTTGTGATCCTTGCCGTTTAGAACCGTAGTCGGGGTAGTTACTGATGGCGTCGTTGTAGCTGGTAGTGTCGCTTTAATTCTGACCTGACTAGCCGCCTCAGTAAGCGCGGGAGCCATTGCGGCCATACAACATATCCTCAGAGGGAGTGGACTCGACATGCAATTCTGAAAATCATTTGACAATTATTCTCAAATAGCACAAGGTGTAGACTTATTATGTATGATTCGACAGAGTTCAATCATGCCTATTGTCTCTGATGAATTGTCACCAGTCGACTGACACAGACACAAGACGGGAAATATCATGAAGCACGTGACTTTTGTCATATATCATTATCTTTACTCTAGTGCCTCCTAGACCAGATATGCGTGATCAAAATAGTGTACCACACATAATTGAAAGTCTCAAATAAACCAACGCAGTTGAAAATGTCAATCAAAGACCAGGTGGAGTGAAATCGCCGATGCAATTCCGATATGAAAGACGCGTAATGTACCCGGACAATATCACGTGACTTCGCCACGTCCTGCTTTATACGAACCCTCTAGTCTCATCACCAGTCGATTGCGCTGTAATTCGTCGCATTTGTGGTGCTGAAACGTATCCCAATGAAAGTTAATATCTTCTAAATTCTATGATTACTGTCAAACATGACCAAGGAGTTTGCCTAATGTCCGAATTTGAGCAATATTTTTGCACAGCCAGCAATGATTTCACATCCAACATGGCGGTCAGTTGTGCTTGCTCCATCACAAACAAAAATGTGGTTTAGTACAATTACATCAATTGCGCTACCCCCCTCTAGAGCGCAATGCTGATTGGCTGGCACGGCTGGGTCATCTAGGTCAAAGTAAGCTAGGTTTTATGGGTTGTACAATACGCTAGTGCAATAACGCAGTAATGAAACGATGTCTGTTGGTAAAGAGCTTTACGTTATTAATCACAATATTATTAAAATATATATTTTGACAATACGCCTATTTACTACATCTCATTATGTAGTATTTAATTATAAAGCAAAATTATTGTCAATTCAGCAACATCATTGTTGGCGGCAAGATTGCTGTTTACAATTTCCCGGAATTACACAAACGTTTGTTTTCAGATTGTGATCTAAACCTACTCGTCATAACTGACCTATCAGTGTCATAGGTGCTTTCAGCGCTTATCCTGACACCTGAAGTATTTCACCAAACCGATGACTCATGTTAACGATTCCGCGTCGAAATGTGATGTGCAGTCCCATCACAGGGCGTCGGACAGCGCCCGTGTATCCGGAACTAGACTGACACTTAGTCTCGGAAAACATTTCTTTGAAATAATTTTAATTTTATTTTCTCAAAAGAACCTTCCCTCTTTTGCTGTTTCCATAGAAGAAACAAGGAAACTAGACTTGGTTAAGTTTGATCTATTTGATTTAGGATTTTAGTAAGGTAAAATTCCACTGTCATGGCGCAGGATTAACCCTGTATGTGCTACGGCTTATTAGTGTACCGAAGTAGCTATAGGCGCCTTTTAACTGGACCATTTGCTCGGGAAAAACAAATGATCACGTGGTATTTTCACGGAGTCTACTAGACATAGTAGTCTAAATGAGAGAGAGAGAGAGAGAGAGAGAGATTTATGCATGCTTGTGGTAAGAGGCGACTATAAACGGGTAAACGGGATCGGGTGGGCAGGCTTGCTGATCGATGCTCCTGATGTGTACCTGGATTGTCTGGTCCGGATTCGATTATTTACAGACGTCATAAAGCAATAATATTGCTGAGAGCTGCCTTAATCAAGATACAAAACAAACAAAGAAACAAAACAAAACATAAAACATGTAGGGTGTGGGGTCAGACAACGTGGGTTGCTGTAAGAGGCGACTAACGAGATCGGGTGGTCAGGCTCGCTGACTTGGTTGATGCATGTCATCGTATCCCAATTGCATGGATCGATGCTCATGATGTCAGTCACTGGACTGTCTGGTCCAGATTTGATTATTTACAGACCGCCGTCCTTATAGCTGGAATATTGCTGAGTGCGGCGTTAAACAACAAATAAACAAACAAACAAACAAACAACGTGTATACAGTATGCATGGAACTGCAGGCCCTTGGTCCCGAGAGGCTGCAATGTGCGGGGCCTTACTGGCGTCCCCTCCGTGATGCAGCGGGAATATTAATACTGCTAAAAGCGGCGTAAACCCAACTCACCCCTGAAAGGCTGACACCTGTGTTGTAAATATAGCTGCTTATACCTGTCCGTTATCCGGAGGTAGAAACCTATTTCACCGAGGTTGTATCTGAAATATTTCAAACTGTTAAAGTCATGCAGTGTGACAGCTTCCCGAGACAAGGGAGTTAACTGACTGTAAAAGTCCAGTTTCCACTGGACTGTTACAGTAAGTTAACTCCCTTTGCCTCGGGGAGATTGTAGTGTGACGTCATGTGTCCTTGAGTTTTCAGCTTGTGTCACTTCCCTGGTGTTGTAAATGCGCGTTTTTATGTTACTCAGGAAACGCAGCGTTGTGGCTGATTGTAAACGAGAATTGCTTAAACTAATTACAAGGAATCAGCACTGATTCCCTGCATAGTCTGCACGTTAATAGATATTGTTGTGAAACATGTAACAAAAGGCATGGAACGTTCATGCTTTGTTTTGTTTGTATCGACGCTTCCGGGAACCTTCGTCGAGTGAATGAATCATCATATACTGAATGAACAATCACCCAACGAATAGACAGAACACTATTGGAGGCGGTCCATAACAACGTCTGGCCTTTAAGTGCAACCTCTTATTGACAATTCAAGACTTAGCTGACGATGCCTCTGTGAACACCCGGGTTAGAATTGGTCGTCAGCAATCCATGCTTGTCGTAACAGGCGTCTAACGGGATTGTTTGTTTGTTGTTTAACGCCGCAGGCAGCAATATTCCAGATATACGTTGGCATGCATTAACCAAGTCAGCGATCCTGACCATCAGACCCCATTAGTCGCCTCATATGACAAGCATGGGTATGTCTTGACTGTAGGACCCCATCGCGGCTCTCGGCTATAGGGTTACTGAAGACCTATTCTAACCTGGATCTTCACGGGTACTAACGGGATTGCGTGGTCAGGCTCGCTGACTTTGTTGATGCATGTCCCATCTTATCCCAACTGCGTAGATAATTGTTCATGATATCAATTACTAGATTGTCTGGTCAAGACTCAATTATTTGCAGACCACCGTCATATATAGCTGGAATATTTCTGAGTGCGGCGTTTAATAACCGACAAACAAATAACCATAAATTTAACTTTTTCGATGTTAACATATATAAACAAATTGATATTCATATCAGTATTGAAAAATACATAAAAACATAGGGTTTTTAAAAATCATTTGGTGTTTTTAATATAACTGGCCTGTGTCGATTTTATTGTTCTTCAAAGTTACGACAAAGCAAAACCTCACGTTCAAAGGGAAGTAATCCATACACGCTGATATCAAGTATATGACGATGTTATTTTAAGGGTGCTTTACTTGATAAATATATACTGAACCAAATTAAAAACTTCACAATCCTAAAATTTTAACATTTTGACCAGTTATCATTGTGGGCCCTTATTGTGTATTTAAACAGTAATGGCCACGTATTGTCTTCAGATAACACCCGTATTTGTGCAGGTTAATCGATCAAAATCATGTGCACAGCACTATAGTGGAAAAGGTTTTTTTCACGTGCAACTGGTCACGTGGCCATAATACGTGTTTTGAGCCCTACTTGTTAGCAGTCATTAAAAAAAACAAGAAAACAAAAGTCTTTACGGCCATTTGTCATGCCACGCCTTTCAAATGTGCAACGTGAACGTGCCATCGGCATGTTGCAGACGGGAACGTCCGTAGCTGAAGTCGCAAGGACGATGGGTTGTAGTCGACGGACTGTTTATGATTTACAGACGCGTCTACAGCAAACGGGTACCACCGCTGAGCGCCCTCGGCCAGGTCGACCACGTGTGACGTCACATGCAGAGGATCGTCAGATTGTCTTACGTCACCCCCGTAACCGATTTTTGACGGCTACATGAACCAGAAATGAACTGTTTAGGGGTAGACTGAGTGCGCAAACTGTTCGAAACCGTCTGAGAACTGATCATATTCAAGCACGACGGCCATACTGCGGGCCGATTCTGACTCAATTACACAGACGTCAACGTCAATTGTGGGCACAGCGACACTTACGATGGACTCAGAGGAATTGAAATCAAGTCGTCTTCAGTGATGAATCTCGATTTAATCTTCGATTTGCTGATGGTAGGGCGAGGGTGTGGAGGCGCCGTCATGAACGTTAAGCCCAGTGTTGTGTACAGGAAGTTGACAGATTTCGAGGCGGAAGTGTCATGGTGAGGGGTGCTTTCTGTGGCAATGCACGTTCCAGGCTTCTTGTCATCCGTGGCAACCTCAACGCTGCTGCTTACCGCAACCAGGTACTGGCACCAGAACTTCTGCCTTTTATGGCAGCACATGGACCCGGTTTGATCTTCCAACACGACAATGCCAGACCCCACACAGCAATTTTGACAAGGAATTTCCTTCAGAATGCGGGAGTCAACGTCATGGACTTGCCGTCAAGGTCTCCCGACCTCAATCCCATCGAACACGTCTGGGATGCTCTTGGCAGAAGTCTGCGCACTCTCCAGAACCAACCACAGAATTTGCAAGATCTTGGCACCATTTTGCAGCAACAATGGCGTCGTCTTCCCAATCATGTGTTCACAAGCATCACGAAGTCCATGCGGAGGCGTTTTGTGGCAGTTGTCAACGCACATGGTGGCCATACACGCTACTGAACTTGTGTGCCATCAGATTCTCGTGCTTGGGACTTATGATTTAAACTGTTGATGTTATTACCGAAAACCGTAGGTGCCTGGAACAAATAATGGTTACCACCTTTAATTAAAATCCTTCTTTGGACATTAATGATTAAAAATTATCTTCTCTGATACATTTGTCATATATGGGATTACTTTTAAAAATGTGAAGTTTTTAATTTGACTCAGTATAATTACAAGACTTGTAAGGGGAACTAAGGCCCAGACCCGTCGTTTATTTGTTTGTTTGTTTAACGCCGCTCTCAGCAATATAAACAGCTATATGACGGCGGTCTGTAAAAAATCGAGTCTGGACCAGACAATCCAGTGGGTTGACATCATGAGCATCGAACTTGAACAGAAAGTATGGTCTTTAAATTGTATTAAGACACTAATTTTCCATTTTTATTTTGATCGAATAAATGTTTAGATCAAACTTAGTATTACGTTCTATCGTGAAAATAACTGTAGGCCTTTTTTGTTCTCTTGTTCAAAATTTGTTTACTGACTATTCTTGACATTTCCTTGTCAGGCTATTGTGTTGACCGCGTCATCTGCTCTCGTCACCTGTTCTGCTTGTGGACTATATACTCTAACACACTGGTGTTAAATACGTTAATACATAAACCATAAAGTCCTACTATACTTAACGCCAAAAGAAACGCGAACCATAAAATCATATACAGAAGATATTACCTTAAGAAGAGATGTTTCCAGAGTGTATCACTTAATAACAAAACTAACAATCAGTCAAGTGTTACCACAGTGTGTCTTTATTCCTATCACGATATGCAGCACGTGATTTCCAAACTGTACATGCTCATCCTACACAAGACTAATGGTGCGTATCGAGTCATTGATCTATGACGTCACATGTGATGCGTTCATGAGCGTCGGTTACACAATATAACAGTATGTTCGTTTGTGCATCGAACCAATCTGATGTCTCTTGAAAAGGAGTAATTCTTCCTATATTAACCAATATACATGGTATTCGCGTTTCTTTTGTCGGTGAGTATATATTTGGAATTAATGTTGGTACAAATTTAAACAGTGCAGCGTTAAACAACAAACAAATTTAAACAATGCGTGAATATATGAATATTTGCGAGTACAATAACGGCGTATTTCCTGTCCATGTACTGTTATATAATACATACATGCTGCCTCAGGAAACTACATTGTTCTGTAAAGCAATACGTGACACTTAAAAAATCACGAGGCTATATTAAATTAGCACAATTTACGTCATAATCTAAGGGGGATAACTATGTAGCTCGGAAAACGGCCTAAAAACGGCAAAAGATTTTCACCCTGAGCTTCCTTCTTTCACTGTGAGAAAAATGAGGGTATATTTTCAAACACTGATATTAACTGATTCTAAAATTGCATTTTGTTTCAATAAGAAAGAAAGTGACTTTGGCGTGTACACTTCCCCTTTCAAGGACCACAAGGCTGTAGCCGATGAGGATAGACTGGGTATATTTGTTTGAGCCATGGCGGCTAAACGCTTCCGGACAGTGTCAGACAGCGGGATAGAAGACACAGCAAATAATGCTTCTAAACAAACTATTTTCCTCCTTCTTTTTCTTGTCGGGGCGGTCGGGCAGCCTAGTGGTTAAAGCGTTGGCTCGTCACGCCGTAGACCCGGGTTCGATTACCGACATGGGTACAACGTGTGAAGCCCATTTCTGATGTCTCCCGCCGTGATATTGCTAAAAGCGGCGTAACACCATACTCACTCACTCACGTCATTACAGGCACAATTTTCAGTAGTCTTTCCGTATGTTTGTCATCAAGTCCAAAACAGCTGGACGAAGCGATACGTATTATTTACCCGCTTGTTAATCCACATGCCTCCCAACTGTGTATCAAATGAGTGTTGTACATATGGACAGATGAACCAATCCTAGCCCACGTGACACTAATTACGTATTCAGTCTTTTGAGTTGAAGAAAACTGTTAACTAACAAGTTATTTCAAAGTAATAATAGGCACTAATTACTGTAATATCTTTTTCCAATGTAAAGTCCTTATTTTATCAAGAACCCAAAAATTAGACAGATGGCATCCATGTGACGCCAAGTTTTGTCAGGAGCGTTGGATCCGCCATACCACATGGAATCCTATTGTCACTGGATGAGCTGTTGTCAGACGAGTAAAGCATTCGGAATCTGCCGATGTTAATCAGTAATGAATGGGTACCCGGTAGGATGTAAATCTAAAATCTTCTGGCACCACACAGACCAGACAGCATGGTTTGTGTACTCCCCAGGGAGTTTAGAACGCAGTTGAAATGCACATATATGGGAAGCAAGGTCACATGCTTGCGCATGTGTTGAGTCTTGTCCTATCAAAGAGACCTGTCATATCATTATTATTTATTGTAGAGTAGAAAGTCGAACAGAGGTGACAATAATTGAATGGTTTGGATTGGTTTGTTTGTTGTTTAACGTCGCACTCAGCAATATTCCAGCTAAATGACGGTGGTCTGTAAATAACCGAGGCTGGACCAGACAATCCAGTGATTGACATCATGAGCATCGAGCAATAATTGAATGAAACATATTTCGGCTGCAATACAGTATATTGACTCCGAGTTGACCAATTCTTGTTTTAGCCCCTTAATTCCGAGCGCATGGCAGGGTAACAACAAGTACTATCATATAACGTCTTTCAGTATGACGCAGACGGGATCGAACCCCGGACCTTCCGCTCTACCACTTGACCACGGAGTCGGTCATACACCATTCAGAACAAATCACAGTGGCTTGTATACACAACGTTACCCCAGTCCCCGTGAATAAGTGCAGCCGATATGCGGTGCAGTGGTGCCTTGTGTCAAAGTCAAGCAATGAAAAGAACCCGCGTATGGGTGATGTAATCTCAATGCTCATTGGCCAGAGCAGTCTTTGGCTTCCCTCTCACAGAAACCCATCTTCCCGAGGGAAGAGAGTTAACTGACTTTAAAAGTACAGTTTCCACCCTTGCCGAACTAGGCTGGAGTTAGTGGGCTCGATCGTAGCGCCACCAGTGTCTATTACCAGTTATGTCCCTTCTAATCACTTGTGTTTGCTTCACACAAAGTGGTGGCGCCAGGTCAGGACGATCTGATCGATAATCAAGATCTATATTGTGATAAAACGGGGTCTTACATTGTGAAATGAATCAAATCAAGTGAGCACCTTGATTAAAAACATGAAAAGATTTGGAAAATATCTGCTGACAACGAGTTAGCGGTGCACATGCTTTGCAAATCCTGCAATCGACCGAACTCTGCACGACAGTTAACGAACCGGATTTCGATTTCATTGCGCGATTTTGATTGGACTATGCATAGACTCGTTAGTCCAGCCAAAATGTAACCCCATAATACCAGCCCAGTTCGGCAAGGGTGGAAACTGGACTTTTATAGTCAGTTAATTCTCTTGCCTCGGGAAGATGACAGAAACCAGGCGTTTGCTCGATTTAATGCTTACCAATATGGACTACACGGCAAATACCGACTGTAGATATTGACAGTGCCTGGAGGAATGTTGTCTGTGCAGACCAGTGAAATACTGATGAGGTCCTAGCAACCTATACCTTTCTGATGAGATAAGTACATGGTGGTCATGTGTGTCCTGGCTGATTGTATTTCACAAATGGTGACCTGGTTGATTGTGTGTCACAATGTGTGTCACAATGTGTGTCCTGGCTGATTGTATGTCACAATGTGTGACGTGGCTGATTGCATGTCACAGTGTGTGACCTGGTTGCTTTTGTGTCACATTGCGTGACCTGGTTGATTGTATGACACCATGTGTGACGTGGCCGATTGTGTGATTGTATGACACCATGTGTGACGTGGCCGATTGTGTGTCACAGTGTGACCTGTCTGATTGTGTGTCACAATGTGTGATCTGGCTGATTGTGTGTCGCAATGTGTGATCTGGCTGGTTGTGTGTCACAGTGTGTGTGACCTGTCTGATTGTGTGTCACAGTGTGTGACCTGTCTGATTGTGTGTCACAATGTGTGATCTGGCTGAATGTGTGTCACAATGTGTGATCTGGTTGTGTTTCACAGTGTGACCTGGTTGATTGTGTGTCACAATGTGTGATCTGTCTGATTGTGTGTCACAATGTGTGACCTGGTTGATTGTGTTTCACATTGTGTGACCTGGTTGATTGTGTGTCAAAATGTGTGACCTGGTTGATTGTGTGTCACAATTGGTGACCTGGTTGATTGTGTGACGACCTGGCTGATTGTGTGTCACAATGTGTGTCCTGGCTGATTGTGTTTCACAATGTGTCTTGGCTAATTCTGTGTCTCAATGTGTGACCTGGTTGATTGTGTGTCACAATGTGTGACCTGACTGATTGTGTGTCACAATGTGTGACCTGGTTGATGGTGTCACAGTCTGTGACCTGGCTGATTGTGTGACTTGGGTGATCGTGTGTCACAGATAGTGACCTGGTTGATTGTCACAATTGGTGACCTGGTTGATTGTGTTTCACAATGTGTGACCTGGTTGATGGTGTCACAGTCTGTGACCTGGCTGATTGTGTGACTTGGGTGATCGTGTGTCACAGATAGTGACCTGGTTGATTGTCACAATTGGTGACCTGGTTGATTGTGTTTCACAATGTGTGACCTGGTTGATTGTGTGTCCCAATGTGTGACCTGGTTGATTGTGTGACACAATGTGTGACCTGGTTGATTGTGTGTCACAATTGGTGACCTGGTTGATTGTGTGACGACCTGGTTGATGTGTCACAATGTGTGTCCTGGTTGATTGTGTGTCACAATTGGTGACCTGGTTGATTGTGTTTCACAATGTGTGACCTGGTTGATTGTGTGTGACCTGGTTGATTGTGTTTCACAATGTGTGACCTGGTTGATTGTGTGGCACAATGTGTGACCTGGTTGATTGTGTGTCACAATTGGTGACCGGGTTGATTGTGTGACGACCTGGCTGATTGTGTGTCACAATGTGTGTCCTGGTTGATTGTGTGTCACAATTGGTGACCTGGTTGATTGTGTTTCACAATGTGTGACCTGGTTGATTGTGTGACGAACGGTTGATTGTGTTTCACAATGTGTGACCTGGTTGATTGTGTTTCACAATGTGTGACCTGGTTGATTGTGTGTCAGCATAAATTACTTCTCATGCCATCAATTACTGGTGGGCTCAGACTTTCATTCACATCAGTTCCAGAAATGTTTGACTGATCCGATAAAACAGGATGGAACTAATATGATATATACCTGTATATCAGTGAAGATGATTAGCTTGCTGCTGGGAACAAAACGATCATCAAAGCATTTCTTAAAGATTTACTGAAAAATATGGATTTGTTCAGAATCATAACATATATTGGACAATTACTGATTTACAGTAAAAGACTGAAATCATCAACAAGCACATCAAGGATAAGAAGGAAGCTAATCCATCAACATCAGAGACCATATAACGGCTGCAGCTGTAGGTTATCACAGATGATCACTGCCACTCTAACGAGTGTAGTTGATACACTGGGATGCTCTGCTACTGCTCTTCCGACAGTGATCAAAGCGCATGACGTCTTAAAACTTCATTTGCCCAATAAACAGTATTGTGCACTGCTTAATTGTCAGGAGTAACTCCTTCATTCCATATTCTCTGGTCAACAGATATACCTGTATACACAACACCAAAGTGCCAAACAAAGTAAGGAGCAAGTTAACTTAATAATAATATGGACAATTCAAAACAAGTCTCTTACAGATAACAAGTTATTCTTCATCGTGATTACGCATGACCATGACATTTTTTACATTGAATATGTTAAGGGATTGTAGGTTTGAGGTTTGAACTGGTCCCAACAAATGCATATACATATATTGATAACAGTCAAGTCATGGTGCCGTGTGAGGACTATGTTATGGATGGACTTGTTGCTGCAGAATCAGGTCACTTGAATATCACTAACTCATCTGCAAACAAAAGCAGTATTACACAAGTGAATATTGCAGTTATGGTTTCCATAATTAAACAGAAAGATTCTCAGAGTCACACAGTTAACAAATGTCTAGGCCTTGACTTGAACATCTTCCCAAGGCAACTGACTATAAAAGACCAGTTTCCACCTTTGCCGCACTAGGCTGGAATTTCTGGGCTCGATCGTAGCACCACCAGTGGTAATTACGAGTGATGTCCCTTCTCTGGCTCTCCTATTGACAAATCAGATTCCACCTCTCATATCACTTACACCTGCTTCAAACAAAATGGTGGTGACCAATCAAGACGATCTGACTGATAATCATATCACATGAGTACATGTACCTTGATTAAAAACATGAAAAAATTTGGAAAATATCTGTGTTGATGCCGAGTTGGTGGTACACATGCTTTGCAAATCCTGCAATTGACTGAAATCTGCATGGCAGTTTACGAACCAGATGTCGATTATTATTTTTTTCAATTTTGATTGGACTATGCATGGACTTGTTAGTCCAGCAAAAATATGACTGACTCCATACATTCCAGCCTCATCCAGCAATAGTGCAAACTGGACTTTTATAGTCAGTTAAATCCCTTGCCTTGGGAAGATGTGACTAGAAGTGAGTGTCTTCCCTGCATGTTTAGTACTGAATAGTAAAGTGGTTGTTATGTGTATTTATCATACAATGGAAAGTGTTATAATGCGATAAATCAATCTGATAAACTTGGTATCACCATCCAATAAATATGCAAATGAGGTTACCTAAGAACTACTAATAAGCCCCAAACATCAATGCAAAGTATTGTCTGATTTTCCCAGTTGAGATAGGGGTTCACATGGTGTTTGTACAGACAACCATTGCAGAAAGTCCAATGGCATAATATGATAAAATGGTCATTCACACAAACATTATATTCATTGTGTTTCTGCATTGTGAATATCCTATAACAAGAACAAAGAAATGCATACAAGAAAATAATAACAAGAATTATTCCAAACATATGATATTTACGATACAGAAACACATGCTGCTAATAATCTCTAATTACCAGGCAAATTCTAAGCAAGTATCAACACCTCTGCAGAATGATCAAACTGGTCAAACAGTAGATAACAAAGACACCTTCCTGGTGATTAGTCGGACCTGTTGAGGTATTAATATTCCTGCTCTTAGAGAAGACCTAATCACCCCTGCCAAACACCTGAAGTGTGAAGATCGATGCAGTGTCAGAAATAGGCACTAGTCCTGTAGTTAAGTTATCATAAGGACTAGTAGACATTTGTCGTTTTTAAGGGTTTTACTATACGTTATCATCATAAGAACCAGTGGGCCAAACCAGAGACCATATAATAGAGGGACGGCCCTCTAGCCTATGTGCGAAACCATCAGTGCTACGGCTTGTACTGCGCAGCCTGTCCGGAAGCGAGCAGAAACGCGTTAACTGCAGTCATCGCTGTCGCCTTTTTTTCCCATGCAAAAGATATATTTTACAAAACAAAATTACACTCATGTATTTCTTAACATTGTTAACATTACAACTGAGATTTGTTGGTGCCCTAAAGCATGTCGTTGTCACTGTATTTGATGACTGTGATCACGCTTTGTCTTTGTCCGAGAGAACAAAATGGCGCACATGTAAAATCGGCAAAAGTGCAGATTTTGATTTTCAATAACGGCCTCTAATTCGCAATGAAAGTCCTTGGTTACCAAGGTGTATAAAAAAGATATATGTTACAAATTGGCTTAGTGCCATTTACAAATTTAGGGCGGATGCGATATTTCAGATTTTGACTCCAGAAATGGGACTAAATCTGACTTTTCCCGAAATAATTACACCACAACTCTTAATTTCCGCATGCTTTCAGACGAATGTGTTCCTATCATCGGTCCTGAATTAAATAGTTTTACATTCATCACGATTTCCCCTTTGGCTTGGTACCAAAGTTATTTAGGTACGATCGGTAGTTTTTTTTGTATGATTTTTGGCGCAAGGCCATATTTTACGTCACATATTTTAAATTAAATTACCATATATAGCAGACGAAATAACATGCATTTTGTCTGTGATTATCATCCGCATATATCTTTTGAAACATTATACAAAGTGACATATTGTATGATATTAGAATTGTTTTTGTAAGACACGTATTTTTTTTACCTTTGCTTTCGCCATTTTTTCGTAAGTTTAACTTTGTTTCAGTTAGGCTTCTATCACATATCGCGCATATACTATATACTACAATACTACATATTTGTTATCTTCTGAAGATTTTGTCTGTATTAAACATGACTACATTTAATCAATTATTTATTTTATGCCGTGTAAATATTGATTATGAGCAAAATGATCTTGGCCTAAACCCAATCATAATAATGTAAATATGATGAAGGTACTACTTACTTTGTGTATTTACACAACAATAAAAACATCATACAAAAATAAAAATCCGTTACATGAAATATTTGTATTATAAAATTATCATTTGCTTTGTAAATGCCAAGAAAAAAGAAGGATTATATCGGCAGTCGTCGGGAGAGAAGTTCCAGACAACAAGGTCGAAGGTGTCAAACTTATCTCGCTCCGGCAAACCCTATTATCACTGCTAGCCCCAAACTGGCATTAACCAATAACATTTGATTCTTTCGAAGCCCATTGTCAGACACATCGAAAATTCATTTAACAACGCTCGTAGTTTAATGTGTATTTTTAATTCATTGGAATTATTAGCATTATAAAATAGTAGCGAATTTACATGAAATAAAAACATTAATATGGCGTCATTTTTTTTCTGGCTAATAGTAAAGCATTTACACCAGTCGGTGATCATGCATTTTTGCAAGTAAATCTAGTATGGACTTAATATAAGATATGAAGTTAATCTGGAGATATATTTTGTGAACATCGGGAATAGGGTGATATGTTACAAGTGTCTTCCCTGCTTCTGAATGAGTTTTATTTACACTTCCTGAGTTCCTGTGCAATTTACCGGATCGTAGTTTTCTGTGGCGTTCGTAGTAGATTTGGTATATTTGTTTATTTATAATAGTTAACAATTGCAGCATAAAATGAGATATGTAAATTGAAATAAATGTCCCGGAAGACACACATGTTCAGCAAATAATTTGCAGCCAACTGACATGTGCTAATGAGAGATATCATACAAAAATCTTTGTAATCCGCTAAGAGACGTCCTTTTATTGGATTGTCGCTGGTCGTAGTCGGAGAAATCTCGGCTAAGGGAATTAACTCTTACCCCGGATATTATGTAATATTGTTTACGTGGTTACCAGAATGGTCAGTCGTGAATGTCTGCGCATCTATTGCGCATCTGCAGCGGTACAGGGAGGTTAACAGCAGGGTGTCGGGGTGTATCAGTTACATGCCAGACCGTAGCGCTGATGGTTAGTGATAAACTGTTGGTGAGGGCCGTCCCTCTATTATATGGTCTCTGGCCAAACTGTTAGTTTCTACCACTGCTTCCTGATGATTAGTCAGATCTGTTGAGGTATTCATATCCCTGCTCTTGCAGAAAACCTAATCACCCCTGCCAAACACCTGACGTGTGACGACCGATGTACAAACCTGGGGCTGGCCTATTTGTCAGATATGATCTGCCTTGCAATCAGCTCCTTCATGATCTCATTAGCACCCCCATAGATGGGCTGGACCCTGGAGTCCACGAAGGCGCGGGCGATAGGGTACTCCAGCATGTAGCCCCACCCCCCATGAAGTTGGACACACTGGGTGGCAATCTTCTGTTGCAGATCCGAAATCCTGCAACATGGAGAGTTACTACCATGCATCATACTCTCCACATTACAGGTGAATATATATATATAGAAAAAGCACAGTAAAGTTCTAACTCCAAGGCACAATATAATAATAATTAAATAAGTGGAGTAAGATTGAACACAGTTTTAATTGGCTAGCACTTTCCACTCGTGCCACGTACGAGTCTCATCAGGCCATAACTGAATAACTACTTCATGTCCGTTATTCAGTTATGGCCCGATGAGACTCGTACGTGGCACGAGTGGAAAGCGCTAGCCAATTAAAATTGTGTTCAATCTTACTCCACTTACTTAATTTTATATTAAATGTACAAAGAATAAAAAAAGAAGTTGCTATCCTTAAAAAGTGTCATGCATTCATGTTCTCCCAACTTCTAAATGCCTATCAAAGACTTCTCAACAGGTGGTGCACATACACCCAACATGTTTCAGTCACAACGTTTTGTTTGGAGTGTTTGTTGTTTAACATCACATTCATCAATATTCAAGCCACATCATGGTTCCCTGGACAAAAGTGGGTCTGTACCATACCAACCAGTGATTGATATTATGTGCACTGTCCGTCACACAAACTTACTAACACTCCATTTGTTAAATGTAGTCTGCAGCTCATCGGAATTCTGTTATATTTGCGATGTTTCAGTAATTTTCACATGAAATTATTTACCACACAGCTGATATAAAGGTAAAGGCAGAAACTGGAACAAAATGTAACATGTATCAGCAAGTACCTCAACAAAGTGCAAAAATAATACAGATAAAATTGCAGTTAAATGTTCATGTTCAAAATTGGTTTGGAATTCTGTGAGCAACTTTACAAGACCACACAGCTGGGGTACTATCCTGTGCTGGAAGGAAGGATGTTCTACTGACCAGTATTTAGGGCCATATTCTGTGAAGGAAGGTATGTTCTACTGACCAGTATTAGGGGTCATATCCTGTGAAGGAAGGAAGGTGGTTCTACTGGCCAGTATTTGGGGTCATATCCCGTGAAGGAAGGTTTGTTCTACTGACCAGTATTTGGGGTCATATCCTGTGATGGAAGGTTTGTTCTACTGACCAGTATTTGGGGTCATATCCTGTGAAGGAAGGAAGGTTGTTCTACTGACCAGTATTTGGGGTCATATCCTGTGAAGGAAGGTTTGTTCTACTGACCAGTATTTAGGGTCATATCTTGTGAAGGAAGGGAGGTCTGTTCTACTGACCAGTATTTGGGGTCATATCCTGTGAAGGAAGGTGGTTCTATTGACAAGTATTTGGGGTCATATCCTGTGATGGAAGGTTTGTTCTACTGACCAGTATTTGGGGTCATATCCTGTGAAGGAAGGAAGGTTTGTTCTACTGACCAGTATTTGGGGTCATATCCTGTGAAGGAAGGAAGGTGGTTCTACTGGCCAGTATTTGGGGTCATATCCTGTGAAGGAAGGTTTGTTCTACTGACCAGTATTTGGGGTCATATCCCGTGAAGGAAGGTTGTTCTACTGACCAGTATTTAGGGTCATATCCTGTGAAGTAAGGTATGTCTACTGACCAGAATTTGGGGTCATATCCTGTGAAGGAAGGAAGGTGGTTCTACTGGCCAGTATTTGGGGTCATATCCCGTGAAGGAAGGTTGTTCTACTGACCAGTATTTGGGGTCATATCCTGTGAAGGAAGGTATGTCTACTGACCAGAATTTGGGGTCATATCCTGTGAAGGAAGGAAGATTGATCTACTGACCAGTATTTGGGGTCATATCCCGTGAAGGAAGGTTGTTCTACTGACCAGTATTTTGGGTCATATCCCGTGAAGGAAGGTGGTTCTACTGACCAGTATTTGGGGTCACATCCTGTGAAGGAGGGTTTGTTCTACTGACCAGTATTTGGGGTCATATCCTGTGAAGGAAGGTTGTTCTACTGACCAGTATTTGGGGTCATATCCTGTGATGGAAGGTTTGTTCTACTGACCAGTATTGGGGGTCATATCCTGTGAAGGAAGGAAGGTTGATCTACTGACCAGTATTTGGGCTCACATCCTGTGAAGGAAAGTTTGTTCTACTGACCAGTATTTTGAGTCTATCCTGTGAAGGAAGGTTGTTCTACGGACCAGTATTTGGGGTCATATCCTGTGAAGGAAGGTTTGTTCTACTGACCAGTATTTGGGGTCATATCCTGTGAAGGAAGGAAGGTCTGTTCTTCTGACCAGTATTTGGGGTCATATCCTGTGATGGAAGGTGGTTCTATTGACAAGTATTTGGGGTCATATCCTGTGATGGAAGGTTTGTTCTACTGACCAGTATTTGGGGTCATATCCTGTGAAGGAAGGAAGGTTTGTTCTACTGACCAGTATTTGGGGTCATATCCTGTGAAGGAAGGAAGGTGGTTCTACTGGCAAGTATTTGGGGTCATATCCTGTGAAGGAAGGTTGTTCTACTGACCAGTATTTGGGGTCATATCCCGTGAAGGAAGGTTGTTCTACTGACCAGTATTTGGGGTCATATCCTGTGAGGTGGTATGTCTACTGACCAGAATTTGGGGTCATATCCTGTGAAGGAAGGAAGGTGGTTCTACTGGCCAGTATTTGGGGTCATACCCCGTGAAGGAAGGTTGTTCTACTGACCAGTATTTGGGGTCATATCCTGTGAAGGAAGGTATGTCTACTGACCAGAATTTGGGGTCATATCCTGTGAAGGAAGGAAGGTTGATCTACTGACCAGTATTTGGGGTCATATCCCGTGAAGGAAGGTTGTTCTACTGACCAGTATTTGGGGTCATATCCTGTGAAGGAAGGTTTGTTCTACTGACCAGTATTTGGGGTCATATCCTGTGAAGGAAGGAAGGTTTGTTCTACTGACCAGTATTTGGGGTCATATCCTGTGAAGGAAGGAAGGTGGTTCTACTGACCAGTATTTGGGGTCATATCCTGTGAAGGAAGGTGGTTCTACTGACCAGTATTTGGGGTCATATCCCGTGAAGGAAGGTGGTTCTACTGACCAGTATTTGGGGTCACATCCTGTGAAGGAAGGTTTGTTCTACGGACCAGTATTTGGGGTCATATCCCGTGAAGGAAGGTTGTTCTACTGACCAGTATTTGGGGTCATATCCCGTGAAGGAAGGTTTGTTCTACTGACCAGTATTTCGGGTCATATCCTGTGAAGGAAGGTATGTTCTACTGACCAGTATTTTGGGTCATATCCTGTGAAGGAAGGTTTGTTCTACTGACCAGTATTAGGGGTCATATCCTGTGAAGGAAGGTGGTTCTACTGACCAGTATTTGGGGTCATATCCTGTGAAGGAAGGAAGGTTTGTTCTACTGACCAGTATTTGGGGTCATATCCTGTGAAGGAAGGTGGTTCTACTGACCAGTATTTTGGGTCATATCCTGTGAAGGAAGGAAGGTTGTTCTACTAACCAGTATTTGGCCATGGAGGCCATGCCATTGTCAAGCTTCCTCTTGTTGTGCAGCTCTAGACACTGATCAACAAATGCTCGGCCCACGCAGACATCGGTCTTCATCTCTGCCAACTTGTGCTGGATTGTCTGTACAACACAGAGCACATTTTAGCACAATAGACAATTCTTAATGTTCTTTAAAATAGCAAGAATCATGTGGATAACATTTCCAACACTACCTGCAGATTAGAGAGGGTCCTGCCAAAAGCCTTGCGTTGTTTGACGTAGGACCTCGTCTCTTCAAACATCCACTCACAGGATGCTATGCCCATGTCTGCGATGATGAGCCTCTCTTGGGGCAGCTCTCCCATCAGGTAGTAGAATCCTTTGTTCTCCTCTCCCAGCAGGGCTTCCTTCGGGAGACGCACATCCTCAAAAAACAGCTCTGCCGTATCCTGAGAATTAACAGATTTGATTTGATTGTTTGTTCGTTGTTTAAGACCGTTCTCAGCAATATTCCAGCTATATGATGGCAGTCTGTAAATAATCAAGTCTGGACCAGCCAATCCAGTGATTGACTTAATGAACATCAATCCACTTAATTGGGATATGAGGACATGCAAAAACCAAGTCAGCGAGCCTGACCACCTTACCCCGTTAGTTGCCTCTTAAGGCAAGCATGGGTTGCTGAAGACTTACTCTACCCTGGACCTTCACGGGTTTAACAGATTGGAAATCAGCGTCAGTGGTCGTATTATGTACATAAGGTTTCAGGAAACTATGTGACCTTCAATAGGCCCTCCTATCTATTTTTTAATAATATGTGTGGAATGGGTTCAAAATGAAGGCATATTGTTAGCATAGCTTCCACATTGGAACTGAATGCATTTAGTATGTGAATATTTAGTATGTGAATATTGAGTATGAGATATGACCAAATATGTTTGGCTGCCGATGCTTTCAATTCAAATGGCTGCCATGTGGTGAATCCAATGCGAACCACTGCTACAACGATCGCATTTGAAACCTTTCCTTCGCACTTGGTAATAAAGGCGTGTAGTTTAATCGGTAAATTCATTCTTTCCATGATACATATCACAATATCATTGTTCATGCTTGATCTATCGGGTGATTTCAAATAAGGATTTTCATCTTATGTTTAATGTTATTTTCTTGCCAAACGCCTTCACTGCCCTACAGCATGCATCTGCAGCCCCAAGATGGCTGCGTATTTATTGACTGAGTAAACATCATATTGTACCAGCATCTTGTTTTGTTCCATTAATGAACTTCAATTCATACCTTTGCGTATCAGATTGCTTCTGAAGTCAAACTTTAGAATGATACAATATATCATGAAACCTTTCCCAATATGGCCTTGTGCATCGTAAAATATTGGGATACTCTTGAAACCTCCAATACACATTCCTACTTGGTAGCTATACAAACACTATTGCTCATATTAATTCTGATAATGCTTGTTTATTCAAATAGATGGGAGGGCCTGAGTCACAGCTGCTATGAAATGTTGGACTCATGTATTTAACAAAATTTAACGTTTATAAGTTTTTGACTTCCAGCTCATGAACCTTCTTTGAAAGCTCCATACACTGATGGTTGTTCATAAGACTGTTAAGAGTTTGTTCCTGCCAATACCTGAGCCTTCATCCCCATCTTCTCCAGTTTGCGACCTTTGATGAACCCAGGAGTCCCAGCATCCACCAGGAACAGACTGATGCCATGGGCGGCCGACTTGGCGCTGGTGTTGGTCAGTGCCACTACGATGACCAGGTCACACATGTAACCATTGGTGATGAACACCTTGCTGCCATTGAGAATGTAGTCCGATCCATCCTTCTTGGCATTGGTTCTCACTCCCTGTAAATCACTGGAAGAATCAAGAAGGAAGATTATTTGTGTGAGTGGCATTTACAGTCAAGATGAACAGGACAAGTTCTTATGGATAAACAACGTAATTACAATTCAGTGTATTTTCCAGATTTGGTGCTGAATAATAGCCATGTAAATAACAATATATGACAAATACTTTTATTCTGACACCAAAACTCAATCGGTTCACATGAGGTGAGATGAGTAATGTTGTGTTGAAGAATACTGCATCTACATAACGACGTGCATGCACATGTATGTGTGTGTATGGGTGCTTGTACTAGTCTGGAGGTATGTCGGTTTTATAGTGCCAGGCGGCTAGCCCACTGAGACATCATGCCGCAGTTTAACATGAATACCCCACACAGACAAAGTCTACTGACTCCGAGCCAGCCAGTCCTTGTGTAATCCCCTTAAAGCCGAGCACCGGGCAAGATAACAATAAGTACCATGTATTGACTTCATTGCTATGACACGGCCAGGAGATCAAACCACAGACCTTCAGCTCTCTGAAGGGACGCCTTATCCACTAGACCATGGAGGCAGTCTGGTCCACATGAGCCACATCAGACAAAGTAATCAGGTGGTATATTCTGTTGCTGGAGCCAGAATTGAAATTTCCTGACCAGTGAACTATAAATAGTCGGCATCCTGGCATTGACATAATTTCTATTTTGCCATAAAAATACAATAAATCTGACCTGCCGGCACCAGGTTCTGTCATAGCGATGGCGCCGATGCAGGTGCCCGCCATCATCCGAGGAATGTACTTCTCCACCTGTTCCCTGCTGCCGTAGTTGGTGATGTAGGGCATGACGATGTCCGAGTGTAACGCGAACCCTACACCAGAGTTGTTACCGTACATTCTACAAAAGAGAATGTAGTTTAATGCTGCAGTCAGATATATTCCAGCAAGTTCATGTAAACAATCAAGTACTGACCAGACATATCGGTGGTAGATATTAATGTAACATTAACATAAAGCAACATCCCTTGTCATCATAATGCGATCACACGTATCAACTAACAGCGGTAGAAACTAACATTGTTAACACTAGTCCTTCTAATGATAACATATAGCAAAACCTCTTAAAAGAGGCAAATTTCTACTAGTCCTTCACTATTGGGCTGTTTGGAAAGGACTACAGTTTTGGTTTGTTGTTTTACGCCGCACTCATCAATATTCCAGCTTTATGACGGCGGTCTGTAAATAATCTAGTCTGGACCAGACAATCCAGTGATTGATATCATGAGCATCGATCCACGCAATTGGGATCAATGACATGCATCAACTAAGTCAGCGAGCCTGACCACCCGATCCCGTTAGTCGCCTCTTACGACAGCCATATTCGCCTTTTACGGCAAGCATGGGTTACTGAAGACCAATTCTACCCTGGATCTTCACGGGTCGGAAAGGACTACAGGACTAGTGCCAATATATAAGGCTGACTTAAGTCAACACAAACAGGCAGCGGTAAATCACTTTCATACCAAGGTGTACCAGTCGTGTACGTCGATTTTGTGAAACGTTCTCTGTTTGGAGATATGTGCGATAGTCCAACCATATTTACTACAGGAAAGTGGGCTTGATGTGGCAAGGGGGAAAACACGACTTTGATAAAAAGGCTAGTGGACGCTCTTGCCTCAGGAAGATGCATGTCGGACTGATTGGGTGTTATGATAGAGCTACATCAAACTTAGGCCTGATATACAAATACAGCAGTCCTCGGCTCCGTTCCACAAAGCGATTGTAGTGCTACAATCATCGAAACACTCATACTTTAACATAGACTTAGAATGGTGGTAGCGCTATGCTCCCTTTGTGAAACGCGACTCTGGGCTCCATTTCACAAAGTGATTGTAGGGCTATGACTGGGAATGTATCAGAATTACTAATTTTAAGGTCCTTATGGGCAATAGAAATTGAATCAAAGGGTCCCCTAAATCTGTATCTGTCTTAACATTAGGACCATGAAACTAACCCCTGACTTTCAAGTCTAATGATAGTACTACTCATGTCTATATAAGTAATCCACTTCATGTGGTACCAGTCTATGTAATGGTTACAGAGCAGTGCATGTTCCTCCGACAGTATCATTTCTTCTCAGGTTTAGGTACAAACTCACTGTTCTTCCCAGGTAATGGCTGTTGAGAGGACGTCGCCACCAATACCTCCCGCTGTCTCTGGAGTCTGAATGCCCAGCAACCCGTGTGTCCCAGCCTGTTCCCACACCTACAACACAGGGAAACAGTGTGAACACCCAGCAACCCGTGCGTCCCTGCCTGTTCCCACACCTACAACACAGGCAAACAGTGTGAACACCCAGCAACCCGTGCGTCCCTGCCTGTTCCCACACCTACAACACAGGCAAACAGTGTGAACACCCAGCAACCCGTGTGTCCCTGCCTGTTCCCATACCTACAACACAGGCAGACAGTGTGAACACCCAGCAACCCATGTGTCCCAGCCTGTTCCCACACCTACAACACAGGGAAACAGTGTGAACACCCAGCAACCCGTGCGTCCCTGCCTGTTCCCACACCTACAACACAGGCAAACAGTGTGAACACCCAGCAACCCGTGCGTCCCTGCCTGTTCCCACACCTACAACACAGGCAAACAGTGTGAACACCCAGCAACCCGTGTGTCCCTGCCTGTTCCCATACCTACAACACAGGCAGACAGTGTGAACACCCAGCAACCCGTGCGTCCCTGCCTGTTCCCACACCTACAACACAGGCAGACAGTGTGAACACCCAGCAACCCGTGCGTCCCTGCCTGTTCCCACATAAACAACACATCAAATGTGTCGCCACACAAAGTTTGTGCATGTACACTGTATGAGAAATACAGTGAAAAAGAAAGAAAAGAATCTTGAGGACATTTTGGATGACAGTCAGTGTCCTAGCTAATGAAACAATGTGAAACCATGGGGATCATGTCTTCCATCCCTGGGAGTCATGTCTTCCAACCCTGGTCCCAGGTGACTCCATGCCTTGCTACACTTAAAAGTAGGATCATCAGCCAGTAACTTTACAACGTAAGTACAAGGTATCATGACCGGACTGGAGCCATGCAGGGCAAGGTGGAGACTATTCAGTGTGTTAACATCCTGACAACAATATGTACAATAACACATACAACTTGTCTCACCTCTCTGCTAACTTGGCCATCCTTCTCCCACCTGGAAAAGAAAGCAGTCGGCTACACAAAACACTAAAATATCATCATATTCTAGGTTCCTCAGGACAGTGGACAGAAAGCAAATCATAAATAGACATTGATGATTGGTTGGTTTCAATTGTGAAATCTGTTATTAATAATTAGACTGGATGAAATACAAATATAACATCATAAAAAGCATAAAAACTTTCAAGACCAAAGCATTTTTTTTGTGTGTTGCAGATTCAAGTAAATTATCGTTAAAGACTAAGAGTTTTGCTATCTTGTGCATTGATAATTACAGCAAGGATAATGAAAAAGGAAGCTATTAATTTCAGCTATTTCTAATCTCATTCATTATTGATCATCAATCAATCATGGAACCACATGATAAATGTTGAAATTTTAACCAACACTCGTACATCATGATATACAAAGAGTGTGACACTGAAAGAAAACAATTTGTGCTTGTACATACTGAGCATGGTGAGGAGTTACCTCCTCTTGGAAAAACCTTCTGACACTTTGGCGGAAGATGTCGTGCTCTTCTGAGAAGATAGCTCTTGTTCCAATATCCATCAAAGATGAAGCTTGAGCAGGTTCAATCCGATGTTCACCAGTACCACTATAAAACGGCAAACGACAAATAATGTATTCTTGTTATGAATCAGTTCTTTTGCAATCATCATAATTATTGGAGCATAGGTTCAATATCAATTACACGTCGCAATATTGCCTGATGTTAGACCATTAGGACTCATTCAGGACATTCAATTATTGTAACTTTACAAAGGAGAGAGTTAATGAATTGTGTATAACACATCAGTAATTGCATAGCTAATAATGCCAAACAAAGGCAAGAACAGCAGTGTGTATTCATGTATCTCCAGTATTGGCCTACCTTTAGAATTCAGCTCCACAAAAGATTACAAACACGTCACAATACCTCATGAAGTAATTTGTGGAATTTGAAAGACACACTGGCAACACAAAGCCCTTTAATGATAATCTAGAAACAGAGTTGGTGGAGTCATCATCCTCAAGAGACATTGTGCTGCTGTATTTTAAAGGTGCTCCCCAGTATTTGTATCTCTCAGTGACGAAGTTCTCAAAAGCATAATGACAATCAATAATTTCAACATGTTTTAAATGATAAACATGATAAAAACATGCTTTTGAGTTAATATAGATCTATGTGTTATCATCAGAAGGATGTGGACATCTATGCAAAAAAAAACCAATACTATTTATCTGCCAATCTACTCGTTTTAAGGAAATAAAACCACCTCCAAAAGCAAACAGTTTAACATTTGCACACGCCAAATTACACAAGTACAAAACTTAATGCGATTATAATTACTTTAGTTTCTAACAGGGTTAGCATTATCTACCATGTTCACATATTTCTAAAAAAAGAAATTATCAACTACCACAGACTTTTAGATTGTAAAATTTCTGTGAGTCAGTGAGTTAACTTACTAAAAACGAGTCTCCAATTCAACACTAATGCAGTTATATTTTAAGGCACATAAGTAAATGTAATATTTTTGCTACTTTTGGGGGGCCCATATAAACATTTTGGTTTATTTCAGATAAAAATTCATCAAATTCATTTTAATAGTATTTGAAAAGAATCAACAGACGCTTCTGTATCTTCATTGTCTATTGATAGCCGTATGGGTAATATGAGGTCATCTCACATGTGACACCATTACTGTTTTGAATAAACAGAAGTTGTCCGAGATTGACAAACCTAGTACAGTGATCGCTCGCTATTGCGCTACCAATGGGGTCCAAATAATTGGTGGGCGTTATAGACGATGAGCCGTTTAACCGAGGCCGAGGCGGGGGAGCGCGCTCGGCAAATCTCAAATCATCAATATAGGCCTATGTGTTTATCTCACGTCACGTCAAAATAGTATATATTTTTATGGACCTAGATCTACCTGTAATATCATTCATTTATTAAATCTGTCATATTTCACAATGTCTGAAATACGTATTCCATTCTAATTTATCATTTTTTATCAATAAATTAAAAAATTATTCACTATTTCCCGCGATGTTATTGAAAATAAAATTCTCGGACACACATTTCGACAACGGGTCCGCATCGAACATGTCAAAGAGCAAAATAAAGACCATTTTAAGCAAATCTTTAAATATATTATACAAAGTGATAAATAAAATCAACAAAAATATATCTAAAAGTAATCAAACTTACATCTAAGTTATTATTTCCATCGTTTCGTGCGATCGCGTGTAATGTAAGTCAAATGACATCTCGGCTTTCGTCGCCTTGAATTCTCGGCTCGGACACAACGTTTAATGCAAAAATATATGCATGAAAAATCTTTGTCACAGCTCGTAACCTAGCACGATACATTCGCGAAGTTCCATATTTTTAATATATATCGTGATTTCCTGCTTAAAACGTTCAGAATAACACGATTTAACAAAAAATCTTTCGCTAACTTCTGAAATTTATCAAACACGAGCTTTGTATCACAGCTTGATTGTAACATAATCGGGGTGAACTGGGATTCGAACCCAAAACCATAGGTTTCTGGCGTGCCCAAGGGACGCAACTCTGCACAGCAAATTGCGGCGCCTTAGACAACTGGGCCACCCGTGCCCCCTGTAACAGTTAGTAATGGTTTGAATTTCTGTTAATCAGCGTTACTGTAATTCGCTTTAGATTTCTATGCAAAATATATAAATATTTTGTTACTTATAATGTAAACAAATCTAGTCAGCTGAATTTATAGTGTAGTCAATATATTTGTCAAGGACAATTATCAGTATTGTTTTAAAAATATTTTCCAATTCCTGTCAAAGCTATTTCCAAGTATTTTTATATATTTTCAATTTATTATTTCACACATTATTATACAATTGTCCCAACTAAATTAATGTTTTATTACCTTATTATCAATAATTTCACATATATAATGCATTTAGAAGCATTCTGTCAAAGTTCAATGCAATATTGTCATAATAGTAACTTAGTGAATTTTCAAATGTAATCCAAGGGAGATAACTATGCATTCACTATTGCTCAAAGGTTGCATAACCTGTATCTGCTTAATGCTATGTGTAAGTCTAAGTTATGTACTGAATTTCAATTTTATTGTTAATTGTTAATTATCCTTTTGATTTGTCAGATCTCATGTGACGCCATTACTGTTCTGAATAAACAGAAGTTGTCCGAGATCGAATTCTTCATTTTGAATTCTTTCAGGTAGGCTAATAAATACCTTTCGAAGGTTACACCGTCCGGGGGGTGTAACACTTACACGCAAACATATTAGGAAAATATTGTATATACGGATGTAAGTTAAATTTTTTTACACTCTTTCAAGACAAACGTGAAAACAGTGCTTGAACATGTTACAACAGAAGACTGAACTTTGGACCATGAAAATACAAATTCTGCATTTCCGTTTTCTTTTGCGTTTCTATTCACAAACAAAATATTTTACCTGCTCTCAAGAGTATCTGCAGATGACTTATTTCGTACACAAGATAAGGCAAAGGCATGGTTCGTCCGTGGCTTCAACAAGCTAGCCTGCTTCACAAGTTTGCACAAAACTTGCCGTCCACTCGCCATTTTCGTCTGCTTCTGAATGACGTCCCTTTGGTTTTACAAGCTTCTCACAGCGATAGCCCTAGACTGGTTCCCGTTCGTTCCTGCGACAGACTGGTACAGACAATTAGAAAGCGGTTCCTTATTAGAAAGCGGAACAAGTGCAGCGACACCAAGCGGATGATCCGGGAACCAGTCTACGATAGCCCGTTCGCGGAACCAATTCTGCCAAGCTCCTCACAGCGATAGCCCGTCCGCAGAGTGGTCGCACATTAAAAACGAGGATATTTTTGTGTATGCTTCAAAGTTGTATGTCAATCGATCATTCATTTATTCCATTCTTATCAATGTGATATGTTGTGTCCCTTAATCTAAATTCCAACAATGGAAAAAATATCGCAAAAACGCATTGTACTGGACTACTGGTAAACAGTTACTGTCAAACAAGAAAGCGTTCAAGCGCTAAGCTTAATGCGTGAACCAACGGTGATACCAGTTTCGTTGTAGATGCGACGCATACGATAAGCTGGGCCCCGTCTCTAATATCACAATATACGCATACGACTGGTTCCCGTCTCCCTATGCGCATCGTCAACTTGCGCCAATATAATTGTGATATGAGAGACGGGGCCCAGCTCACGGCATTTGGTAGTCTCTTTGCGCTTTGTCAATTCTTATCTATAGACGGATCCCAGCATACTAACCCCAAGCTCGTGCCAGCGAATCAAGGTGTTGTGCTCTGGGACAGAGTTTCAACCACACTGTCATACCGGCGTTGACATTGGTCCAGAGGTTTTGTTCGGGAGAGGCGGAAACTCGTGACAAGTATCTGAAATGGTGAGACAATATTGTGTCGTCAGGTTTACTGTGCTGTGTAGCATGTAGGAGCTTACAGGTTCATATGTTTCAGGAAAATATTGATGCAACAAGAGACATTATCGATATATACTATATGGGCTCTGGTGCAAGTTGCAACCTACACAAGATTTAGATTTCTCATTTCTCTTACAAAGACTGGAATCAGAGTGATAAATGGATGAGGAGAAGTCATGACTTAGCATTAGTTTTAGCTTAGTAGTGTAGTATTTCTTCCCCATGCAACATTCAATACATTCAGCGTAATTTGTCAAAAGAAAATAGTGTTATTAATTTTAGTGTCCTTGAGATAATAACCGAAAGTAGAAAGGGACATCTGTTCTTGCTGCAGTGTATGCCAATCACTCCAGTGAGTGAAGTAGTGTTAATCTCAGATTGGCATCGTGTATATATATATGAGAGTGATAAGCCTCAGCTGAGGTGTATGATGCTGTCCTCTGTTTAAGTCTTCATGTCTGTCTGAGACAAAGACATGAATGTTGGGATTCTATTAAGATACCACAAACAGTGAGTGTTTGGTGGACATACTTTACTCCCTAGGCAAGATGGCTGAACACACAAAGTTGTGACGTCATGCGCATGACGTTATACAAATGACGTCATACACAAATGCTGCTAGTAGTGAGACTACTTGTCACATCCGCTGTTCCCTTTGTCAGTAAGGCTGGGCATGAAGTCATCTCAGATCTTTTCACAGATGACATCCTTACCTTGTCAGTGTGGCAGGGCATGGAGTCATCTCAGATCCTTTTTACAGATGACATCCTTACCTTGTCAGTGTAGCAGGGCATGGAGTCATCTCACAAATTACACCCTTACCTTGTCAGTGTAGCAGGGCATGGAGTCATTCTACAGATGACATCCTTACCTTGTCAGTGTAGCAGGGCATGGAGTCATCCCACAGATGACATCCTTACCTTGTTAGTGCAGCAGGGCATGGAGTCATCTCATAGATGACATCCTTATCTTGTTAGTGTAGCAGGGCATGGAGTCATCTCATAGATGACATCCTTACCTTGTCAGTGTAGCAGGGTGTGGAGTCATCTCATAGATGACATCCTTACCTTGTCAGTGTAGCAAGGCGTGGTGTCATCCCACAGATGACATCCTTACCTTGTTAGTGCAGCAGGGCATGGAGTCATCTCAAAGATGACATCCTTACCTTGTTAGTGTAGCAGGGCATGGAGTCATCTCATAGATGACATCCTTACCTTGTCAGTGTAGCAGGGCATGGAGTCATTCTACCAATGACATCCTTACCTTGTTAGTGTAGCAGGGTGTGGAGTCATCTCATAGATGACATCCTTACCTTGTCAGTGTAGCAGGGCATGGAGTCATTCTACAGATGACATCCTTACCTTGTTAGTGTAGCAGGGCATGGGGTCATCTCACAAATGACATCCTTGCCTTGTTAGTGTAGCAGGGTGTGAAGTCATCCCACAGATGACATCCTTACCTTGTTAGTGTAGCAGGGTGTGGAGTCATCTCATAGATGACATCCTTATCTTGTCAGTGTAGCAGGGCATGGAGTCATCCCACAGATGACATCCTTACCTTGTCAGTGTAGCAGGGCATGGAGTCATCCCACAAATGACATCCTTACCTTGTTAGTGTAGCAGGGTGTGAAGTCATCCCACAAATGACATCCTTACCTTGTTAGTGCAGCAGGGTGTGAAGTCATCTCACAGATGACATCCTTACCTTGTTAGTGTAGCAGGGCATGGAGTCATCCCACAAATGACACCCTTATCTTGTTAGTGTAGCAGGGCATGGAGTCATCCCACAGATGACATCCTTACCTTGTCAGTGTAGCAGGGCATGGAGTCATCTCACAGAAGACATCCTTACCTTTTCAGTGTGGCAGGGCATGGAGTCATCCCACAAATGACATCCTTACCTTGTTAGTGTAGCAGGGCATGGAGTCATCCCACAAATGACACCCTTATCTTGTTAGTGTAGCAGGGCATGGAGTCATCCCACAGATGACATCCTTACCTTGTCAGTGTAGCAGGGCATGGAGTCATCTCACAGAAGACATCCTTACCTTTTCAGTGTGGCAGGGCATGGAGTCATCCCACAAGTGACATCCTTACCTTGTTAGTGTGGCAGGGCGTGGAGGCATCTCAGATCCTTTCACTTCAGTCACTCTTTCTCTTTTCTTTAAGTAAATAGCAAGAAAACTATACATTAAAGCTTCCTCCTCCTTGTCGGCCTTGTTACTACCGTACACACCTGCAGAGGTCCGGGGCAGAAGAGGTAGAATAACCACTGCTTGCTGTAAGAGGTGGCTCTGCTTGCTGTAAGAGGTGACTCTGCTTGCTGTAAAAGGTGACTCTGCTTGCTGTAAAAGGTGACTCTGCTTGCTGTAAAAGGTGACTCTGCTTGTCGTAAGAGGCGACTAACAGGACTTGGTTGATGCAAGTCATGTATCCCAGTTGTGTAGATTGATGTTTGTGGTGTCAATCATTGGTCAGACAACAAACAAACTTGTTACCAGTGGTATGCAAGATATAACTATATCATCATGAATTGGGAATATTTGTTTGTTTGTCTTGTTTGTTTAACTCTGCAGTCAGCAATATTCTAGCTATATGACACTATGTAACCATGGAATATTACTGAGTGCCATAAAACATGATTCACCGATTCAATCACTTTATTTTCCAGGCGTCACCTACAAAAGAAACGATCTTGGCCACAGCTAAGAAATTCATCTCTTTCATCAATAAATGTCCATCTCCATTTCACGGTCAGTGGAACTAGAAATTAGGCATGCAAACATTTCTGGATAGTTCCTTGTTATCAGTAATCCCAAGCACATTCATTCTTTTATGGTTTCAAACAGCCCATCGTTAATTGTCCTATTGTGAAGTCGACTGTATGGGGCTGTTGTATATTTTGGGACCAGGGCCCCATTTCACAAAGCGATCCAAGTGCTAAGGTGATCACTCCTCCCATACTTTAACATTAAGGACAACAGTAGCCCTACAATTGCCTTGTGGAATGGGGCCCTGCAATACCTTGGCCTGGAGTGTCCTGTGATGTCCCACGCAGTAAGCCCTGTAGGGAGCTGGTTAATTGGGCTCAACTCTGTTGCTTGGCCTGGAGTGTCCTGTGATGTCCCACGCAGTAAGCCCTGTACGGAGCTGGTTAATTGGGCTCAACTCTGTTGCTTGTCGTGGAGGACCACTAACTTGGATCAGGTGGAAAGACTGGGTGACTTGGAACTTAACACTAGCCCACTAGCCCAGGGCTAGTACACATTCCTGCAGACTGGTACAAGCTTCCCCATTGTGTTAACACTACGAGAGCACTTTATCTCTACCGGGGCTAGTAATATTTTTGAGCTAATTCTAACCTTGCTTGGTGTGTTATGGGGCATCGTACATTGGGCCAACAGAGTGGAATGATGCTCATTATATCAACCACTGGATTATTCAGTTCAGACTATTGTTTAAAGTTTAAAGTTACTGTGACATAGCTGGAAACATGCTTTACACCTGACTGTGAGTTACATGTGTCACCAACATGGTGTGCAGGAGTTTACGATCTGAACGGACGAGGGGTGTACGTTAGGGCTGCAATGAATACACTAAGAGGCGAATATGATTCGCATCACGTATATAGGGTAACATATAGAATATTAATTCACAAATTCAATAACAAGTCAGCATTTGATGTATTATTTGTCACATTCAGTGAAACAATAACAGCATAAATTATTTGACATTGTTTGTTAATTATTTATATATTGTACATTTATATACTGCACTTATCCAGGTTCTAGTATCAGCTCAAATGCGACAATGACCAGTGACCACAATACTGTCAAATTAAATATTATGAGAGTGTTGTTTTTGAAGAAATCTATGCATATAATATGTTCTTATGGATATTTTTAGGTACAGGGTATGTAAATGCACATGATTGCATATTCATAAATATTCGATTCTAGTGGCCACATTTACCGAATTCATGCGAGTGAATTGTAACAGCCATAGTGTACATGACGATCAGATTGTAAAATCCCCACACTCCACTTGACACATGCAATACCTTAATCCTATGTTCACAAGTAAAAAGACTTCTGACATATGGTTATGTGACAATAGATCTGCTTTATGACCGCCGGTGGTTACAGTATCATGTATGGTAACGCAAATGTCAACAGGCCAAGTATGACGTGACAAGCAAATGACGTCATTTGAAAGACAATGATGTCTTGATGTCCGTTCAGGGCAGTTGACCGACTTTTATGGGTTTTAACAAGATGCAAACTGGCCAATCAGATAGCAGGATTTTATTTTGAGTAACTATAAAGATATGTAACGGATCGGGTGGTCAGATTCACCAACTTTGTCGTTACATCGTGTCCCAATTGTGTAGATTGATGCTCATGATGTTAGTCAGTGGATTGTTTGGTCCAGACTTGGTTATTTAAATACCTGAGTCAAATCGATGGAATATTGCTGAGTGCGGCATTTAACAAACAAAACAAAACAAACACTGAAGATGATTGTTTGCTGCAGCTGTGGATGAAGTGAGGAAGAGGCTGGTGGCTGCTGGATTCAAGGAGCTGAGGGATGCGGAACACTGGTCCATCAAACCAAACAACAAGGTATGGGGCAGAGGGATGCGGAACACTGGTCCATCAAACCAAACAACAAGGTATGGGGCAGAGGGATGCAGAACACTGGTCCATCAAACCAAACAACAAGGTATGGGGCAGAGGGATGCAGAACACTGGTCCATCAAACCAAACAACAAGGTATGGGGCAGAGGGATGCAGAACACTGGTCCATCAAACCAAACAACAAGGTATGGGGCAGAGGGATGCAGAACACTGGTCCATCAAACCAAACAACAAGGTAAGGGGCAGAGGGATGCGGAACACTGGTCCATCAAACCAAACAACAAGGTAAGGGGCAGAGAGATGCGGAACACTGGTCCATCAAACCAAACAACAAGGTATGGGGCAGAGGGATGCGGAACACTGGTCCATCAAACCAAACAACAAGGTATGGGGCAGAGGGATGCGGAACACTGGTCCATCAAACCAAACAACAAGGTAAGGGGCAGAGGGATGCGGAACACTGGTCCATCAAACGAAACAAGGTATGGGGCAGAGGGATGCGGAACACTGGTCCATCAAACCAAACAACAAGGTAAGGGGCAGAGGGATGCGGAACACTGGTCCATCAAACCAAACAAGGTAAGGGGCAGAGGGATGCGGAACACTGGTCCATCAAACCAAACAACAAGGTAAGGGGCAGAGGGATGCGGAACACTGGTCCATCAAACCAAACAACAAGGTAAGGGGCAGAGGGATGCGGAACACTGGTCCATCAAACCAAACAACAAGGTATGGGGCAGAGGGATGCAGAACACTGGGCCATCAAACCAAACAACAAGGTAAGGGGCAGAGGGATGCGGAACACTGGTCCATCAAACCAAACAACAAGGTAAGGGGCAGAGGGATGCGGAACACTGGTCCATCAAACCAAACAACAAGGTATGGGGCAGAGGGATGCGGAACACTGGTCCATCAAACCAAACACAAGGTATGGGGCAGAGGGAGGCAGAACACTGGTCCATCAAACCAAACAACAAGGTAAGCGGCAGAGGGATGTGGAACACTGGTCCATCAAACCAAACAACAAGGTAAGGGGCAGAGAGATGCGGAACACTGGTCCATCAAACCAAACAACAAGGTAAGGGGCAGAGGGATGCGGAACACTGGTCCATCAAACCAAACAACAAGGTAAGGGGCAGAGGGATGCGGAACACTGGTCCATCAAACCAAACAACAAGGTAAGGGGCAGAGGGATGCGGAACACTGGTCCATCAAACCAAACAACAAGGTAAGGGGCAGAGGGATGCGGAACACTGGTCCATCAAACCAAACAACAAGGTATGGGGCAGAGGGATGCAGAACACTGGTCCATCAAACCAAACAACAAGGTATGGGGCAGAGGGATGCAGAACACTGGTCCATCAAACCAAACAACAAGGTATGGGGCAGAGGGATGCGGAACACTGGTCCATCAAACCAAACAACAAGGTATGGGGCAGAGGGATGCGGAACACTGGTCCATCAAACCAAACAACAAGGTATGGGGCAGAGGGATGCGGAACACTGGTCCATCAAACCAAACAACAAGGTAAGGGGCAGAGGGAACATGGAGAATTTCCAACAAAAACAGCACAAACTAAATCCGCTTGTTGTGATCAGGTGTTGTAGCACCACTAGCAACATGCTGTGTGAAAATACATGATGTGCCATCTTCCTGAGTCAAGGGAGTTAACTGACTATAACAGTTCAGTTTCCACCCTTGTTGAACTAGGCTGGAATTATGGAGTTTAAATTTGGCTGGACTAACGAATCTATGCATAGCATGTGAACCGTCTACTTAGCTTGGACAGATATTTTCCAAATCTTTCCATGTGTTTAGTCAAGGTGCTCACGTGATTTGATGCACTTTGCAAAGTTAGACCTGTTTTATTACAACATAGATCTTGATTATCCATCAGATTGTCATGACTGGGTGCCGTCTTTTTGTGTGAAGCAAACGCAAGTGATATGAGAGGTGGAATCTGATTGGTCAATATGAGAGACATAGAAGGGGCATAACTCGTAATAGCCACTGATGGCACTACGATCGAGCCAAGAAATTCCAGCCTTGTTCGGCAAGGGTGGAAACATTTACAGTCAGTTAACTCCCTTGCCTCTGAAAGATGAACTACACCAACATGAACTAGGAATCATGATAGCAGTGATACTGAGAAATTAGTGCATCATCCATACAGACTTTCATTAATCAGTGCCTACAAAAGGTCAACAGCATAGAGTGTCCGCGCCGGAGAGAGGAAGGTCCGGGATTCGGCTCGGAGTCAGTATACTGTGTCTGAGTGGGGTATTCATGTTAAACTGCGGCATGGTATCTCAGTGAGCTAGCACTATAAATTGGCATCAGTCCAGACTAGTACAAGCAGCCACACACACACACATGAATGCATGTCGCTATATAAGTGCAATAATCTTGGACGCGACGGTAACCCAATTTCACCTCACCTCAACAGCAGAACAAATAACTCTAATTGTAGATTTGCTGTGCCTACCCTACAGCAACCCTCTCAGAAAAGTGTTGTTGAATTCGTGTTCAGGAAGGAAAGTAGACAAATGATGCAGCAATCATTAAATTAATGATGTTACTTCTTTCTTCTGCATCTTGTTAAATGAGATCCACTTTCCAAAACCATCTCAACTTGTTTGTCATGAAACGTTTGTAGATTTTGTCAGCTGAGGTTTCGGATAATGATGACTGTTATGTTGTGTGTTTCAGTATGTTTCAGATAATGATGACTGTTATGTTGCGTGTTTCAGTATGTTTCGGTATGTTTCAGATAATGATGAATGTGATGTGGTGTGTTTCAGATAATGATAAATGTTATGTTGTGTGTTTCAGTATGTTTCAGATAATGATGAATGTTATGTTGTGTGTTTCAGTATGTTTCAGATAATGGTGAATGTTATGTTGTGTGTTTCAGTATGTTTCAGATAATGATGAATGTTATGTTGTGTGTTTCAGTATGTTTCAGATAATGATGAATGTTATGTTGTGTGTTTCAGTATGTTTCAGATAATGATGAATGTTATGTTGTGTGTTTCAGATAATGATGACTGTTATGTTGTGTGTTTCAGATAATGATGACTGTTATGTTGTGTGTTTCAGTATGTTTCAGATAATGATGAATGTTATGTTGTGTGTTTCAGTATGTTTCAGATAATGGTGAATGTTATGTTGTGTGTTTCAGTATGTTTCAGATAATGATGAATGTTATGTTGTGTGTTTCAGTATGTTTCAGATAATGATGAATGTTATGTTGTGTGTTTCAGTATGTTTCAGATAATGATGACTGGTATGTTGTGTGTTTCAGTATGTTTCAGATAATAATGAATGTGATCTTGTGTGTTTCAGTATGTTTCAGATAATGATAAATGTTATGTTGTGTGTTTCAGTATGTTTCAGATAATGATGACTGTTATGTTGCGTGTTTCAGTATGTTTCGGTATGTTTCAGATAATGATGAATGTGATGTGGTGTGTTTCAGATAATGATAAATGTTATGTTGTGTGTTTCAGTATGTTTCAGATAATGATGAATGTTATGTTGTGTGTTTCAGATAATGATGACTGGTATGTTGTGTGTTTCAGTATGTTTCAGATAATGATGAATGTGATGTTGTGTGTTTCAGATAATGATGACTGTTATGTTGTGTGTTTCAGATAATGATGACTGTTATGTTGTGTGTTTCAGTATGTTTCAGATAATGATGAATGTTATGTTGTGTGTTTCAGTATGTTTCAGATAATGGTGAATGTTATGTTGTGTGTTTCAGTATGTTTCAGATAATGATGAATGTTATGTTGTGTGTTTCAGTATGTTTCAGATAATGATGAATGTTATGTTGTGTGTTTCAGTATGTTTCAGATAATGATGAATGTTATGTTGTGTGTTTCAGTATGTTTCAGATAATGATGACTGTTATGTTGCGTGTTTCAGTATGTTTCGGTATGTTTCAGATAATGATGACTGTTATGTTGTGTGTTTCAGTATGTTTCAGATAATGATGACTGTTATGTTGCGTGTTTCAGTATGTTTCGGTATGTTTCAGATAATGATGAATGTGATGTTGTGTGTTTCAGTATGTTTCAGATAATGATGAATGTTATGTTGTGTGTTTCAGATAATGATGACTGGTATGTTGTGTGTTTCAGTATGTTTCAGATAATGATGAATGTGATGTTGTGTGTTTCAGTATGTTTCAGATAATGATGAATGTTATGTTGTGTGTTTCAGTATGTTTCAGATAATGATGAATGTGATGTTGTGTGTTTCAGTATGTTTCAGATAATGATGAATGTTATGTTGTGTGTTTCAGTATGTTTCAGATAATGATAAATGTGATGTTGTGTGTTTCAGTATGTTTCAGATAATGATGAATGTTATGTTGTGTGTTTCAGCATGTTTCAGATAATGATGAATGTGATGTTGTGTGTTTCAGTATGTTTCAGGTAATGATGAAATTAGAATGTTATGTTGTGTGTTTCAGTATGTTTCAGATAATGATGACTGTTATGTTGTGTGTTTCAGTATGTTTCAGATAATGATGAATGTTATGTTGTGTGTTTCAGTATGTTTCAGATAATGATAAATGTTATGTTGTGTGTTTCAGTATGTTTCAGATAATGATGACTGTTATGTTGTGTGATTCAGTATGTTTCAGATAATGATGACTGTTATGTTGTGTGTTTCAGTATGTTTCAGATAATGATGAATGTTATGTTGTGTGTTTCAGATAATGATGACTGTTATGTTGTGTGTTGCAGTATGTTTAAGATAATGATGAATGTTATGTTGTGTGTTTCAGTACTTTGTCACCAAGAATCAGTCCACCATCATTGCCTTTGCCGTCGGGGGACAGTACAAGCCAGGGAACCCATTCAGCATTGTTGGGGCTCACACCGACAGCCCTTGTTTCAAGGTACACTTGTCACATAGCATCAGGTCAGTGTTGTAATCAGACAGCTCTTGCTTCAAGGTACACTTGTCACATAGCATCAGGTCAATGTTGTAATCAGACAGCTCTTGCCTCAAGGTACACTTGTCATGTAGCATCAGGTCAGTGTTGTAATCAGACAGCTCTTGCTTCAAGGTACACTTGTCATGTAGCATCAGGTCAATGTTGTAATCAGACAGCTCTTGCCTCAAGGTACACTGGCCACTTGTCACATAGCATCAGGTCAGTGTTGTAATCAGACAGCTCTTGCCTCAAGGTACACTGGTCATGTAGCATCAGGTCAATGTTGTAATCAGACAGCTCTTGCTTCAAGGTACACTTGTCACATAGCATCAGGTCAGTGTTGTAATCAGACAGCTCTTGCCTCAAGGTACACTGGCCACTTGTCACATAGCATCAGGTCAGTGTTGTAATCAGACAGCTCTTGCTTCAAGGTACACTGGTCATGTAGCATCAGGTCAATGTTGTAATCAGACAGCTCTTGCTTCAAGGTACACTTGTCACATAGCATCAGGTCAATGTTGTAATCAGACAGCTCTTGCCTCAAGGTACACTTGTCACATAGCATCAGGTCAATGTTGTAATCAGACAGCTCTTGCCTCAAGGTACACTTGTCATGTAGCATCAGGTCAGTGTTGTAATCAGACAGCTCTTGCTTCAAGGTACACTTGTCATGTAGCATCAGGTCAATGTTGTAATCAGACAGCTCTTGCCTCAAGGTACACTTGTCACATAGCATCAGGTCAATGTTGTAATCAGACAGCTCTTGCTTCAAGGTACACTTGCCACTTGTCACATAGCATCAGGTCAATGTTGTAATCAGACAGCTCTTGCTTCAAGGTACACTGGCCACTTGTCACATAGCATCAGGTCAATGTTGTAATCAGATAGCTCTTGCTTCAAGGTACACTTGTCACATAGCATCAGGTCAATGTTGTAATCAGACAGCTCTTGCTTCAAGGTACACTTGTCATGTAGCATCAGGTCAATGTTGTAATCAGACAGCTCTTGCCTCAAGGTACACTTGTCACATAGCATCAGGTCAATGTTGTAATCAGACAGCTCTTGCTTCACTGGCCACTTGTCACATAGCATCAGGTCAATGTTGTAATCAGACAGCTCTTGCCTCAAGGTACACTTGTCATGTAGCATCAGGTCAGTGTTGTAATCAGACAGCTCTTGCCTCAAGGTACACTTGTCACATAGCATCAGGTCAATGTTGTAATCAGACAGCTCTTGCCTCAAGGTACACTTGTCATGTAGCATCAGGTCAGTGTTGTAATCAGACAGCTCTTGCTTCAAGGTACACTGGCCACTTGTCACATAGCATCAGGTCAATGTTGTAATCAGACAGCTCTTGCTTCAAGGTACACTTGTCACATAGCATCAGGTCAATGTTGTAATCAGACAGCTCTTGCTTCAAGGTACACTTGTCATGTAGCATCAGGTCAATGTTGTAATCAGACAGCTCTTGCCTCAAGGTACACTTGTCACATAGCATCAGGTCAATGTTGTAATCAGACAGCTGTTGCTTCAAGGTACACTTGTCATGTAGCATCAGGTCAGTGTTGTAATCAGACAGCTCTTGCTTCACTGGCCACTTGTCACATAGCATCAGGTCAATGTTGTAATCAGACAGCTCTTGCCTCAAGGTACACTTGTCATGTAGCATCAGGTCAGTGTTGTAATCAGACAGCTCTTGCCTCAAGGTACACTTGTCACATAGCATCAGGTCAATGTTGTAATCAGACAGCTCTTGCCTCAAGGTACACTTGTCATGTAGCATCAGGTCAGTGTTGTAATCAGACAGCTCTTGCTTCAAGGTACACTGGCCACTTGTCACATAGCATCAGGTCAATGTTGTAATCAGACAGCTCTTGCTTCAAGGTACACTTGTCACATAGCATCAGGTCAATGTTGTAATCAGACAGCTCTTGCTTCAAGGTACACTTGTCATGTAGCATCAGGTCAATGTTGTAATCAGACAGCTCTTGCCTCAAGGTACACTTGTCACATAGCATCAGGTCAATGTTGTAATCAGACAGCTCTTGCTTCAAGGTACACTTGTCATGTAGCATCAGGTCAGTGTTGTAATCAGACAGCTCTTGCCTCAAGGTACACTTGTCACATAGCATCAGGTCAATGTTGTAATCAGACAGCTCTTGCCTCAAGGTACACTTGTCATGTAGCATCAGGTCAGTGTTGTAATCAGACAGCTCTTGCCTCAAGGTACACTTGTCATGTAGCATCAGGTCAGTGTTGTAATCAGACAGCTCTTGCCTCAAGGTACACTTGTCACATAGCATCAGGTCAATGTTGTAATCAGACAGCTCTTGCTTCAAGGTACACTGGCCACTTGTCACATAGCATCAGGTCAATGTTGTAATCAGACAGCTCTTGCTTCAAGGTACACTTGTCACATAGCATCAGGTCAGTGTTGTAATCAGACAGCTCTTGCTTCAAGGTACACTTGTCACATAGCATCAGGTCAGTGTTGTAATCAGACAGCTTTTGCCTCAAGGTACACTTGTCATGTAGCATCAGGTCAGTGTTGTAATCAGACAGCTCTTGCCTCAAGGTACACTTGTCACATAGCATCAGGTCAATGTTGTAATCAGACAGCTCTTGCTTCAAGGTACACTTGTCACATAGCATCAGGTCAGTGTTGTAATCAGACAGCTCTTGCCTCAAGGTACACTTGTCATGTAGCATCAGGTCATTGTTGTAATCAGACAGCTCTTGCCTCAAGGTACACTTGTCACATAGCATCAGGTCAATGTTGTAATCAGACAGCTCTTGCCTCAAGGTTCACTGGCCACTTGTCACATAGCATCAGGTCAGTGTTGTAATCAGACAGCTCTTGCTTCAAGGTACACTGGCCACTTGTCACATAGCATCAGGTCAATGTTGTAATCAGACAGCTCTTGCCTCAAGGTACACTTGTCATGTAGCATCAGGTCAGTGTTGTTATCAGACAGCTCTTGCCTCAAGGTACACTTGTCACATAGCATCAGGTCAATGTTGTAATCAGACAGCTCTTGCTTCAAGGTACACTTGTCTTGTAGCATCAGGTCAGTGTTGTAATCAGACAGCTCTTGCTTCAAGGTACACTTGTCACATAGCTTCGGGCGGTTTGGGTGATCTGGTAGCCTAGTGGTTAAGGTGTTTGCTCGTCACACCGAAGACCCGGGTTTGATTCCCGACATGGGTACAATGTGTGAAGCCCATTTCTGGAATATTGCTAAAAGCGGCGTAAAACCATACTCACTCACTCAGGTCAGTGTTGTAATCAGACAGCTCTTGCTTCAAAGTACTGTGGTCACTAGTTTTAACAATCAGCTCAATGTTGTAAAGTTTTTTAATGCAATCGTGGATATCCAGGTAATATATTTTTTCAGGTGAAGCCCATCTCTGGGAGGGTGAAGAGTGGCTACTGTATGGTGGGAGTGGAGCCATACGGTGGGGGAATCTGGCACACCTGGTTTGATCGTGACCTGACAGTGGCAGGCCGAGTCCTGGTCAAGGTGAGTCTCTGGTCCAACTGTGTGATGGAATTTGGTCCAACCCTGGAAGGACCTTGGTCCAACACAAACAAGTAACTGTATGTATGTGTAGCCAGTACAAGCTGGGCCACTCTCCCAGCAACTGTATGTATGTGTAGCCAGTACAAGCTGGGCCACTCTCCCAGTAACTGTATGTATGTGTAGCCAGTACAAGCTGGGTCACTCTCCCAGTAACTGTATGTATGTGTAGCCAGTACAAGCTGGGCCACTCTCCCAGCAACTGTATGTATGTGTAGCCAGTACAAGCAGGGCCGCTCTCCCAGTAACTGTATGTATGTGTAGCCAGTACAAGCTGGGCCACTCGCCCCGTAACTGTATTTATGTGTAGCCAGTATGAGCTGGGCCACTCGCCCCGTAACTGTATGTATGTGTAGCCAGTATAAGCTGGGCCACTCGCCCCGTAACTGTATGTATGTGTAGCCAGTACAAGCTGGGCCGCTCTCCCGGTAACTGTTTGTATGTGTTGCCAGTACAAGCAGGGCCACTCTCCCAGCAACTGTATGTATGTATGTGTAGCCAGTACAAGCAGGGCCACTCTCCCAGCAACTGTATGTATGTGTAGCCAGTACAAGCTGGGCCGCTCTCCCTGTAACTGTATGTATGTGTTGCCAGTACAAGCAGGGCCACTCTCCCAGCAACTGTATGTATGTGTAGCCAGTACAAGCTGGGCCGTTCTCCCAGCAACTGTATGTATGTGTAGCCAGTACAAGCAGGGCCACTCTCCCAGCAACTGTATGTATGTGTAGCCAGTACAAGCTGGGCCGCTCTCCCAGCAACTGTATGTATGTGTTGCCAGTACAAGCAGGGCCACTCTCCCAGCAACTGTATGTATGTATGTGTAGCCAGTACAAGCTGGGCCACTCTCCCAGCAACTGTATGTATGTATGTGTAGCCAGTACAAGCAGGGCCACTCTCCCAGCAACTGTATGTATGTATGTGTAGCCAGTACAAGCAGGGCCATTCTCCCAGCAACTGTATGTATGTATGTGTAGCCAGTACAAGCAGGGCCACTCTCCCAGCAACTGTATGTATGTGTAGCCAGTATGAGCTGGGCCACTCTCCCGCTAACTGTATGTTTATGCCAGTATGACAAAGATACCGACGTGTGCAATATTTCAGGAGGGGGACAAGATCAACCATCACCTTGTGCACGTCCAGCGCCCGATCCTGAGGATTCCCAACCTGGCCATCCACTTGCAGAGGGAGATGAACGACAGCTTTGGACCCAACAAGGAGAACCATCTGTAAGTAGCGGCGGTGGAGCGCCCACGTACACATCCTGGTGTCCCCTCACATCACCTGGGCCCACATACACATCCTGGTGTCCCCTCACATCACCTGGGTACACATCCTGGTGTCCCCTCACATCACCTGGGCTCACGTACACATCCTGGTGTCCCCTCACATCACCTGGGCCCACGTACACATCCTGGTGTCCCCTCACATCACCTGGGCCCACGTACACATCCTGGTGTCCCCTCACATCACCTGGGCCCTCGTACACATCCTGGTGTCCCCTCACATCACCTGGGCCCACGTACACATCCTGGTGTCCCCTCACATCACCTGGGTACACATCCTGGTGTCCCCTCACATCACCTGGGCCCACGTACACATCCTGGTGTCCCCTCACATCACCTGGGCCCTCGTACACATCCTGGTGTCCCCTCACATCACCTGGGTACACATCCTGGTGTCCCCTCACATCACCTGGGCCCTCGTACACATCCTGGTGTCCCCTCACATCACCTGGGTACACATCCTGGTGTCCCCTCACATCACCTGGGCCCTCGTACACATCCTGGTGTCCCCTCACATCACCTGGGTACACATCCTGGTGTCCCCTCACATCACCTGGGCCCTCGTACACATCCTGGTGTCCCCTCACATCACCTGGGCCCTCGTGCACATCCTGGTGTCCCCTCACATCACCTGGGCCCTCGTGCACATCCTGGTGTCCCCTCACCTGGGCCCTCGTGCACATCCTGGTGTCCCCTCACATCACCTGGGCCCTCGTACACATCCTGGTGTCCCCTCACATCACCTGGGTACACATACACATCCTGGTGTCCCCTCACATCACCTGGGTACACATCCTGGTGTCCCCTCACATCACCTGGGCCCTCGTGCACATCCTGGTGTCCCCTCACATCACCTGGGTACACATCCTGGTGTCCCCTCACATCACCTGGGTACACATCCTGGTGTCCCCTCACATCACCTGGGCCCACGTACACATCCTGGTGTCCCCTCACATCACCTGGGCCCTCGTGCACATCCTGGTGTCCCCTCACATCACCTGGGCCCTCGTACAAATCCTGGTGTCCCCTAACATCACCTGGGCCCTCGTACAAATCCTGGTGTCCCCTCACATCACCTGGGCCCTCGTACACATCCTGGTGTCCCCTCACATCACCTGGGCCCTCGTACACATCCTGGTGTCCCCTCACATCACCTGGGCCCACATCCTTGTGTCCCCTCACATCACCTGGGTACACATCCTGGTGTCCCCTCACATCACCCGGGCCCTTGTACAAATCCTGGTGTCCCCTCACATCACCTGGGCCCTCGTACACATCCTGGTGTCCCCTCACATCACCTGGGCCCTCGTACACATCCTGGTGTCCCCTCACATCACCTGGGCCCTCGTACACATCCTGGTGTCCCCTCACATCACCTGGGCCCTCGTACACATCCTGGTGTCCCCTCACATCACCTGGGCCCTCGTACACATCCTGGTGTCCCCTCACATCACCTGGGCCCTCGTACACATCCTGGTGTCCCCTCACATCACCTGTGCCCTCGTACACATCCTGGTGTCCCCTCACATCACCTGTGCCCTCATACACATCCTGGCGTCCCCTCACATCACCTGGGTACACATCCTGGTGTCCCCTCACATCACCTGGGCCCTCGTACACATCCTGGTGTCCCCTCACATCACCTGGGCCCTCGTACACATCCTGGCGTCCCCTCGCATCACCTGGGTACACATCCTGGTGTCCCCTCACATCACCTGGGCCCTCGTACACATCCTGGCGTCCCCTCGCATCACCTTGGTACACATCCTGGTGTCCCCTCACATCACCTGGGCCCTCGTACACATCCTGGTGTCCCCTCACATCACCTGGGCCCTCGTACACATCCTGGCGTCCCCTCGCATCACCTGGGTACACATCCTGGTGTCCCCTCACATCACCTGGGCCCTCGTACACATCCTGGCGTCCCTTCGCATCACCTGGGTACACATCCTGGTGTCCCCTCACATCACCTGGGCCCTCGTACACATCCTGGTGTCCCCTCACATCACCTGGGCCCACGTACACATCCTGGTGTTCCCCTCACATCACCTGGGTACACATCCTGGTGTCCCCTCACATCACCTGGGCCCTCGTACACATCCTGGCGTCCCCTCGCATCACCTGGGTACACATCCTGGTGTCCCCTCACATCACCTGGGCCCTCGTACACATCCTGGTGTCCCCTCACATCACCTGGGCCCTCGTACACATCCTGGCGTCCCCTCGCATCACCTGGGTACACATCCTGGTGTCCCCTCACATCACCTGGGCCCTCGTACACATCCTGGCGTCCCCTCGCATCACCTGGGTACACATCCTGGTGTCCCCTCACATCACCTGGGCCCTCGTACACATCCTGGCGTCCCCTCGCATCACCTGGGTACACATCCTGGTGTCCCCTCACATCACCTGGGCCCTCGTACAAATCCTGGTGTCCCCTCACATCACCTGGGCCCACGTACACATCCTGGTGTTCCCCTCACATCACCTGGGCCCTCGTACAAATCCTGGTGTCCCCTCACATCACCTGGGCCCTCGTACAAATCCTGGTGTCCCCTCACATCACCTGGGCCCTCGTACAAATCCTGGTGTCCCCTCACATCACCTGGGCCCTCGTACAAATCCTGGTGTCCCCTCACATCACCTGGGCCCTCGTACACATCCTGGTGTCCCCTCACATCACCTGGGTACACATCCTGGTGTCCCCTCACATCACCTGGGCCCTCGTACACATCCTGGTGTCCCCTCACATCACCTGGGTACAAATCCTGGTGTCCCCTCACATCACCTGGGCCCACGTACACATCCTGGTGTCCCCTCACATCACCTGGGTACACATCCTGGTGTCCCCTCACATCACCTGGGCCGACGTACACATCCTGGTGTCCCCTAACATCACCTGGGTACACATCCTGGTGTCCCCTCACATCACCTGGGCCGACGTACACATCCTGGTGTCCCCTCACATCACCCGGGCCCTCGTACACATCCTGGTGTCCCCTCACATCACCTGGGTACACATCCTGGTGTCCCCTCACATCACCTGGGCCCTTGTACACATCCTGGTGTCCCCTCACATCACCTGGGCCCTCGTACACATCCTGGTGTCCCCACACATCACCTGGGTACACATCCTGGTGTCCCCTCACATCACCTGGGCCCTCGTACACATCCTGGCGTCCCCTCACATCACCCGGGCCCTCGTACACATCCTGGCGTCCCCTCACATCACCTGGGCCCACGTACACATCCTGGTGTCCCCTCACATCACCTGGGTACACATCCTGGTGTCCCCTCGCATCACCTGGGCCCTCGTACTCATCCTGGTGTCCCCTCACATCACCTGGGCCCTCGTACACATCCTGGTGTCCCCTCACATCACCTGGGCTCACGTACACATCCCGGTGTCCCCTCACATCACCTGGGCTCACGTACACATCCTGGTGTCCCCTCACATCACCTGTGCCCACGTACACATCCTGGTGTCCCCTCACATCACCTGGGCCCTCGTACAAATCCTGGTGTCCCCTCACATCACCTGGGCCCTCGTACACATCCTGGTGTCCCCTCACATCACCTGTGCCCTCATACACATCCTGGTGTCCCCTCACATCACCTGGGTACACATCCTGGTGTCCCCTCACATCACCTGGGCTCACGTACACATCCCGGTGTCCCCTCACATCACCTGGGCTCACGTACACATCCTGGTGTCCCCTCACATCACCTGGGCTCACGTACACATCCCGGTGTCCCCTCACATCACCTGGGCTCACGTACACATCCTGGTGTCCCCTCACATCACCTGGGCTCACGTACACATCCCGGTGTCCCCTCACATCACCTGGGCTCACGTACACATCCTGGTGTCCCCTCACATCACCTGGGCCCACGTACACATCCTGGTGTCCCCTCACATCACCTGGGCACTCTCCTGCTTGTCTTAAAGAGCAATGATGTTTGATTGTTTGACTTGTAATCAGACCTGACTGTGGAGGAAGATGGTCATTCTTTCAGTAAATGATAGACGTGGACCAGAGTTAGTTATTTTCAGGCACCAGTGGCTTAAGACATCATTTATAAACACCTGTCTGCATTTTCATGACAGATTGTTGTGTGATGTATTGCTGATCATGTGACTATCGTGTTTAAACATGTGTGACCGGTATGATTGTATTATAGGATACAATTTTATCATGAATGTTCTGGTGAGCTATGGAGTTGTATTTAACCACCATGACCTAGGTGAAGGGTTATTGGCAAGTTCCTCTGCCATGTCCGCTGATAGTTGTCGTTTGTTTGCAGGTGCCCCGTGATCGCCTCAGCCGTCCAGTCAGAGTTGCAAGGCCTCCCGAAACAGTCCGAGGCTGACGTCACACAGAAGACTCAGGTACAAGACCAGATCTCTTCTTGTTCTCTTCACACATGAGTGAGTGAGTATGGTTCTATGCTGCTTTTAGCAATGTTCTAGAATATCTGTGGGCACAGGTGGCCCAGTCGTCATAGGCAACGTGATTTGCTGTGCAGAGTCGCGTCCCTTGGGCATGCCAGAAACCTATGATTGTGGGTCGGAATCCCGGTTAGCCTGGATTATGTTTGTAGGTTTGTCAGCACCATACCCGTGTTCTAGGGTTTCACCGAAGTTGTTAACATCTGAGACCTGCATCATTTCAGGCTTTCCTCCAATATTAAGCTGACAAGCCGCAATTTAACTGTAATACTGTTAAAAGCGGCGTTAAACCCATCTCACCCACTCACTCACTCAAGAATATCTTGGCAGGGGAGGCTAGAAATGGGCTCCACACATGTTAGGAATCGAAGCCAGGCCTTAGGCGTGACGAGCGAAGCTCTCCAACCTTAAGGCTACCCCGGACCCAGTCACTGCAGTTATATTATAATGACATTGATGCTGATATTCATTGCTTTTGATAGAGATCAAAATGAATATTTTGGGGTGTATTATTACAAATAGGGGACAATCAAGTGCCGAACTGATTTACCAAAGAGGTCTTGCGATCCCTAGCAGTTGTTGATACTGTGTCTGTGATGTTGCAGGCAGAGAAGCACGCCCCGGCGCTGGTCAAGCTGATTTGTGAGGAGCTGAACATTAAACCCGATCAGATGCTCGACTTCGAACTGTGCCTGGCGGACACACAGCCTGCTGTAAGTGGCATAGTTTGTAGTTTCAGTTTTGACAAATCTAGCTTCTAATTGTGGAATATGACTGCAGATATTTCAAGACTTTGTATTTTGAGTCTGAAGAAAACAAGATTCCTTGAGGTTCCTTGTCCTTGCAGGCAATTGGTGGAGCACTGGAGGAGTTTATTTTTTCTGCCCGACTCGACAACCTGTTCAACGCCTATGCAGCATGTGAGGTAAGATCATGTGTGAAAAAGAACCACAAACTGAGTGTCACCCAGAGCTAGTTGTAAGGAAGGTATCCTGAAATGAGTGTCACCCAGAGCTAGTTGTAAGGAAGGTATCCTGAAATGAGTGTCACCCAGAGCTAGTTGTAAGGAAGGTATCCTGAAATGAGTGTCACCCAGAGCTAGTTGTAAGGAAGGTATCCTGAAATGAGTATCACCCAGAGCTAGTTGTGAGGAAGGTATCCTGAAATGAGTGTCACCCAGAGCTAGTTGTAAGGAAGGTATCCTGAAATGAGTGTCACCCAGAGCTAGTTGTAAGGAAGGTATCCTGAAATGAGTGTCACCCAGAGCTAGTTGTAAGGAAGGTATCCTGAAATGAGTATCACCCAGAGCTAGTTGTAAGGAAGGTATCCTGAAATGAGTGTCACTCAGAGCTAGTTGTAAGGAAGGTATCCTGAAATGAGTGTCACCCAGAGCTAGTTGTAAGGAAGGTATCCTGAAATGAGTGTCACCCAGAGCTAGTTGTAAGGAAGGTATCCTGAAATGAGTATCACCCAGAGCTAGTTGTAAGGAAGGTAGTGTTCAACAGTTCACCTGTCTTTCTGCTTCAGGCGCTGGTCGAGTCCTGCAGTAACGAGAGCCTTGCTGCAGACCCCAGCATCCGAATGATCAGCCTGTTCGATAATGAGGAGGTGAGTGAAGTACAGCATGTTATTAATTGGAGGATATTTAAGACTTCCTTCAAAACAAAATTTCTGTCTTGGTAATTATCAAGAGTAGGACGGTGGGGTTCGCCGAGTGTTCACACTTTTTACCTGTTGATAGTTGAGTTTGCTTGATTCTCCATGATTTTAGCCAGTTTGTTACTGTCCTTGTATGCTGCTGTATTCTCTGTTATGTTACCATGTGATTAGTTATATCACGTTACAGTGTTTCCCCATCGCTGTATAATGAGTTATAATTAGGGAACGTTATAGACAATCAGTGGAAGAACAGAGGTGGACTCGTAGAGGGTATTTGGGCCCCTAAGGAAGCGTTGTAGTGAGGAGTCATTGTATTTCAAATAGTGCAGACTCAATAACATTTTCAATTGGTTGTAAAGGTTGGGTCCCAGAGTGCACAGGGAGCTCAGTCTACCTTTCAAGAACTGGTTCTGCGTCGCATCAGCTCCAGTCCAGACAACCAAACAGCCTTTGAGGAAGCCATTGCTCGGTCGTACATGATCAGCGCGGACCAAGCCCATGCTGTACATCCCAACTACTCGTGAGTTGATTTATCCACGGTGTTAGACTGGCTTTACTTTACACAAACAGCTTTTAATTCTAATCAAACGTATGTCATGGTTATGGCTGCAAGTATGCCAAAATCACGATTTAGCAATCCTGTTTGTATTGTATGAAACACAAGGGAGGGAAGCAGTGTTAGCATTAAGTCTCCTAGGATCCTTAATGTATGTCAGTGTTTACTCTCGGAACCTTAGTGACCTCACTCATTCATTGTTAGGACATTGAGATATGATCCTTACTTGTTTCCAGAGAGAAGCATGAAAGCAACCACCAGCCATCATTCCACAAGGTGAGAAGGAACACAGTCCAGACCTTGTTTGTATCATTACATGGAGACCTCTTGAGTGGACAACTGGTTACAAAATCACGTTAGTTTTTTAAAGAGTCTTTTTGTAAGATCATCTAATGTTCATATGATTGACGTTTCTCAGAAATATTGCTTCTTTTCATGTAGGGTATTGTCCTAAAGTTCAATGGCAACCAGCGCTATGCAACCACTGCGATCACTGCTACGATCCTGAGAGAGGTGGCAAAGCGTGTTGGAGCTCCACTGCAGGTAAGTTGTGACAGGTGTCAGTACAGGTGTGTGATGAAGGGTGAGAGATGACAGGTGTCGGTACAGGTGTCGGTACAGGTGTCGGTACAGGTGTGTGATGAAGGGTGAGAGATGACAGGTGTCGGTACAGGTGTCAGTGCAGGTGTCGGTACAGGTTTGTGATAAAGGGTGAGAGATGACAGGTGTCGGTACAGGTGTGTGATGAAGGGTGAGAGATGACAGGTGTCGGTACAGGTGTGTGATGAAGGGTGAGAGATGACAGGTGTCGGTACAGGTGTGTGATAAAGGGTGAGAGATGACAGGTGTCGGTACAGGTGTTGGTACCGGTGTGTGATGAAGGGTGAGAGATGACATGTGTTGGTACAGGTGTGTGATAAAGGGTGAGAGATGACAGGTGTTGGTACAGGTGTGTGATGAAGGGTGAGAGATGACAGGTGTCGGTACAGGTGTCGGTACAGGTGTGTGATGAAGGGTGAGAGATGACAGGTGTCGGTACAGGTGTTGGTACAGGTGTGTGAAGAAGGGTGAGAGATGACATGTGTTGGTACAGGTGTGTGATAAAGGGTGAGAGATGACAGGTGTTGGTACAGGTGTGTGATGAAGGGTGAGAGATGACAGGTGTCGGTACAGGTGTCGGTACAGGTGTGTGATGAAGGGTGAGAGATGACAGGTGTCGCTACAGGTGTGTGATGAAGGGTGAGAGATGACAGGTGTTGGTACAGTTGTCAGTACAGGTGTCGGTACAGGTGTGTGATGAAGGGTGAGAGATGACAGGTGTCGGTACAGGTTTGTGATGAAGGGTGAGAGATGACAGGTGTCGGTACAGGTGTGTGATGAAGGGTGAGAGATGACAGGTGTCGGTATAGGTGTCAGTACAGGTGTCGGTACAGGTGTGTGATGAAGGGTCAGAGAAAACACTACAGATGAAAGATGAGAGACTGACGAACACAACATTTGCAGTACTGCATAAAGAAGATAAAGTGGGTATCAATGTTAACATGTTTAGATACTGGAACTTGGGCCCAGGTTACAAGGATACATCAGTGCTGCAATAGATGATATGTAACGACAGTCGTTGAGCAAAGATGGTATTGTGGTACAGGGCACTGGTCAGTTATAGGGTAGTATCCACAGGACTAGCAGATTTATGAAGGTTTGAACAACACTATAGACAGTGATGATGTGTAATTCACAGGACATAGTGGTAAGAAACGACTCTCCGTGCGGGTCGACTATCGGTCCTATCATGTCTGCCAAGCTGGGGATGCAGACCATAGATGTTGGGGCGCCACAACTCAGCATGCACTCCATCCGGGAGATGGGATGCACATCCAGCGTCCACCAGGCCATCGTGCTCTTCCAGGTCTGTTTGTTTGTTTGTTTGTTGTTTAACGCCGCACTCAGCAATATTTCAGCTATATGACGGCGGTCTGTAAATAATCAAGTCTGGCCCAGACAATCCAGTGATTGATATCATCAGCATCGATCCACGCTTCAGGATACGATTACATGCATCAATTAAGTCAGCGAGTCTGATCACTCGATTCCGTTAGTCGCCTCTTACCACAAGCATATTCTTCCAGGTAAATTGGCGCTTCACACAGTTTAATCCAATACAATACGTATCTGCATAATATCTGACAAACCCTCCATAGCGAGCAGTCATCCTGAAGGCATGGACCTGTGTTCATGCTATCAACCACTGGTTTGCTCGATCTTTTGCTGAATTGATGTGGCTGTCATATTGCTGACTACGGCCCAAAAGAAGATGTGCACAATCACTCTCTCACTAACTCACTCACTCAATCTCACTCACTCATCCACACTCACTCCTCATTCACTCACACTCACTCCCAGACACGCACACACGCACACTCTCACAATAATCCACTCATACACACACACTTACTCACCTAACCACTGATTCACTCACTCACACACTCACTCACTCACCCACCCTTTCACGCACACTCACTAAATCACTCACTCATCCTACCACCCACTCTCACGCACTCACTATATGACTCACTCATCCAACCACCCACACTCTCCCTCACCAACTCTCTCCCTTACTCACACACACACACACGCACACGCACACGCACATGCACACGCACACGCACACACACACACACACACACACACACACACACAACCATCCACTTACTCACTGTTGCTGTTGCAGGGTTTCTTTGAGCACTACCCTGCCGTGGCTGCCTCCCTCAACTTCTAGACAACGTCCTGGACGCCATCAGATACACACAGCATCAGCGTCACGTCACCATGCAGTGCCACACCACCTCCAACTTTAGTTTGGCATCATCTATGCAGAATTTCTAATTTCCTGGGAGAGACTCCTAGCAGTATACGATGTTAGCAGTATACGATGTTAGCAGTATACGATGTTAGCAGTATACGATGTTAGCAGTATACGATGTTAGCAGTATACTATGTTAGCAGTATACTATGTTAGCAGTATACGATGTTAGCAGTATACTATGTTAGCAGTAATATGTTAATGTCTTTGTTTCTCCATGAATTTACTAGTAAAAATAGTATTTATTTGTTGAAATATTAATGAATGTAGCATAAACATTTCTTGTGATATTCAGATTGTATATGTGGAATCGTTATGGTAACAAGTGCTGTAACTTCACCTGGGGTACAGGAACGCTAGTGTCCATCACCTAGAACCATCTGTGTACTGGCTGCCTTGTATGACCTTCACCCTGCTTCACTCAGAGTGAAGTGGACATTCAGTCCAAGACATCTTCGTCATACCATTCTAAGTCTACGTTAAGACACAGAAGTTACAACAACCACAGCACTGAGATTGTGGAACAAGGCCTCAAGATGTTGTAAACAACCGTCATTAATCTCGATCAAAGTACATAAGTTGCGACAGTAGTAAGATGGCAAACATTAATCAAACCATTATTATGAAATTGGCCTTTTGTGTTGATTCGTCATGAAATCCAACTGTGTGTTGTATTCATATTTGTCAAGAATACTTGAAAAAAGAATTGTCCTGAGATGTGTGCACATAAGTATATTGTTTTCTATTAAATTGGTGATTTTTGAAGCATGTCTTTGTCATATTTCCTTGACACCAGTTTCGGGATGCATGTGGACCAGAGGTCTTAAAGGGCAAGGAACGTCAACACAGCAACGTCAACACAGGAACATCAACACAGCAACGTTACAGATTGTAATACTTTAGGGCATTACTGAATCACAAATAGTTGACCAAAATTATATTTGAAAAACAAAAAAATTTGAAACAGATGATAAAAACATGACATGCAAAATCATGCACCAAACAAAACATTCCTCCAATTAGGGGATTCCCCCTAGTGGAGGTTAAAATGGGTTCCAGGTGTTTGACGCACTGCACAATTTCAATAATTATAATGATCAGGCCGACGCCCAGTCTGCCTGCTTCTGTCTCATGTTATGCTGCTCATCCATTTGATTACTGTGTCCACAACTTATGTCACCTTAGTAACAACACTGAAGATGCCTTCCGTTGTTTTACTCAAGGGATTATTCCCTGACAGCTAGTGTTTTATTACCCAAACAATATGTGAGTAATAAAAAGCTAGTTTCCGATTGTTAGCTATTTTACTTGTTCACAATGTCAAGACAAAGGTCAGTTCACACATTCAACAATGTATGCAATGTTGTTATTTTTTAGGATTAACAAAAATAGCAGAAATAGTATATGTATAAACAGCCGAGAATCCCATGACAGATAAACGTGGTAAACCTATCGGCCAATGAAAACAGTTGTTACCACTGCGCCGGTAGCTTTAGGCCACTACCCCTAATAGGTTTGTTTTGGATGCCTGTGCTTTCAGAACTTTCTCTTGGACATTTAGATACTTTGTACGAATGTTATGAATTTTTCTCTCAGAAATTGACGAAATGTACTCGGGTAAAATTGATATTCTCATAAAAATCGCACACATTTCGTTCACTCTACTAGCTCTTTAAACCACCTCACTGAACTATACACAGTTGCCTCCCTTGGTCGCGTAAAACAACAAATATACAAACAAACCCAGTCATATAAGATGCTGAGTTGCTCCCCTTAGTCAAGACAGAAATCTGTCTTAAAAAACAACAATTCACCGAGGGGCGGTGGGGTAGCCCAGTGGTTAAGCGTTGGCTCCTCACCCCGGACCTGGGTTCGATTCCACACATAGGTACAATGTGTAAAGCCAATTTCTAGTGTTCCCAATGGTGATATTGCTGAAATATTGCCAAAAGCGGGGTAAGACTATGCTCCCTCATTAATATCTAATAGTCTCTCCGACTACAGCTGCTGATGCTGGTATGGAGTGTAGTGGGGTGGTCGTGGGTTGACATAACTGTTGAGTCCGTTTCGATACAAGCTGCATTATCATATTTATTGACCTACTTTCAGAAACACAATGTTCCATAAAATTATATAATGGTAATATTCCGCATGCAATAACAGTCGGTCAGACACCTTGATGGAAACAAAGTAAAACAAACTAACACGTTATAAAAAACTAACATGAGGATCACAAATAAGAAAGTTACACCTTCTCATAGTTTCATGGGTAAGTGAGTGAGTATGGTTTTACACCGCTTTTAGCAACATTCCAGCAATAGGAAACCAGAAATGGGCTTCACGCATTGTACCCATGTCGGGAATCGAACCCGGGTCTTGAGCGTGACGAGCGAACGCTTTAACCGCAAGGCTACCCCACCGCCCTCATAGCTTCATGAAGATAGTGACTAGTGTTGATATATTTGATATAAAAAAACACGAGGGTGAGATTTGATTTATCATCCAACATCATTCTTCCAACCTTTTCAATTTGTAGATAGTAAAAAGCAGTGTCCTGAGGTGTAAAAAATACTGCTAACAGCTTCAGTAGCAGAGCCATTAGTGCTTCCCAAGCGATATCTCCTGTGGGAGCCAGTTTTGGATGATAAACAAAATTACACGTAATTATAGCTTACACGAGGCAGCAAATATCCCCCATTCAAAATAAATGACATCGTCCTTATATGCAATGCCACGTTAAAATGAGTGAGCAAATGAGTTAGGATTCCGTTATATCACAGTGTGTCGGCTTGACGTGGGAGGAAAGTATTGCAGATCTAGATATTTAATCACCACTTTGGTGAAACCCACGAGCATGGTAATGGTGAGACAAACCAAGGATGACTACCAGAACAAATCTGGGATTTACACACAATCACTGGATCCTCAAACGACCACGGGACGCAACTCTTAGGAGTAGGAGTTGAGTCGACAGGTTGAACACTACGCGTGAATATTGTCGCGGTGTAAAACAGTATTCAATCACACACTGACTACCATACGTTTTCACTGTGTTCACCTCCCTGGTCAGATGGAAGCCAGGCTGAGAGATGTGCTCAATAAATTAACCAGCATCGCAAATGTGCTGACGGAGCAATGATGCACAGATGGAGGCGTTCAACCGTGACGCGCTGGTCGTTTTCACGGTGTGGAAATGTAATGCATTGATTTAGTACTGTTTACCTTGTTGCTAACGCGCTCTCACAACACACTGTATTCTATTACACACCTGAGTGTTGTAGATGACGTAGGTGAAATGGTGCACTGCGGGGTGCTGTCAACTATGCGCGAGGCCAACTATTAACTGCATGTAATTTCTACATGTCCCCACGTTTCTAACCTAAAGGAAACATATGTTTGTATTCAAATTTGATTTGTTTTATACTGTAAATGATAGAATAATCACGCAACTGGCCATGTGTACATGCATAAACCACAACCAAACCGCAATTTATAAAACAATAGTTTAGTACAACCACTGTGATATGTACTACTCAAAAGAAGTTGAACACTCGATTCTTTCATATTACTAAAAATTACTGTAGTAATATGATATTTTTTGTTGTTTTGTTTGTTGTTTAACGCCACACTCAGCAATATTACAGCTATATGACTGCGGTCTGTAAATAATCGAGTCTGGACCAGACAATCCAGTGATTGACATCATGAGCATCGATCCAACCAATTGGGATACGAGGACATGAATCAACCAAGCCAGCGAGCCTGACCACCCGATCCCGTTTGTCGCCCCTTACGACAAGTAGTCGCCTCTTACGGCAAGCATGGGTTGCTGAAGACCTATTCTACACGGGTCCGTGAAGTGAAATGAAAGAATGGGGTGTTCTTTAACTTCTTTTAAGTAATATATATGTTACAGAAAATATGTATAATTCGTGAAATTTAAGGAAATATTTCTAATGTCTGATTCACTCATTAAAATATGTAAATTTTCTGAAATTTTATAGCGAAAATTATACATATATTCTTATTATACATACTTCTGTGACAAATAAATGTTGTCCGCAATAATAAGAAGGACATCAAGCTATCATGGCCTGCCTGTACACGCTGTTTGACTTGAATACAGCGAGAAGATTCGTCGATCTGAACAGATATATATGTATCAGCATATATAGTGTTAATGTGTCAGTTAGGAGATAAATGCATAAAACCACATGTTGCCTTAGAATATATGAATAAATTTGCATACAGTAGACTACGGTTATAACGAACACGCTTATAACGAACTGACGGTTAGAACGAACTCACTTTTTTGGTACCAACTATTTGCTGTAGTTATGCTGTATATAAGCTAATAACGAAAACGGCTATAACGACCTAAAATTAATAGTCCCTTTGAGTTCGGTATAACCGTAGTTTACTGTATGTGTAAATATGTTATCGTTAGTTTAATCAGGTTGACAACCATACAATAAGTTAGTCTCCTGGCAATACGTGATTAGAATAAAAGATGTAAGGGAAAGATACCGCAAAACTGATGACATGACACTTTATAAAATCGGCGTGACATCATCACTCTCCAAGTCAAGCGTACGTAAAATCCTGACGACGTAAACAAGGTCGCGTGACATCGGGCTCGATCGTTGACCAAGCAATGACATAATTAGTTTACAAAATGGTATTCTTCAAGAAGCATTCTATTTATACGACATCCGTGCCAAAATGAAATAAAACATGCTTTATTAAGTGGTATTTAATGTAAATAATCAGAGGATATTGTCGTAAATTATGTGTAAATCTGCTTTATGGTAAAATGTATACTATCTGGTAATCGACTAATTCAATTGACTCTTGTTCAAAATAACACCATACACTACGCGTTTTAGTAGATGATATAGTGTACAATACAATCGTAAAAAATCATGTGGTTAATTGATTTACATATCACATTCTAATACGCGACAATTACAACAGTGAAGTTAGAGTTGGTGTCAATTTCTTTCCTCACTCACCGTGCGCGAACCACCGTTTTAAAAACACAATCATTTCGATCTGTTGTTGTGTGGGCGTTGTAACATGCTCGCAGAGAAAAGTGGAAAGTAATGATTATGGAACAAATAAATCCACCACCACGTGGCCACATTTAAATGAAACTTTTCGAAAAATGAGTTGTAAATATTGCACCAAATTACGCTAAATTGACTGCTATTTCTGTATGTAAATATATAAATATTTGTTGAATATTTATATATAATGGCGACCGCGTATGGCAATGATGAACCAACCGAATGACAGTAACTTTCCTCTCTATTGATTTGATAAGACAGTATACTGAACGTAGAGAACATCGCAACACATTATATATTTTTTCAATATTTATATAAGTAAGACCATTATATGGATTGTGTGAAAAGAAATCTGTTTGATGGTCCATATTAAAATGGCACGTATCCCTGCTGATACTGTTCAAACGAAGCCTTCTCGTTTCCATTCCCAGTAACAGTAGTAGTTTGGTATATAGTATCACATTCATCACCCGCCATATCTGTGGACTTGTAGAAGATATTGGAAGCTATCCGTTTGTTAATTTTACGCTTCCAGATGATTCGTTCTCCAGATGGGTAAGTCCAAGATGTTGCGGAAGGACACTTTGTTGTTTTGATGCACAGAATGCCAGCTGTTAGACTCTAGTGCTGTCGCGGAGAACGTGTTCTGGCGATCAGTAAAGGTGTGGTGATGTCTGTATTTTGCTGTCAGTGTTGTCG